TGACCGGCAATAATTCCCCTTATCTATTATATATTGTAATTTGTATTTTTAATAAAAGAAACAGGTAAATATTAATATTTTGATGCTAATATAAAAGGGTAACTGTTCCATTTTTTAAAGCGCAATAAAAAAGAATAATTTTAAACTAAATTTTATTTTAATTATGTTAAAAATGTTAATCATATACAAATTATTTTTTTGAATATTACATCATGTTTCTTCTATTGGGTATTATTTGTATGATTCTTTTATAAAGAAATAATAAAGTATCTTATTGTATTCAAACAGTCATGCTATTAATTATTTATTTATTTACATGCAAAAATAAGAAGTATTTTTAAGCTTGTAATTTTTTTTTATCATCTATCTTTTAGAATGAATTAAATGTTTGTAAGCTTGACATAAATAACAAAAATTAGAATTTATTTTATAAATACTATTATAAATATTCATTTAAAAATAATTATAGATCTATCTGAAACAATTATGCCCTTGAAATTTAGTTTAAATCATTTCAATTATATGATAGTATTTTTTGGGATTAAAGGCATGTTGTCATATAAAGTGGTCTCTAAGGTTATGGCGAGCAGTCTAATATTTAAAAAGCATAATTTAAAATTTTTATGTAAGATTTAAATGTTTTAAAAATTATAATAATTAATGACATATTTTGTCCACATTTTTTATGGATAAAAGGAAATGTAAAAATATATAAGTTAAAGTAAATTTTCAATTATTTGATTGTAATATAATAAAGCGTAATTGATTTTTTTACATATTAATCAATATAAAGTACACAATTTTCTTTTTAGTTATCCTTACTAAAATTTGTTACAGTTTTAATAATCAACCTTAAGCAGTAATAGCCAAACAAATGAATGTCGAAAAATATATCATTTGTATTTAAAAATTATTATAAAAAAGACGTTTATCATTCAACCAACAATCTATAGCAAAAGTCAAGTTAAAAATAATTAATACTATGAATAAACTAAGTGCGTAAATATTTAAATAAATTTTAGACTATATTTGGTTTCAAAAACTAGTGGATTCTTTCATTCAAGCAAATAAAATTATAAATTAATTAATAACACATATTTGAATTATATATTATATAAGAAAATGTAACAGTTCAAATATTACTTCCTGCAAATAGAAACTAAAATATTTTAAAGATGAATGGAATTGTTTATTTGATAAAAATATGGATATAATATAGGCTTATTAAATTTAAAATTCTTCTCAGTTAAATATTCATAAGATTTACTATACATGAAACATATATATATAACTTGCTTTTTGATGGTAAGATTGATTAGTTTTAGTCTATAAAAATTCGAATAAATAAAGAAAAATTTATATAATCTTAATTTTGCTTGCTCTGGGGAGTATCTGGTTTTGATAAGTTTTTCTTGCAATTAATAATAATTAAATTATAATTATTGTAACTGTCTAAAAAGGAACTTTTTGTATTTAATTATACACTTGATTTGATTTACCACTATTAATATAATTAAATAAATTAATAAACAAAATCTAATTGAAACATTTTGGGATTGGGAATGATGCTACAGATAATAATTGCTTGTAAATTTAATATATTCACAAATTAAATAACTTACAATAATATTTTTATTTTAAATAGTCTTTTTAGTATATTTAACCACCGCTTAGCAGTTTTAATGCACTAACACACTTAAAAATCCAAAACCTTCAACTGCTTTAGGTATTCAATTACATTTGTTTTTTAATTTTATAATTAACTATTAAATTTTTTAATAAATTTAGGATACAGGTGCATGATTGCATCAAAAACGGATTTTAAAGATAAATTTATTATGGATTATTGGAAATATTACAATACAGTAACTAAAAGTCCTATTACATCATCTAATTAAAGAATGCCTTAATGTTCTAATACAATTTCAGGTTATAATTCTGGAATTTAACTTGATATAGACTTTAGTGCAAATTAATAATATTTGGACTCAATTTATATCAGTTTTAGTTTGATTTTTCCAGGCATGACTACTTCTTTAAAAGTGACTACTTTTTGGTAGAATAAATAATATGATTAAAAGGAATTTTAAATAGCAGATTTCCCCACTATTTAAAATGATAATTGTGGATATAAATTGAGTTAATTTTTTGTGAATATTCCTCTTTTAGCAGTAGCTCCAACAGCTCTGTCAACTTCTATTAAGTTTGAAATTTTTTAGAATTCAAATATTCTGTCTACTGCTTTAACGGATTATGAAGTTCTTTTTTATTTTTAGGTAAATTTTTGATTAATTTTCATAAAATGAATTATAAAAAATAAAATTCTTGTTCATAAAATTTCTTATTATTTAAAAATTGAATGAATTTAAATTAAATTTTTCATTCAAATTTGTTAATTTCAAAAATATTTTATCATTTTATTGTTAAATTCAATAGTGCCCATATGCCTGTACTGGTGTTTGTCCTGGAGGTGTATGCTAAACATGCCTAGATGGTTACAATTTAAATTCAGGTAAGTGCATGTTACAGTGTAATCCAGGTTAATATCTAAATATTATAGCTTCTACAGAATAGATTTGCTAACCTTGTATAACGAATTGTGATAAATGTTCTGATGCAACAACATGTGATAACTGCAAAAATGGATATGTTTATATGAATATTAATAGTACAAATTAATGTATTCAAAAGTGTTCATAGTCTAATTAGTATTTAGATTCATAAGGTGTATGCTAAAACTGCATGTAAAATTGTGATTCATGCTCATAGGCTAATGTATGTGATACCTGTGCTACTAATTATATTAAAACTTAGTCAAATACTTGTTAATGTTCAGGTTATTTAAGTGGTAATTAATGTCTGGCATGCTATTCTTCTTGTTAAACTTGCAGTGATGGCTTAAAAACGAGTTGTAAATCATGTAAAAGTGGTTATTATCCTATTTTAAATACTCCTAACTAAGGTTAATTTGAGTGTGTTTAAGTTTGCCCAAACAATTACTAACTTTTAGATAGCAAATGCTAGTAATGCAATCTTACTAATTATAAGAGTTGCTTTAATTGTCCTAGTACATGCAGATCTTGCTCTTCTTCATAAAGTACAAACTGCATAGATTGCTTTGATGGTATGCAATTAGATGCTAACGGGAAATGCTTTTCCAATAATGATCAAAGGGATATCAATTTTTATTTTCGTAGTAATAACAAAATCGCAGTTGTTAATGCTGTTTTTTCAGGATCCGAGCCCACAATAACTTTTGAGTTTGGACTTACTTTAATACCAATACCTAATTTTTAATGTAACCAGATCTTTGATCCTTCTACAATTGCACTTTTAGGTAGTAGTAGTAGTACTTGTTCAATAAGTTCATCCAAAGTAATTGTCACTTTAAGTAATTTTATTTTTTAATATTATTAGAAATAACTATTAAATTTTAAAATCAAGGTTAAGATACTAATATTATGGCTACAGACACAATTAATATCATTAGTACAGCATAGGTACTTAAGTTTTAAGGAGCTCAAGATCCTATAGATACTATATATCTATTATCTGTTGTTTAAGAATCTGTCACTGGCGAAGTTACCCTTCAATATGACTAAGTTACAAGCTACTGCAATGACATTACTTTTAAAATTCAAACTATAAAAAACGATGCTGGAAGAGGTTTTTTAAATTTTAAATGGGTATTAGATCAGGCACAAAATTTTGATTAATAAACTGTTTAAAATTTAAATGCTATAATCCAAACCGTAAATACTAATTAAGGCTAAATCTTAGTTATACCTAAACAAACAACTCCACCAGACACAAATTTAGCTATAAAATTACAATACACATTCAAAACTAATTTTAGTGGCTCAACATCAGCAGCTAGTTATGTTAAAAGTACGAAATAAATTACTGTAAGCTCAATTCAAAATTAATATCCTCCCTTATTCAGGTAAATAATTTATTATCTTTCATAAAAACCAAATTCTCTTCTCGAAATCGTTTCAATTTAATAATAAATCAATAAATTATGTCCAAAGAAAAAGAATAGCATTTTTTAAATATTTCAAAGATCAATTCATCTTAAAGCTAAAAATTCAATCAAATTTTATTTCAAACAAAAATAAAAAAACTTCTTAAATAACTTTTTTGGAAAATAATTAATTTTAAATTAAAGGTATGCCGATTTGCAAGTGAAGTTTATGTTCTTTACTTAAGAATGTGGTTTATCAGGAATAAATTCTTATTAAGATATTTATGACATCTAAATAACATCTTAAGCGTTACCTTCTCTCAACTAACATTTAACTCAATACAAAAGCCAAGTTTTATAGCTCGATATTCCACCTTACTCAGTTCTTTCTGCCAATAGTAATTTAGATATTTAGGTAAACTTTTATAACAAAAACAATTCATTAATATCTATTTTAAATAAAATATTTTAGTTGTAAATATTTATAATCACGAACTAAGCACTTACAACTACATACAATCTCTCAATTCCTTATTCGTTATCTAATCTTTAACTCTTCATTTAAAATGGGCAAGAATAGCTAGTAGACTATAAGAGAAATTTGGCTCTAATAGGAGTAGCTAGAGATTTTGAAGTTCTTGACCCTAATTCTCCATAAGGAATATAACTCAATTGGTCATGCAAGGTAATAGGCTCATAAAACGGAGATAATTAATGTTATACTTATAAAAATACTCTATTTGAAGTGCCATAAAATGTTTAAACTTTTACAATTGTAGGAGGTACTTTTAACCCTTACCAAACACTATAATTTAAATTCACTGGGTCTAAAGATACAAGATCTGCTTAGTCAGAGATCTTAACAATCTTCGCTGAGATAGATCTCCCTCCATTGTATGTCAAATTTGATAATCCTTCTTAGATATAAAAAGTAAATATTAATGACGATATCTCTGCAACTCTCATTTATGATTCGAAAATAAACTCAGACATTCTCACATACGCAGGAGCCATTCTCTACAATAATTTCGTAGTTGGTGTAATAAAATTTGATTACCTGAAAGTTAAATTTAGAATTTGGGACTACTTTTCAGATTTAAATGTAGTAAACCCTCTTATCCAAATAAGATTCACAGTTTATAACCCTGAAAATATCATGCCAAGCTTAAGTGTAACAAATTTTAAAGTAAATATTCCTCCTCAAAACTGCTAACTTTCTATTACTCCTTCAAGCGGTTAAGCATTAACAACAAAATTTGTTATCTCGTTCACTAATTGTATCACAAATAATAATCCATTGACTTATTAATTCTTCTACTACAACTATGATACTGATGTAAAATAAGAAATATTAGTTCCATAAAAGATTCTAAGAAGATAATTGTAAGATCAAACTCTAACTTCATCAGTTACTACATATCTTCCTTCAGGAAAATTGATAATAATGGCTTAAGCTATGGATTCATACTTAGCTATTTATAATACCACTTTATAAGTGGATGTGGCTACGTTTTAATAGGACGAGTAAGCACTTCTAAGTTTGTTAGATTAAGCACTTGCTCTACAAAATAGTAATTTTGGGGTCAGTGATATTGTTAAAAATCTTTGTGTGATCAGTGAAGAAATATCTAAAAATACAAATATATATAACCTTGACTCTGTTAGCTAAAAAAAGGTGCTTCTAATTTAAGCAATAATAAATCAGACAAACCTACTTCCTAACTCTTCCTTTTTATCAACATTTTCAAATAAAATTGTTGCAACTCTTCAAGCTTCTCTCACTTCTACATAATCACTTTAGAGTTAAAATGTACTTGATTAAGTTAGCTTGATATTACAAAACTAATAAAAATAAATTAACATAAATAATAAGCTATTAAATAATAATGATATCGTTCTTTAGAATTTAGTTGACTCATTTAAAATTGTGAATTCAACAACTCAAACAATATCTTTAATACTGGACCAACTAAGTAATAATAATGGAAAACGAATTTTGAACGGCATGAATTCAAGTGATGATGTTTCAACAGATTACTTAAGAGCTCTTGCATCTTCCTTACCTTCAAATTTATTGCAGTAGTAAATAAATATGGCAGATTAAATAGGTAGTATGTTAAATAATATTACCCTTCCAAACTAAGGTTAGCTCAACTTAAATGGAAATTTAATCTCACTGAATACTGAGTAAATAACACCTAAAAACCTCTAAAGATATTTGTATATGTAAAATGAACCTCAATAAAATGATACAAATATCTATAATGTAGTATTAACTAACTATACTTCAAACCCTTTCATTTAAACTGATGGCTTTCTGCAGTATACTAATTAAATCTAAAATCAAACTCCAGGTATCTAAATATCTCTTAATCCAGTTATTAAACCTTCTATTTAAAGCATATAAAATGGTCCAAACACTGTTTTTGATAATTCCTTTTAACTTTAATTCTCTAATATAAAACCATCGAAAAATAATTTAACTTGCTTGCAATAGTAAACTACCTAAAAGTGGAGTAATTCACAGTGTAAATTGATAAATTCTAGCACATCTGGAAGATATACTTGCGTTTGCAAAGATCAGCATCCTACAACAATAATAGAAGACTTTAAATTTGTATTAAGTAATCAAAATTTAGAAACTGCTTTTGGATCATAAGGTATATAAAATATCTCAAAATTTACGACATTCTATGAGTATGCAGTTTTTTGGATCCTCGGTTCAGCAACTTTACTTCAACTAGGACTATGTTGGTATGGTAAGTAGCTAGATTCTAAATAAGAATTCTTATCTTGTTCTACAATAGCTCCTTTATCTTTAGTTAATATTGGCCAGATTGAATAAAGTGTGTCTTAGGAAAAATAAATGTCTCCAATAAAAAGAAGAAGAAGGAGCATTCCACAGAAATCAAAATAATTATCTCCAGATTTACAGAATTAAAATGATTAAAATGAGTAGTCAAATAGATGGCTCAAATCAAATATGATTTAATCTGCAGGTTAATCAAATATAAATATTATTTAAGCTGGAGATTAATTAAATATTTAAGTTAACTAGATTACCAATCAATAAACCCAATACATATAGTAACAATATAATAAAACACCATAATTAGAGTAGGAGAATTTAAATTAAAACTAAAGCATCTTAGATCTGTGTATTAATTAAAATGAATAAACAGATAAATAATAAATCAAATAATAAGTTAAAATTGATCAAGAGTCATAAGAAATCAAAGCAAACTCTATAGAAATTTAAAATTAATAAAAAAATGAAGATGAGTAGAAAATTTTCAATATTGTAAAAGAATCTAAAAACAGTAAAAAATTGTAAGAGGCTTCTATTATCAAAAAAATCCTTATTTTCCACTCATTTAGCAGTATATTCTTTGTTTACAGTAACGAGTAATCTAGAGCTTTCAGATTCTCTCTATTTTATTTAAGAGTAGTTCACTCACTATCTATATCGATCATATTTGACTAGTCATATCAAGAATAGTAGATATTGATAATATCTGGTATCAATTTTGTCATCATTGTTATCAGTGTTGCTATCATTCAACTTTTATACAAAAAAAGAAAAATAGGTAAAGCAATTGCATGCATAATTATGATTGGTTTGCTTGCTCTTTACTACTATATCATTTTATCTATTGTTAGTGGCTAATCAGAAAGTTACTCTAACAGAAAAATATCCTCATTTTTTATCATGTTTGGTGTGGATTTCCTATTTTTCTCTTCACTAATTTCTTTATTTAGCATATTTATCTTTAGCTATATCGCAACAGGTGGCAACTCAAATGGAATAATACTTAAATTATTAAATTTATTATAAATATAATACATTTTAGAAAATATAAAATTATGAAATTAAAAATTTAACTGTGTTTTTTATTGCCTGTCTTATTATCATTTAAATATTATCTTATCTTATTTCTTCTAGAAAATATTTTTAATCTTAAAAACTTTGTCTAAAATAATTGAAGATTAATTGAAGATATTTATTTAGATAACTTTAAAAAAATAATTATTTATTTAATTTATGAATTTAAAACATAACTCAGAAAATTTATTTTAAATAAATATTCATACACAAATATTTAACAAGTAATCAAGTGATTTTATATCCAATCTATACAAGAGGTTTATAAGTAAGTATACATATTTTTATCCTAATTGCTAGAGAGTATTATTTATATAAAATTAAATGCTTTTTTAATTTTGGATTTGTTTATCTAATGAATTAAATTTTGAAAATTTTATTTATTTATTATGTTAAAAATTTATTTTATTCTAGTGAATTCGAATTCTAATTATCCTTTATATCCTATCTCTGATTCCAACAATATTTTTAAGTTCACATTTAAAATAGAAATATTAAGATTTAATGTTACCCTAACTTTTTTGTGATTTCTATTACTTAAAGCAAATTTAAATTTCATATAATTAATTTGCTCTTTATATCCACTTATAATTAATTAATTAAATTTCCATAAATCTATTCCATATTTTTGAAAAAAAAAATAAATGATATAATAGATTAATTATTACAGAAAATTATAAGAAGTAATTATTTATTTTTTTATAAATATACTTTAAATTTATTTTTACTAATGTTAAAAGTTTTTAAATTCTTCACTGTAATCTCATTAGGTTCTCCATATTTATCTTAGGTATATTTCATTTTTAAATTTTGTTAGTTTATTTATTAGCTTTTTATTTAATTTATTTTCTTTATCTTGTTTACTGAACTTGTGTTTTTTATCTTCTATCTTTCTTAATTTAACTCATTTTTTATTTCCAACATTTGTTTTTATTATTTATTAATTCATTTCTTATTATTTCTTCATTTTTTCTTTCTAAATAACTAATATTTTATTTTTTTTCTTCAATATTTAAAAAGTTCTAAATAAATTGGTGCAAGCGAGGCATCAGATTTAAGTTCTGCTTTAGCAAAATGCACTAATCTCTCAGATTTGACCCTTGATCTTTAGTAAAAACAGTTTATTTGTTTTGAATTGTGATATTTTAATTTATAAAAACGAATTTAAAACAATATTACTCTTTTAATTTGTTTATTAGCTTTTTATTTAATTTCTATTTCTTTTTTATTGCACTTGTGTTTTTTTTTGTTCTATGTTTCTTAATTTATTTAACTCATTTATCTATTTTCAACATTTACTTTTATTATTTAATTATTAATTCATTTCTTATTATTTGATATTTTTCTTCATTTTTTCCTTCTAAATAACTAATCAATAATATATTTTTTCTTTAATATTTAAAAAGTGGGAATAAAATTGGTGATAGAATAGAATAGAATAGAAATACTTGCACATAAATATGCACTCAGAATAACTCTTAAATTAACTATTTTATAATATTTATTTATATTTTTATTTATTTTTATGCTTATTAAGTATACCAATTATTGAATTTTAGATTATTTATAGTGAGCAAGTATAGTTTAAAATGAATTTAAACTATAAATCCTGCTTTATTCACATAATAAAATATAATATTTATTTAATTTTCCTTCTTTTTGTTCCAGACCACATTAGATATGGATTTCATTTGTTGGTTCGGATTGAGACTTGTGTATATGGAACGCCAAGTCGACAATCATTCTTTAAGTATATCTTCCAGTATGGAACGTGGAAGAGAGAATACTTAAAGAATCTTAACCCAAATGAACTCTAAGTGGGGAGCGGACATGAAGGATTTTTGATTTGCTCCTTACTAGACTATTTTGCCTGTCTTGCCCTTTGGCTATGAGTTTTGTCTTTCTTTTGTTATTTTTACAAATTTTATTTTTACTAATTTATTTCTTTTTAAAATTGGTGATTAAGGTGCATCAAGCTTAGGTTTTGCTTTAACAAATTGCACTAATCTCTCAAATTTGATACTTCATCTTAGGTAAAAATAGTTTATTTGTTTTGGGTTGTGATATTTTTATTTAAAAAAATTAAATTTAAAACATAATAACTCTCTTTTAAAATATTTATTAGTTTTTTATTTAATTTATTTTTCTTCTTCTTTTTTATTGTATTTGTTTTTTTTCTTTCTTCTATCTTTACTAATTTAATTCATTTTTCTATTTTTAATATCTGCTTTTATTTTTAATTAATTCATTTCTTATTATTTCATATTTTTTCTTCATTTTTTCCATCTAAATAACTAATTAATTATATATTTTCAATATTTAATAAGATACAATAAAATTGGGGCAATCGGTGCATCAAGCTTAGGTTGTGCTTTAGCAAATTGCACTAATATCTCAAACTTATCAATTGAACTTGGGTAAAAACAGTTTATTTGTTTTGGATCGTGATATATTTATTTATAAAATTAAATTTAAAACAATATAACTAACTCTTTTAGTTTATTTATTAACTTTTTATTTGATTTTTTTTCTTTTTCTTTATTATCCTGCTAATCTTTTTTTAGTTTTTATTTAATTTAATTTTTTTAAATATTTTACTTTATTTAATTTTATATAAAAGTGGAAACAAAATCAATGAATCATAATAATTGAAAGTAAAAAGCAAGTGTCTTAAATCAAAAAGATTAGTTGTCTATGAAATATATTTCTATTGATCATAAACAGATGATGAAAAAGTATAAAAAAAATTTTGAATAATTGAAAAAGCAATATGTTTTATTATATATTAGTTTGTAATAAGATAATTTTACCTAAAATATAGATACCTTCTGTCTAACCTGTAAGTTAAGTTAAAAAAAAATAATTTTTTGGGAAAAACTCACACGTAGTGATTAAGAAGAATTTCTAGAATGGCGTTTGGCTATACCTCAAATAATAATTTTTAAAGTTCATATAATATTTATCAATACTTTTTTTAAAGTTCTAATAAATGATCTTTCTCATAAAATACTAAAAAATCTTCAAATAAATTAAATAATTCTTCAAATTATATTGCCAAAATATTGTATTAAAATATGACAAGAAAATCTATTTATTCCTAAAAATAAATTTACAAGAGAATAAATTTTTTTATTTAAGATTTAAATTATTCTTTATATGAAATTTAAAGTTAAAGTTATAAAAATTCTTAAAAAATACATATTTTTTATTAATTTAATAAGATTTTTAAAATTATTGCCTAAAATAGATTGATTTATTAATAACAATCCTTTTGTAAGAAATCAAAAAGTAAGTTATAAAATTCTAAAGATCAAATATTTTATTAATCTATTAAAGCAGTTAAATTTAATTTTCATAAAAATAATATATTTAGACTAATTAATTAATTAATAATTATTCTTTTGTAAGAAATTTAAAGTCAAAATTATAAAAATTCTTTAGAATAAATCTTTTATTAATTTAATAAGGTTTTTGAAATTATTGCCTAAAAAATAAAATAGATTGATTTATTAATAACAAGAATTCTTTTGTCAGAAATCAAACAAAACATAAGTTTTAAATTATTGAGATCAAATATTTTATTAATCTATAAAGGCATTTAAATTTAATTATCATAAAAGTAATATATTTAGACTAATTAATTAATTAATAATTATTCTTTTGTAAGAAATTTAAAGTTAAAATTATAAAAATTCTTTAGAACGAATCTTTTATTAATTTAATAAGGTTTTTAAAATTAAAATAGATTGATTTATTAATAACAAGAATTCTTTTGTCAGAAATCAAACAAAACATAAGTTTTAAATTCTTGAGATCAAATACTTTATTAATCTATTAAGGCAATTAAATTTAATTATCATAAAAATAATATTTATAGACTAATTAATTAATTAATAATAATTCTTTTGTAAGAAATTAATAGAAGCAAGTAATTTAAATTTCTTTTATATTTTTACATTTTTGAAATTGACATGACCTTTTTTTGTTTATAATAAATATAAATATAAAATAAATATAAAAAAATTATATTATAGAAAGACAAACAAAAAATAAATGAACTCACAACTAAAAACTAAATTTGAGGAATAACTGTAAAATAATTAATTAGAAATTGAAAATCACGCCTTTCAAGAAATTTAAAATGGAGAAATTCCTACTGAATTTAAGATTATACAAGTTAATAGCTTTGGTTTTGATTTTGGTAATAATGACCTTTTATTAATTAGAGCTTTATTTTTGCCATTAAACCTGTATTAAAAACAAACATACGAAATTGATGTTAATAATAAAAAAGTTAATCTATTAGATTGCTTATATTTATGCTAAGATAATCTTAAGGATAATTATCTATAAATTAGACTTTTAAACTTTAAAAATAATAGTAATTAAAATTTGGCGATATAAAAGATTTATTACGAAAATGATAAAAAAGAAAAATAAGTACAGTTTAGAATGCTTGAAAAAAAATAAGTTCAGTTTGGAATACTTGGAGCAAAATATATTTTGGTATCTATTTAGTAAGAAAAAAGAATAGACATAAAAATTTATAATTTAGATTTAAGTTTGGTTTTTTCCCATATATCCCATCAAATATAATTTTTTAAATTTTATGATTATTATGGCATACATGAATGCTTTGATTATATTGAACCAGGAATAGTCTATATTTTGAATTATAAAATCGTTTTTAAAATAGATTTAAACAAATAGTAAGTTGAATTTAAATAGTTTGATTATGGAGAGAGTAAATTGCTGAGACTGCTTCCAATTACTTAAAGTGAATTCAATTACTACTTCAAACATTAATAGGTTCAAAACTAAGAAAACTAAAAAAATAAAGGCAATATTATTTTATTCGTAATTATAAAAAACATAATATATCAATTAAATATGTTTAGCTTAGAAATATTAAGATAAACCAATATTTAGGATCAGGAAATAATAAATGCATTTGTAGTTCCAATTTAGATTAAATAAAGATAAAAAAAAATATTTTCAAATTGGACTTTTTTAGTTAAAAAACCTCCATACGGCTACATTCTTAAAGATTGGAAAGAAAAGAATCTATTTAAAAGGGGAAAAATAGAATGGGTTAATCCAGATCATGAATATCATAATCTTGATTTTTTTAATTTTGAGCAAATAATTAGTTTTAAAAATAATATATACATCAGATGTATGCATGACGATTTTAAATCATTTTATTATGATAATTTCTATGATTATTTTTTAAAGGTAAATAAGATTAAAGGTAGTAAAAACTATATCTTCTCATAATAACTCATAATATAAAAAAGAAAAAGGTATTTGAATAAAAAAATTGAATATTTAAACCAGATTTTAAGTCCTATAACATTTAATAATCACTTAACATACCCTTGCATTATGCGTTTTAATTATTCAAGATCATATAAATAATTAAATATGCTGATATTTTATTAATATAAATAAGAAGATAAAAATTAAGCATAATATATTTTAAAATAAGTTGGTTAAGAAGATTTGATTTATAAAAATAACTAATGTATCATATTTAAAAAAAGTGATAGTTTCAAAATTCAACATTTCAAAAATAATAAACTAACAACTGAAACTTACTTTTTACCTTCTATTTAGTAAAAGTTAAAAAAATATTTGGTTGATTATTGTTTAAAAAATTTTGAATAAGTCTTCTTAGCTAGTGATGAAGTATTTAATGATAGATTCATGTTATGCTCAGTTTAGATGTTGGAAGAGTTATCAGAAGATGATGGCGATAATACTTATGTTATACTTTAGTAAGACATACTTGCATATGATAAATTTCATTCAGACTCAGAAAATAATTTATATTTGCCTATCATTTTTAGAAGAGGTTTTGATTAATACTTTGGAATTTTTGATGTTACAAAAAGACAGATCATTGAAAAAACCGTTCATAAATATTTATATACATCATTTTTATTATCTTATTTTAACTAAAAATCATCAGAATTTATCTTAATTTTCATTAAATAAATAAAATAAAAAAGTTGGATATACTTTTACTCGCTGAGTATGATCAACTTTTAATTTAAATTTATTAATCTCGATAAGTGGAGTCATAAAATTAACAATAATTTTAAAGATAATAAAATATAATTATTTGTAGATGAAAATATTTTCTATATCTTCTATTCACCATAAGTATTAGTCGAATATGATAGATATAAGAAATTTGAATTAAAGTATATTCATTAAGTTGATTTTAATAAATGCTTTGCATATGCTTATCTGGACTAATATATAAATTATCACCATCATAGCACCGAATTCTGCAAATATATTTTATAAACAGGAAATTTGGAAGGCAAAAGGGATTATCAGTGGTATTCATATGGTTTCTTTAACATTTATGACTTGTAATCAAAAACTTTAAAGCAAATTGATCTTAGTTATATATTATAATAAAATTAAGAATAAGAAGAATATTTAGAGAATGTGTCTTACTATGGTATTGCTAAGCTCTCTAGTGGAGAGATTTTATTTAATTCAGGTGAAAATGTTTATACTCTTTCTTAGTAATATTGACTCATAAAAGAGAATCTTAAATTTAATTTTTCTAAGCCTATTATTTATTTATTTGTCAGTCATTTAGATAGATGCATGTTTCTATTTAAAATTTATGAAAACTGCTAATTAAAATCTATTAAGCTATTCTCAAATAATTATTTAGTTAGAAATAGGAAATAAATTTACTCTAATTCCTTGTGTAAGTAGAGGAGCCGAATGGCCGAGATGTATTCAATTTTTTCAAAAATAAAACCTTTTTTTATTTCTTTTAATTTTTTTATTTAATTAAAAAATATTTATTTATCTACTATATTTATTTCTTTGTTTCTTTCTATACTTTTTATTGAAAATTAAATAAAGAAAAATTCTATTTTGACATTTACTTTTAAATGAAATTTTATCACTAAAATTATTTTTTAAAGCAATTTTTTAGTTTTCAAAATTGGCAATAGTAAGATTTTTTTTAATAGGCTATTCATTTGTTAATTAGCTAGTAAGAATAAAAAAGTGAATAAAATATATGAAATTATTAGAAAGCAATTCATTAATAATAAAAGAAAAAGTTGAAAATGAAAAAATAAATAAATTAGATTAAATTAAAAAATAAAGAAAGAAAGAAATTTAGAGTAAAATTAATTTTTAACAAACAACTCAGATAGAAATTAAAAATAAAATTTAATTTATTTTTTATTATTATTTATTATCATTTTTATAATAAATTAAATAATTTTATAGAAAATTAATTAAAATTAGAATTATATGCTTATTTGTTAATTTATAAAGCAGCTTTTATAATTTATGAAAAGAAAGTTAGTAAAATAATTCAATGAAAAAAATATTCTAGTCAAATTTGTTTAGCTTTAGAAATTTTTTGGTAGTTATGCATTAATAAAATTAATAACAAAATAGGATCAAAAAAATATTAAAATATCTTTGATTAATTAAATACAAATAAGAAAGGCTCTATTTTTCTGCGAATTTCAAAATTTTTAAACCAATAATTAATAGTTTGAAAAATGTTAATTTTTAATTTAAAAGCAAATATTTATTTATGGTATTAATTTTTGCATTCAATTTTTAAAATAATCAATTTAGATATAAACTGCAAAATTAAATAATAAATGACCGATTGATAGATAGATTGATTGATGGATCTATCTTAATTATTTTTGAAATGCAAAAAATTTAATAATATTTTGAATGAATTTTGCAAATAACAAATTGGATAATTTGATAAATTGAAATTTATTTGAAATTTTTATAAAAAGGCTTTTAAATATTAGTGTTTATTAATTAATTAATGTCATTAAATACAAATTAGCATAATCAGATAGACAATTATTAATGGCAAGCCTCACAAAATTCAAAGTAAAAAAAATGTCTCTTATTTAGTTAGTTCAAAATTAGGTTCAACCAAAAAGTTAAACATATTATGAATGTAAAATAATAGAAAATAGAACAATAATTCGATGAATGAGTCGATGAAAATGACAAATGGTTTCGAAGCTAGCTTAAATTAAAGTAATAGTATTCATCGTAAATAGATAAATTAGAACATAGAGAAAAGATCCAAATAGCAAGCAAATAATAAAAGCGAAGACGAAAACAATTAAAATGTTTAAAATAATGCGAATTAAAGTTAAAACAGCATCAATAATAATAATAATAATAATAATAAAAATGTTTGCTGGATTAATAATGTTAGTACTCTTAGCTCTTAAGAGAAGTAAAATAGGGCTCTTTAGTCTTTTTTCTCTGAGCAAGCACCTAATTTGAACAATTTAAGCAATGCTTAGTAATTGAGTGATTGCAATTAAGCAACAAATAAATTCTTTTAGTCTTAAAATAGGCAAGAGACAAAACTCTCTGAAGCAGGAGAGGATTTTATGACTTAGCCATTTGATTATCAATAAATTGGATATGAAAATGATCAATAGTAGCAAGTATAGTCAAGTTATCATAATATAGGGAGTAATTAGCTTAATAATTCGAAAAAGTTATCTACAAACGTGAATGCTAAAATTGATACGTTTGGAAATGAGTAAAACAACATCAGAGATGTAAATGAAAGTAGCATATAATAAAATAAAACAGATATAATAAATCAAGAGGTATTTGTGAAATCAATACTGAATTAGCTTATGTCAGCAGCTGCTATGTAAAATCAACACAATATGTACAATAATACAACCATCCATAGCAGATAATATAGCGAAAACACACCTTTTGATGTCTCTCTCAATACAAAAGTTAACAATTTTGAATAGCAAAATAACTTTCTCAGCCATTCTAATTTGAATACAAAAAATAATCAGTAAAATTTAAACAACAACAGCAGCAATGCTAATAATGGATTTTTAAATAAAACTCAAATCAATGAATTCCCTAATCTAATAATGGAAGCTGCTTAAAGCAAGAATTAGCATTTGTATAACTTAGAAGAATTCAAACCAAAGTCTACTCTCAAAATAGTCTCTCCTTCTGCTAGTTAATTATTACCAAATTTATCTGGGAGCCATACAAACAGTTTTTTAGCACAAAATTCCTTAACTAGTCCAACAGCTGCATCCTATAATATTGAAAATTACCTCCCATAAAAGAAATACTTAAAAACTCAATCAGACGAACTTGATATTTCTCTGAGTAAACAAATATCCCAAATGAGTCTGAATGACAAAAAGAACATTAATATGTAAGAGTTAGCTTAAGTTCTAATACAAGAGTTCAAAAACCAATACAAAGTCCAAGCATCTACAAATGAAAATATCACTCTAAAAGAGCAAAATCCGCTTCAATACCTTTTAATCAAGTAAAAATAAGAAAAACTCAGCTTTGTCTAACTCCCTTCCTTGAATCTCTAAATAAAAAGCTCTACAAGTAAAATATTTTTTTAAACCATATAAAATGTATCTGAATTCTTGACAAAATAAACCGTTTTAATAAAATTTTTCATACTAAATTAATAATTATTTAATTGAATTCTTATCAAAAATGTCAATAAAAATCGTAGAGTTTAATACATTTTCCAATTATTACTTCAATAAATAAATTAATTCAGAATTTCTTAGTTAAAAATGACATCAAAAAAACCTTTGAATTTTGTAGTTTTATCAAAAAAAAGAATCTTTTGTAGGAAATTCAGAGTAAACAAACAAAAAAGAATTTATTTAAGCAATTTTATCAAAAAACATTTGAATCATTTATTAATTTAATTTAGAAATATTTTTGACAATTAGTAAAAAAAAAAAGCTGTTTGAGTTCTAAAAGTTAAAGCTAAATCAACTTTTATAATAATAAATGAATAATTTAACAGAAAATACAATTTAACAAAAGATTAATTTAAAAAAAATTTACATTTTTGTTAAAAATAAAAAAAATAATTTTTATTTAATTAAATAAGAAATTGTGAGTGATTCATAGACATAGACAGACGATTTTTGGAGTGAGGAATAAGGAGAAGTACAAAATTAAAAAAATAAGAATAGAAAATAAAGCTACGAGATTGGAGGATAATATTAAATAAATTAAATGTTGTTAATGTAACAGTAAAATCAGTAATTTAATTAGCAAAATGTAAACAAGTTAAATATAATGGGGTAGAGCATGGTTTCAAGAAGAAGCAGCTTATAAAATTAGAATACTATTTAGTAGCATCCTGGTTTTGAATATGAACTTGAGAGCGAATTACTTTCAGAAGAAATTCATTTCAATCATCCTAATAATTTTAATCAGCTGAATCAGTAACCACTTTCGATGAATACAAATAATACTTAGCATAATTAAATGTACATCTACAAAAAAGGAAGTATGAATACAGAGCAAATATCAATACCTACATTGAGTTCTCCTAATATTCTTAAAGCTCAAAACTGTTTTCCTGCAAATTCTATTCAATCTGTTTAATAAAAATTTGATTTCAGGAAAAAATCAAACAGCAATTATGAAAAATAGTTACTTACTTCGCCTTAGCAAGACGAAAACTAATAAAAAATAAACTCATAGCCTTCATAAAATAAATCTTTGGCAATTAAAAATAACAAACCTCCCCAGCATAATTCTAATTTGATATCTGGTTATTAAAATGGTATGAATAGAAATAATAAAGGCCAAAATGTTATCGATAAAGAAACTATTGAATCATTTCAAGAAAATAGGTATAATCAAGATATTTAAATGAGTTCTCTTGAGGCGAAATAAAGATAAAAATTATATGAACTAGAAATTCAACAAAAACAGTTGGAAGAAGAATTTCTATAAAAGCAAGGCTAATACTATAACTCAAATTAAGATGAAGAAGACGAAGAGCTAGAAAATAGCAAATAATATTAAATGGAAAATAATAAATAATATGAAATCAACAAATACAACAACTAATAACCATATTAAAGTAAAAACATCTAAATTTAGCAATATTTAAATCAAAATCATTAAAATTAAAGAAATATTGACTAAAATATGTCAGATTACTAAAAATCTTCAACTGTTTAAGCTAACTAATTTAATAACTTTTAATAGTAAAATCACCACAATGAATAATAAGCAGAACAGAATTAGTAGTTCTACAGAAATAAATAAAATTTCTCTGAATCTTAAAAAAATTATAACAATTAAGAGGATAATTCTCTTGATATGGAGACAATAATGAAATTAGAAAGAATACCTTTTCCAAATATTTCTTTATCAAGAAAGGATAGCATAATAACTAATTCCAACTATGCGAACCTTCCTTCATAACAAGTAAATAATTCTTCTTACAAGAACAATAATCCTGATAACAGTCTTATCTAGCAAAGTGGATATTTACAAAATAGCTTTAACAATGGTCCAAATTCTTAAAACAATTCTTTTGTGTCTTTAAATATTGTGCACTCCAAAATACCAAAGGGATTCACAAATAGTTAGCTTAAACCTCGCAGTTTCTCAAGCAGTACAAATTAGAATTACTAAAACTCTTAATAAAATATGAATTATAGCTATTATAACCAACCTAGTGGTGATTACAGCGATAACAAGTAAAATAGCAACTATTCTCCCAATCAAAAATCAGAAAATAAGTAAGTGAAAAACTAATCAGAACAAACAACAGGACCTGAAAAGAAATAAACAACATTTAGCTTTAATCACAGTGATTACTTGGGTGACAATAATTTAAATAAAATGGAAGTAGATGAAGAAAATCTGATTAATTAAAAAAATAATTTATATGAAGACTAATCTTAAAAATTAAATTATCACCAATAAAACTTGCTTCCAGAAAATCTTACAACATTCAAAACTTTTGGTCAAACAATAAAACCAACTTCATCAACCTTAAAATTAAGTAATTAATTTTATAAATCGTTCAAAAATTTGTTTTTAAAAATTTTTAAATATTTAAATAGGCCAAAGAGAAGCACTCAATTCCACCTAAAAAGAAGATGATAATTTATTCAGTAAAAAGCATCCCTTTTATGAATCTAATGAAAATCCTTTAAACTCTCCTCATTAAATAAAATAAAGTAAATAATTTGTTTTTCATTTTTATTAAAACAAGTTTCTTTTCTTTTTAGAAAGAAAAAATTTGTTGATAAAATTAATTTAAAATAATTAAAATTTTTATTTAATTTTTATCAAAACTTTTGCTAAAGTTTTGTCTAAAAAAATTATTTTATTAAAATTAAATAAAAAAGAAATTAAATAATTTTTAAAAATAAAATTAGACAGAGAATTTGAGAGAAAAATTATAATGATTTAGTCTTTCTTTAGATATTGCTATTAATACAAGAGGTAATTATTTTATGAAACTATGGCTAAGTGCTTGATTCATAAGAAGCAAGTGTAATAGTAAACAAATAGAGAGAAGAAAGAGTTTTCATAGAGAACAAATTATGAAGTGGATAGAAGCAGCGATTCATAATATAACAAAGACTCAGCTGTATAATAATCAAGTGAGTTATTCATAGACTCCATGTTCACTTAGAGTCAAAGAATGAACAATTAAAATATTCCCAAAAAGCCTTATTAGCAAACACCAAAAGGCGAATAATTAATCAGCAAAGAGTCTTAAAATTAGGCACAACCATCTAGTAGGAGAAGTGTGTTTAATTAGATAAATTAAAGTAGTAATATTTATAATACTAGTAATAACTTTGCTGATTCTAAACTTAGCTACGATTTAACAGTTTCACCTACAACTGAAAGAAGAGTAACATCTTAAAGAGGTAGTAAAAAACAACTTTCTCCTAAATCAAATAGAGATTACAATCAAATCTTAGAAAGTAGCTAATAAGCTCTTTAATAAAACAAAGACCTCCATAGTTAATTATTAAATTTAAAGAAACAAGCAAGCTCGTAAGAAAAATCTTGCTCCAAATAAATTGAAGAAGAAAGTGTCAATAAAAGCATTATGAATAAAAGCAACCAAAACCAAATAAATATTTATACAGATAAATCTAACCAAAGTGATAACAAAGTAGAATCTTCACAAAACAGTATTAAACAAGAATACAGATCAATCAATTCTGTTTCTCACAAATCTAATTATTTTACTAATCAAGTCAACATGCCATTCACCCATATTAATAATATTTAAAACATTCTTGATGCAGTTTTCAATAACTGACTAATTTTGAATTAATTAATGTAAAATATTATGAAAATTTTCACTTATAAGTTATTAAGTAAATAAGTAAGCCCTTTTTATATATTTTGTATATTAAAAATTAATCATTTAATTCATTATTAATCTATTCATACAAATTAAAAAACTTTAGTCAAGATTTAAATAATTTTTTGTTTCCATTATCAACTTAATTTACAAATTATTTTTAAGAATGATAACAAACGCTTTAGGAATATTTAATCATTTCAATACAAATAATTAAAATTTATATAAAAATTTAAATGATTATTTTTGAATAATTAAAAAATAAATAAAATATTATACTAAAATAAATTCATGTTTTATCGTTTTATCATTCTCATAATCCCATTTTTCTAAGTATAAAGCAACTTACATTTTTAAATGTAAAATGAGAAATAAAATTTATGTAAAAGTTTTTTTAAAATGCTTTTATTGTAAATATTACAATTTGTTTTTTCTCATTTCTTTTTTGATTAAGTTTCAAATATTATTCTCAAAAAGAAAATATTTTTTTTATCAAAAATTAATTTTTTTTTGTAATTTATATTTTTTTAAACTTTCAATAAGAAGAGGTAATTTCAATCAAATGCAGTCAGATTTTATTCATTCAAATTTATATAATTAGAAGATAGATAATTTAAAAAATTTCTAATATAGATAATAGATTGTTTTATTAAATCAAAGTAAACAATTAAAAAATATCCATTGAAATTAGCACATAAATCCAAAAAAAAACATAATTTTTTAAAATTATAATTATAAAATTTGCAAATTAAAAGAATATCGTGAAGATAATATTTTCATGTAAGTCTTTAACAATAAGAATTAATAGAGTTTTTTAGTAAATTTAGCTTGACTGAAAATTATATATAGTGATATCATAAATAAATAAATGTGCAATGAGCTAACAAAATAACTAAACAAACAAACAACTAAATAAATAACCAAACAAACAAAGAAACAACTAAAAAATAACTAAACAAACAAACATATAAATAAACAAATAATTGAATTTAAAAGATCTACTTAGAAAGATTGAGATGAGAGTGTTAGCAATAATAAATCATATTTGAATGGTTAAATTAAGGAGATAAAAAAAGATATCAAAAATATAAAATGCTTAAAATTGATAGAACTTTTTAAATGTTCCAGAAATATTCTATAGTTTTTTGCTTGGATTTTCATTTAAAAAAGCAAATAAAATCAATTGAAATCAAATTTTAAATAACTTAGAATTAGCAAATTTAACAAATCTCAAAGGATGTCTAATAATTTAGTAGGAAATATAAATAAAGATTCTCTGGACATGCAAAGCTAGTTAAGTGATGAAGAGGCTTAGGATTAGCAACAAAACTTGCTTCCTATTTGCAAAAATGATCCCTCTAATTTAGATGAATATCTGATATTTAGGAGAGATAGCGTTTCCAATCAAAACTAGTTCATTAATCCTAAAAAATTTTTAAAAAGTCAATACTACTCTGGGAACGATGGTGAGTATATTGATAGTGGCTATGGAGACGATACTCTTTCAAGCATCCAATCAATTTAAAAATTTGGATTTTTAGATCCAATGACTGGAGCAGCTACTTAAATTGTCTATAATATGCTTAGCATCTAAGAGGCAACAGACGCTATTTTAGAATGTGGTTGTGGTACAGAATACATTCTTCCATATTTAGTTTAAATGAAGAAAAAGCAGTGCAAATTGTTTCTGACTGACATTTCTAAAGTAAAATTAAGTGTAATTAAGCATAAATTAAAATTACTAGAGGTTAATCCTCTTAGTACTAAGTTATATGACTATAATTTTGTTCCTAATATGGAGGAAGATTGGTAGGAATAAGATAAATTGCACACTAATTGTATTAAAAATGATGGATAAGAGCTTTGCGATAACATTTAAGAATAAGTTAAATCAAGTGGCTTATACTTTAATAAAGGATTGAATGTGTTTGCAGAAAGAGCCGATGCAACAAAGTTGTTTTATGCAAACTCTGTGTTTGACATTTATTTTGGCGGAATGCTAATTAATGAAGTTAAAGATCCTTTTCAAGCGATAAAAGAAGCTTACAGAGTTTTGAAGAAAGGAGGCAGAGTTGGTTTTACTATATGGGATAGTGAATCTAACAACAGTGATTTCGATGAAATTATGAGCAAAGCCATCTAAAAAGTGACTGGAGCCAGGACTGAATTCAAATATATTGATTAAGATGAAATCCTTTCAGTGAAAGAATACAAATTAATGATGGAAAGAGCTGGCTTTAAAAACATCCTAATATGGAGCTAATTCATTCCCTATAATTTCTTCACCAAAGAAGACTATGAAAATCATCTTGATAAAGACAAAATCAATGAGCAAAATATCCAAATTAAAAATGAAGCTCTCATCTTATTTGAAGAAAAGCTAAGAAGAGAAAACTCTCCCTTTGGAATGAACATCCTATGCATTGTAGCTTAAAAACTTGACTGAAAAATGCTTAAAAATAAATAAATTTCAAAATACAAATTAAATAGAACAAATAAAAAAGAAAGAAGATAAATAAATGATTCTTCATTTATAATTTGAGTTGAATGCTCAATTCAAAAACTCTAAAGAATTTTCTTTTAATTTAAAACAAACAAACAAAAAATAAACAAATAACAATAACTAGCAAGCTAATTAAAAAGTAAAAAGAATTAATTAATAATTCAAACAATTATAATAATTCTTTTTGCTTTAAACAAATAACATCTACATCAACAAATAAATAAATAAAATCCATCTCTACTTAATTTATTAAATTATATTATATTTTTTACTTATTTAATTATTTTGTAAATTTCATTTCTAATATATTCATTGTCTGTGTTTCTCATTTTATAATTTAAGTATTTATTTATCATAAACCAATCATTTCTTTATTGCTTTTGTTTCTAATATTTTTCTTTATTTTTACTTAAATTATTTTTCTTTTCGCTTTTATGTTCTTTTCAAAATAATTTTTATTTTTTTTATTTTAATTTTTTTTATAAATTTTAAACAAAAAAAATTTAATTTGTTAATTTTACTTTTTTTTAATAAAGATTTACAAAAGATAAATTGACATGCTTAAAAAATATTTAAATAATTTAGCATTTTCATTTAATTTTTCAAATTATTCAAAGAATACTATTGATTTTAAATTTTTGATTAATTTTAATAGTTTTTAAATTTAATTAATATAGATAGATATAAATATATATTAACTATCATTATTTTTAAACTTATATGATGTGTGATCAATTTATTTTCTGTGATATGTTGACCCTTTTTTCTTAAGCATAAAAGCTTATATTTTGATAAGAAATTTCTTCAATGTATATTTATTTTCATTTGTTTTAAACACTAATGAACAATTTTATTTTTCTTATTATTTATTAGTATTATTAAATAAAAAAAATACTATTAACTTCTACTCTCAAGTATATCTAAACATCAAATATGTTTAAAATATTTTTATATATTGTAATTTATTTTTATTAATTTCCATTATTAATACATCAAATTTTTTTCTATGATATAAAAGCTTCACATTTACATAAGTAAATAAGAAGTCATAATAAGAAAGACAAAAATAGCAATTATAAAAGATTTGACCTTTTTTAACAAAAGTTGAGGAAGGAAGGAATGAATGAATTTAGAGTAATTATTTTATTTAAGTAAATTTAATTTGATTATTTATTAACTTACAAAGAAATGATATTTATAAATATAAAAATTTTAATAAATTTATACTTTAGGTTAAAAGATCCTACCTATTACAAAATATTATTAAATAAAACATTTGATATTTTCAAATATTTTTAATTTATTTCTCCTATTTAGCCAGTTTTTTATCAAAAATAAAAATTTATTTGAATGGCAACTAATCTTTTTGATTTAAGAAACTTGCTTATTACTTTCAATTATGATGATTCATTGATTTTATTTTAACTTTTATTGTCAATTAAATTAAATTACTAAAAAAATTATATTAATAAAAAAAGGAAAATAAATCAAATAAAAAGCTAAAAAATAAAATTGTTTTAAATTCATTTTTAAATTAAAAAATATCACAATATCCAAAACAAATAAATTGTTATTACCCAAGATAAAGTGTTAAATTTGAGAGATTAGTACACTTTGATAAAGCAGAGCCTAAGCTTAATGCACCTCCATCATCAATTTCATTTTAACTTTTTAAATATTGAAAAAAATAAATAATTAGTATAAAAGAAAAAGTTGAAAATGAAAAAATTAGTTAATTTAACAAAAAAAGAAGAAAGAAAAAATAGGGAAAATAATAAAAAAAAGAAAAAATAAATAAAATAAAAAGCTAAAAAATTAAAAGATTAATAATTTTTTCATTTTTAATTTAAAAATATCACAATATTCTAAACAAATAAACTGATTTTACCTGAGTTTAATTATTAAATTTGAGAGATTAGCGAACTTTGCTAATTCAGAACCTAAATCTGATACACCAATTGCACCAATTTAATTTTCGCTTTTTAAATATTGAAGAAAAAATATAATTAATTAGTTAGTCTGAAAGAAAAAATATAAAATAATAATAAATTAAAAATAAAGAAAAAGTTGAAAATTAAAAAATTAGTAAATTTAATTATAAAAAAAATAATAAGTAAAATAAAAAAGAAAATAAATTGAATAAAAAGTAAATTAATAAATTAAAAGGGTGGTTAAATCTTTTTTAGATTAATTTTTTTATTAAAAAATATTGCCAAATCCAAAACGAAAAAAAAAATTTTACTTAAGATCAAGTGTCAAATTTGAGATATTAGTACAGTTTACTAATTCAGAAGCTAAACCCTATACACCTTCATCATTAATTTAATTTTGACTTTTTAAATATTGAAGATAGAAGGAAATAAAGAAAAAAATGCAATAATAAGAAATGAATTATTAATTAATAATAAAAGAAAGTTATAAATTAAAAAAAAAGAAAAAAAATATAAGAAGAATAAAAAAGAAAAAGAGAAATAAATCTAATAAAAGCTAATAAATTAAAAGAGAAATATTTTTTTAAATCATATTTTATATTAAAAAATATTACAATATCCAATACAAATAAACAGTTTTTACCTAAGATCAAGTGTCAAATTAAAGAGATTAGTGCACTTTGCTAATTAAGAACCCAAGTTTGATGCACCAATTGCACCAATTTAATTTTCGCTTTTTAAAGATTCAGAAAAACAAAACAAAATAATTAATTAGTTAGTTAGAAAGAAAAAATGAAAAACAAATCAAATAATATGAAATTAATTAATAAAAATTGAAAAAGTTGAAAATTAAAAAAGAAAAAAAAAATATCAACAGAATGAAAAAGAAAAAGAAAAATAAATTAAATAAAAAGCTAAAAAATAAATAAAAAAATAATATTTTATTCATTTTTAAAATAAAAATATCACAATATCTAAAACAAATAAAAATAAACTGATTTTACCTAAGTTCAAGTATTAAATTTTAGAGATTAATGCACTTTGATAATTCATAACCTAAGTCTTATGCACCAATTGCACCAATTTAATTTTCGCTTTTTAAATATTCAAGAAAAAAATAAAATTATTTAGTTACTTAAAAAGAAAAAATTAATAAAAATATTAAATAATAAGAAATTAATTAATTAAAAATAAAAGAAAAATTAAAGTTTAGTAAAAAAAAAAAGTTGAATAAAAAAGAAAAAGAAATCAAATAAAGAGCTAATAAATAAATAAATTAAAAGAGTAAGTTGTATTTTTATAAATTCATTTTTTATTAAAAAATATAACAATATCAATCAATATCCATAACAAAGAATCTATCTTACCAAAGTTGAAGTGTCAAATTTGAGAGATTAATGCATTTTGCTAATTCAGAGCCTAAGCCTTACGCACCAATTGCATCAATTTAATTTTCTCTTTTTTAATATTTAAGAAATAAATAAAATTAATTAGTTAGTTAGAAAGAAAGAAAGAAAGAAAAAATAAATAAATAAATAAATAAAAAATATGAATAATAAGAAATGAATAAATTTATATAAAAGAAAAAGTTGAAAATGAAAAAATGAGTTAAATTAACAAAGAAAGATAAAAAAAAAACACAAATACAATAAAAATAAAATAAAAAAATAAAAATTTTTATTTTTTTTATAAATTTATTTTATAAATCACAATATCCATAACAAATAATATGTTTTTACCTAAGTAGAAGCTTCAAATTTGAGAGATTAGTGCACTTTGCTAAACCTTAACCTAAACCTGATGCACCAATTGCGCCAATTTAATTTTCACTTTTTAAATGAAAAAGAAAAAAATAAAATTAATTAGTTATTTTGAATGAAAAAAAATGAATAAACAAAGAAATTAATTAATAAATAATAAAATCAAAAGAAGTTAAATGAAAATATTAGTTAAATTAACAAAGAAAGAAAAAAAATATAAGCAGAATAAAAAGGTAAAAAAAATAAATCAAATAGAAATGTATTAATAAATTAAAAGATTTCTATTATTTTAGCTTCATTTTTAAATTAATAATTATCAAAATATTCAAAGAAAAAAACTGGTTTTACTTTAAACAAAGTATCAAATTTGAGAGATTAGTGCATTTTGCTAATGCAGAACCTAAACCTGTTGCACCTTCATCACCAATTTCATTGTAACTTTTTAATTATTGATTGAAGAAAAAAATATTATTAATTAGCTAGTTAATTAGAAAGAAAGAAAAAGTGAAGTAAAACTAAATTATTAAAGAAAATGTTGAAAATCAAAAAATGATTATTAATAAAATAAATTAAAAGAGCTATTTATTTTAATTTCATTTTTATATTAAAAATGATCATAATATCCAAAACAAAACAAAATTATTTTTACAAAAGATCAAGTGTAAAATTTGAGAGATTAGTGCATTTTGCTAATGCAGAGCATAAGCCTGATGCACCGACAGCACCAATTTCATTTTCTCTTTTTAAATGTTTAAGAAAGAAGTATAATTTTTTAGTTAGTTAGAAGGAAAAATGAAGAAATAATATGAATTAAAACAAAATAAAAAAATTATTTAAATGAACAAAAAAGAAGAAAAAAATTAATAGAATAAAAAAAAGAAAAATAAATCAAATAAAAAGCTAATAAATAAATTAAGAGCAATATTGTTATTAATTCATTTTATACAATATCATAATATCCAAGCAAATAAACTTTTTTTACTGAAGTTGAAGTGTCAAATTTGAGAGTTTAATGCAATTTGCTAAAGCAGAACCTAAGACTGATGCTCCAATTGCACCAATTTAATTGCAACTTTTTAAATATTGAAGAAAAAAATAAAATTAATAGGTTAGCTAGATGGAAAAAATTAGAAACAACAAAATGAAATAATAAAAATTAATTAATTAATAATAAATACAAAAGTTGAAAATAAAAAATTAGTTAAATTAACAAATAAAAAAAAACATGAGCATAATTAAAGAGAAAAAGAAAAATAAATCGAAAAAAGAGATAACAATATATGCTTTAAATTCATTTTTTTAAATTAAAAATATCCCAATAACCAAAATAAATAAACTTTTTTTACCGAAGTTGAAGCGTCAAATTTGAAAGATTAGTGCACTTTGCTAAACCATAACCTAAATCTGATCCACCAATTGCACCAATTTAATTTTCGCTTTTTAAATATTGAAGAAAAAAATAATATTAATTAGTTGGTTTGAATGAAAAAATGAAGAAACAATTGAATTAATTAATTATTAATAAAAGCAAAAGTAGAAAAATGAAAATAAATATTAGTTAAATTAACAAAGAAAGAAAAAATATATAAGCAGAATAAAAAAAAGTAAAGAAAAATAAACAACATAAAAAACTTACAAATAAATTATAAGAGTTATTTTGTTTTAAATTCATTTTTTTAAATTAAAAAATATCACTTTATCCAAAACAAATAAACTGTTTTTACCGAATTTATAGTGTTAAATTTGAGAGATTAGTGCATTTTGCTAGTGCAGAACCTAAGCCTGATGTACCTTAATCACTAATATTATTGCGACTTTGAAAAAAATATAATTAATTAATTTATACATAATGAAATAATAAAAAAATAATTAATTAAAAATAAAAGAAAAAGTAAAAATAAAAAAAATTAGTAAAATAAACATTGAAAGATAAAAAAAGAAGTAGAATAAAAATTAAAAAAATCAAATAATAAGTTATTAATAAATTAAAAGAGTTAAATTGTTTTAAATTCATTTTTTTTCTATAATATTCAAACAAATAAACTATTTTTACCCAAGATCAAGTGTTAAATTTGAGAGGTTAGTGCACATTGCTAAAGATGAACCTAAGCCTGAAGCACCATCATCACCAATTTAATTAGAACTTTTTAAATATTCAAGAAAAAAATATAATTAATTAATTAGTTAACTAGTTAGTTAGTTAGAAATAAAAAATGAAGAAAAACTAAATAAAAAATGCAAAAGTTGAAAATAAAAAAATGTTACTAATAAATTAAAAGAGTTAGTTATATTTTTTTAAATTCATTTTATTCAAAACTAAAAATTTACTAAAGAGTAAGTGTCAAATTTGAGAGGTTAGTGCATTTTGCTAATCCAGAACCCAAGCCTAGTACAGCAATTGTATCTATTAAATTTCCACTTTTTAAATTTAGAACAAAAAAATATCTAGTTAGAAAAAAAAAATGAAGAAACGATGTGAAATAAATAATAAGAAATGAATGAACTCATTTATAACAAAATCAAAAGTTGAAAAATAAAAAAATAAGTTAAATTAGCAAAGAAGCAAAGAAAAACAAGAAGAATTTAAAAACATAAAGAATAATAATTCAAATAAAAAGTTTAATAATAAATTAAAAGAGTTATATTATTTGATATTCATTTTTATATTAATAAAGATCGCAATTTCCAAAACAAATAAAATATTTTATACCTAAGATCTAGTGTCAAATTTAAGAGATTAATACAACTTGCTAAAGCAGAACCTAAGCCTGATACACCAATTGCACCAATCTAAGTTCCTCTTTTTAATTATTGAAGAAAAAAATATTATTTAGTAAGTTAAAAAGAAAATATAGCACTTCCAGGTATTAATTAAATTTTTGTAGATGGGGAAAATTAAGAATTTTATTCATAGATTTATTTGCTCTAAAGTAGTTTAATTAATTGAATAAATAATTTTTTATTTATTTTTATTACATTTTTTTTTTAATTTTTAAATTTAAATGTAATTTCAGATATTAATTTTATTTATTTAGAATAGATTTTGATTTTCTAATACATATATATATGCTGAATTATTTTAAAAGGAAATATTTATTATTTAATAAGTAAAATATTTCCTTTTTAGTAAATTATTAAAAATAAAAAAAAATTATTGCAAATTTTAATTAATTTTTTACCTTTTTTCTTAAATATTATTATAAAAAAAGAAGTATTTATTTTTGCTTTATAAAATAAATGAAAGTATTTTGAAATTAAATAATTAATAAATGAAATTTTTTTTAAATCTCATAAAAATTTAAGATTAAAATCTGAATCTTAGTTGAGATTGATTTTTAAAAGATACTAGAAAATAAATTAAGTAAATTTTACTTACTATTTTGATTTTATTTCAGTTAAAATAAAAATTAATTAGAAATATTATTATTAATAAAAATTTTATAAAATAAAAAGTGTTATTTTGTTTTATATCCTTTTTTATATTAAAAAAGATGGCAATATCCAAAACTATTAGTACCTAAGATCAAGCGTCAAATCTAAGAGATTATTACAATTTGCTAAAGCAGTACCTAAGCCTGATGTAGCAATTGCACCAATACGATTGTAACTTTTTGAATATTGAAGAAAAAAATATAATTAATTAGTAAATCAGAATGAAAAAATAAATGAAGAAATAATAAAAAATAATAAGAAATGAAAAAAGTTGAAAATGAAAATTAAGATAAAATAAATAATTAAATTATTTATATAAATAAAAATGAATAAATAAATATTGATGAGAATTTCTAAAAGAAAAAATTTAGTAAATAACTTGAAAATTATTAAATAAAATGACTTTAATAATAATATTAATAAACTAAATATACCACAGAGAAATATGGAGTACCAAATGAGATTATAGTGAAGAATTTAAAAACTTTTTAATAAATTAAAGTAAATTTAAAAGATATTAATAACATTATAAATATTTACTTCTTCTATATTGTTAAAATATTTTTGCTATTTTATCATTTATTTATTTTTTTCAAAAATACTGAATAACAATTAATTGAAATTTAGTTAATTATAAGTATATTTAAAAACTAATTCAATTTTATTACTAATTAATGGATAAAAAGAAAAAATTAATTTTAATAATTATCAAATATAAATAAATTTATAAATTTGCTTTTAGGAAGAAATATCACAAAAAAGTTAGTGAATTATTCATCATTAATATTAATATTTCTATTTAAAACGTGTTTTAACTAATTAACACCCTTTCAGCTCTTTTACCATATTAATATTAGATTATATCCATGTAAAATTTTATTGAGGATTAATGTATTAATGAACAATATTTAAACACTGTTAGTAAAAACATTTTCCCCCCACCCCATATTTTATTTTTTATAGTAATAATTCTGAAAACTAAAATAATTTTTTGTGATAGTGAGTTTTTTGACCCTCCTCGCTATCTCGATCGCAAGCAAACCTTATTGAGGATTTACGTACGGTATATGAAACTTAATAATTTATAAAAAATATAAAAATTTCAAATAATCATAGAATTTAAAAAATTAATAAATTAAAAAATTCACAATGTATCATATGAAATTAAGTATAATGATAAAATTTAAATTTAATAATAAAAAATTATAATAAATATGAAAATTTATTTCAAATAATTATGAAATTATATAAAAAGTTATCAGTTAAAAAATTATAAATTTCATAATGTATCAATTTTAAAAGATGAGATTAAATATATCATAAAATTTAAATCAATCTAGATAACTTCAATCATATATGCTCTGTTTTATTTCTAATCTTCATTTAGATAATGAAGGATTAGTTGTGCTTAAAATGATTTTTTATTGAGATCATCAATTAAATTTCGTTAAATTGAGCTTCATGAAATCTTTGTTTACTCACAAATAAAAGCGATATATAAATAAGGATTATCCTTAATAAATTATCTTACTTTTCATACCTAATCCTTAAATTATCACTAAGTAATCTCTGTACTCTCTCTAAATTTTTATGCTATATTCAAAACTTAGTGTTTAAAATCGACATCTCTTCCTTTAATGAATTTTTCAAATATTCGTATATTAGAGTTGATAAAATATTGTTATCAACAATTATTTTGAAAAAAAAGAAATTTTTTATTTATTATATTCACCTGTAATTGTAAATAATTAGAATTATTTTTAATGTTTTAATGTTCAATAATTTTTATTAATATACTATCAATGACGGAAGCACTCCTTATTAACTCTATATTCATAATCTTTAGATATAGGTTGATATTAAAAATATAAAAAATTATGATCATATTTCATTAAGAAGATATTATTTAGTTGTGAAATTTTTTCTTGGTGCAGCTATATTAAAACTGGTGTCTACCTTATATACAATATATAATTCGAAAAGAAAAAAAAATTTTCTATATTTGTGACATTTATTTTACTCACTATGAAGTAGCAAGATGCTAAAAAATTAAAATAAATTCTTTGAATAAATCAAATAATATTTAGTTTATAAATATATTTTATTTTTTGTTAATAGATTTATTATTAAAAAATAATTTTGAAAAATAAATAGTTATTTTTGAATTCTTTGGCAAAAAAAGTGAAAGTTTACTTTTTTCAAATGAATTTTTTCGAATTTATTACAATTATTACCTATTATTTATTACATCATCTTAATGTTAAATTTTTGCTTATGATAATAAATTATGATTCACATTTTTTTCTCAAATTTTCTTTAACAAAATTATTGATTTGCTCAATAAATGTTTCTTTAAAGATATATTTATATTATCTTAAAAAAAATTAGATACTACTTAAAAATACTATCTTAGAGGTATTAAAATCTCTATTTATATATTATTCAATTTTTTTTATAATTATATTCAAAATATAAATTTTCTAATATTATTTTAATTTAGTTTTACTATCTGATCAATAGATTTTCCTTATTACAACAAGCTGTAAATAAAATTAATTCAAAAATTTTATACCTAAATTTATTATTTTGTTGCAATACATTTTCTCAACTTATATTTATTTACATTTAATATATTAAATATCGTTAAAAAATTTAAGTAAATAGATTAATATTGATTAGATATAATAGTTAACCGTGATAAAACTTTTAGTATTTATGATTGCTTAATTTATTGATTATAATTTATTAATTTTAGTTTAATATTTGCATATGTATTTTTTATCAGTTAAAATAAATAACTTGTTTAATTTAATTTATCTAACTGACTGAATGACATCATTTAATTTCATTCATAATATTTATCTACATTCCAAAATTTTTTTGTTGCATTTATAATCTTACTATTAGAATGTATGATGTAAACATATCTATTCTTTTTATTTTAATAAAGTCGATCTTTTTAATTAGTTCAAATTACTTTTTTTTAATTTAAGATATAAATAATCTGATTAATTTAATTTATCTTACTTACATCTATAAATTTTATTCTTAATATCTATCTACATTTCAAAATTTTTTATTTGTTGCTGAATATTAAAATAAATTAATTTCATGAATAATTATATGCTATTATTGACAAAAATGGTTAAATGAATTGTGCTTACTATTAACTTAATTTATTTAAAATTTTATTATTAGGAAAAAGATGTAAAAATATATTTTCTTAATATATTAACAAAATCAATCTTCCTAATTACTTCTAATTAATTTTTTACCTACCGCAGATTAATATTTTGATCATCTGAAAATTCATGTCCCACTGTAAAAAAATAATACAATAAACTTTTTTCAAATTAATTTTTTGAATTTCTTACATTTATTTATTACCTATTATTACAGTATTTTTAATATCCTAATGTTAAATTTTTGCTTTTGATAAATAATTGTGTTCACATTTTTTTTTCAAATTTTCTTTAATAAGATTATTCATTTGCTCAAAAAATGTTTCTTCTTTTGATATTTTTATTTCATCATTAAAAAATTAGATACTATTTAAAAATACTACCTTAGAGGCATTAAAATCCTCTATTTAGATATAATCCAATTTTCTTTTTATAATTGTATTGAAAAGCTAGTTTTTCTTTTGCTATCTAAACAACAGATTCTCTATATTACTACAAACTATAAATAAAACTAATTCAAAAATATTCAACCTAAATTATTTATTTTGTGTCAATATATTATCTCAATTTATATTTTGATTTAATATATCAAATATCCTTTAAAAAAAAAAATATGAATAGATTAATATTGATTAGACATAATATTTAGTCATGATAAAATTACATTTTTAGTATTTATGATTGCGTAATTTTTTGATTTTAGTTGTATATTTGTATTGTTATTTTCTGTAAGCTAAAATAAATAATCTGATTAATTTAATTTACCTTACTGACATCATTTAATTTCATTCATAATATCTAAATACCACAAAAATTTTTTTTGTTACTGAATATAAAAATAAAATAATTTTATGAAAATAATTCCATGCAATGATTGACAAAAATTGTTAATTGAATACTACTTACTATTAACTTAAATTATTTATAATTTTATTATTAGACAATAAGATGTAAAAATATCAATACTTTACATTTTAACAAAATCAATGTTCTTAATTAGTTCTAATTACTTTTTTAAATTCAGGCTATTAATAAACATACTGATTAATTAATTAATTTAATTTATCTTACTTACATCTATTAATTTCATTCATAATATCTTCCTTTCTAAATATTTTTTTGTTTCTGAATATAAAAATAAATTGATTTTATGAAGATAATTACATACTTTTATTTACAAAAATGGTTAATTACATACTTTTATTATTAATTTTAATTATTTATAATTTTATTGTTAAAAAATAAGATGTAAAAATATCAATACTTTTAATTTTAAATAATTAATCTTCTTAATTACTTCTAATTAATCTTTTACCTACCACTAATTAATATATAGGTCATCTGAAAATGATTGGATAGAGAAAAAATTTAGCAGGGAAGGTCAGACTTCAAACATATTTGCCTTAAAACGCTCCGATTGTAACTTTTCTCCCAATTAATTTGAAATATCACATTTTTTGAAAATAGATCTAAAATAAATATAAAAACAGGTAATTAGATATTTAATTAATCAAAATAATTAGACAATTTTAACAAATGTTTGGTACTTAAATAATTAAAAATAATTAATAAATTAAATAATAATTAATTAATTAATTAAATTACTAAACCTTAAACATTAGTAAATGAATAAATAATTATTTGCTTTTATAGCAGTATTATGCTTCTTATAAGTTGTTCTTTCTGTTCCTCCTCCTCCTTCTCCCTGTCCTCTTTGTTCATATAGCCCTAGTGGCACAGCCTAATCTGGCCCATGTTCTAGCTGCCCGCGTGGAAAATGTACAGTTGGTGTGTAAACCTCTGGAAATGATTCAACTGTATGTACAGTTAATTCATGTCCTAAAGGAACATATAGTTAAACGGGTTTTGATTTAGCCATAAATGGATCACCTTGTTAAAATTGCCCTCCAGGTACAACAACTGCTGATATTTCTACTTAAGGATCAAGTCCATTAGCTTGTAATATTGCTCTTAAAGCATGTGCTTAAGGTAGCTATTCTGCCTCAGGATTAGATACAGATGGATCTGGAGCTGGATGTACTTCTTGTAATGCAGGTACATCAACTCCTAATACTTAAACTATAGGAACAGATTAATCTGTTTGTACTGTTAATCTTAAAGCATGCGCTAAAGGTAACTATTCCTCCTCAGGATTTGGTACAGATGGATCTGGAACTGGATGTACTTCTTGTAATGCAGGTACATCAACTCCTAATACTTAAACAAAAGGAACAGATTAATCTGCTTGTACTCTTAAGGCCTGTCCTGCTGGCTCATATAGTGTATCATCTTTTGATACAGATGGTAATGGGTCAGGTTGTAATAAATGTGCTGTTAATACTTACTCTGCTTAAGGTGCTACTTCTTGCACTCCTTGCACTAATAATCGTACCTCTCCAGCTGGATCTACTGCTGTAACTGCTTGTGTATGCCCATAAGGAACATCTGGTCCTACAGATGGTATCAGTTCATGTTCTATCACTACTAGTAGTGGCTCAATAAACACTCTATTTATATCACTCATTTTTATTTTATTGTGTTTATTCTGAATCTAAAATAAATAAATAAATAAACTGTATTTTTATTTTTTCTGTATAATTATTGTTAATACGTGTGTCATTACTCATTTTAATTCTTAAGTTTATTTTCAAAAAAAAAGATATTTAAAAACCACAAATTATGAAAAGTAATTTTAATTAATTTTTAATTTCTGATAAACAAGCTTAGAAGATTCTCAAATTTTTTAAGTAAAAGTTGTTTAAATGAAATAATAATTCATCAAAAAAATTAAATATTTAATTAAGCATTTTTTATCTTTTAATTGATTTTGTTAGGTTCAAAACCTATTGTTAATTTCATTTTTTTATAATTATAAAAAATTTTTAATTCAACTAAAACCTTATTGACTATAACTAAATAAAATTCCTCAAATAGCAATCTTGTAAAGAGATATTGATGTATTGTATTAAATGTAAAGTAAAAAATTATTCAAAATTTTTGTTATTCGTTCATAAATACTTTTTAATGAGGTAAACTTACAAATCAAAGAGGTAAGTTATTACTAATTATTAATACTAACATATCCTTTTAAGAAATCTATTTCATTCAAATCTGTAAAAGAATTTAAAAATAATCAAGAAAAAAAAATTTTTTTATACTAACAAAAGATCAAAAACCTTTTTTAATACAAAACCTACAAAAAGCCACTGTATTGGTATAAAATTTCAACTGAATAAAGAGATAAAATTTTAAATACCTAAACTTCATATTTGAAAATTTTACTAATTAATTAACTTATATTTTTTATTATTTTGTTTTAAATTACAGTATCTTAATACCTTAATGTTAAATTTTTGCTTATGATAATAAAAGATGATTCACATTTTTTTTTCAAATTTTCTTTAATAAAATTATTGGTTTGCTCAAAAAATGTTTCTTCTAAAGATATTTTTAATTGATGTAAAAAAAATTAGATATATATTACTTAAAAAATCAACCTTAGAGGTATTAAAATCCTTTATTTAGATAATATTATAATTATGTTGAAAAGATAAGCTTAAAAATATTATTTTAATTTAGTTTTACAATTTAAACAACAGATTTTCATAATTGCAACAAGCTTTAAATAAAATTAATTCAAAAATTTTCTACCTAAATTTTATCTTTTGTAGCAATATATCTTCAACTTATATTTACTTTTAATATATCAAATATCCTTAAAAAAAAACAAATAGATTAATATTGGTTAGACATTATTATATTTATTCGTGATAAAATTACATTTTTAGTAAATATAATTGCCTAATTTATTGATTTTAATTTATAAATTTTAGTTTAATATTTGTGTGTAGGTATTTCTATGAGTTAAAATAAACAAGCTGATTAATTTAATTTATATTACACACTTCATTTAATTTCATTAATAATATTTATCTACATTCTAAAATTTTTTTGTTGTTTCTGAATAAAAAAAAAATTAATTTTATGAAAATAATTACATGCTTTTATTTACAAAAATGGTTAATTGAATACTACTTACTATTAATTTAAATTAATTATTTATTTATTTATTTTTGTAATGAAGCAAAAATATCAATACTTAATAATTTAACAAAATCTATCTTCTTAATTACTTCTAATTACTTTTTTACCTACCACTGATTAATATATATATAGGCCATCTGAAAATTCCTGTCCCACTGTAAAAAAAATATTCTAATTACACATTTCAAAGATGTATAGAGGAATTCATTAATCCACTTAATTTTAAATATTTTAAAAATATAAATTTTAGGGAAATTTTAAGATAACCATTAGAAAATTTACTTTTTTTAAATGAATTTTTTAGAATTTCTTACATTTATTTATTACCTATTTTGACACATCTTAATATCTTAATGTTAAATTATTGCTTATGATTTTAAATGATGATTCACATTTTTTTTTCAAATTTTCTTTAATAAAATTATTGATATGTTTAAAAAGCGTTTCTATTGTTCATATTTGTATTTCATATTAAAATACTACTTAAAAATACTACCTTAGAGGAATTACCTCTATTTATTTAGATATTATCCAATTTCCTTTTTATGAATATAGAGAAATAGCTAAGTTTTCTAATATTATTTTAATTTAGTTTTACAATCTAAACAACAGATTTATTTTCCTTATTGCTACAAGTATTCTAACTAAATTTTTTATTTTGTCTCAATATATTTTCTTACTTATATTTACATTTAATATACCAAATATCCTTTTAAAAAAATTATAAATAGATTAATATTGATTAGACATAATAGTTAGTCGAGATAAAATTACATTTTTAGTATTTACGATTACCTAATTTATTGATTTTAATTTATTAATTGCATATCTATTTTCTATGAGTTAAAATAAACAAGCTAATAAATTTAATTTATCTTACTGACTGAATGACATCATTTAATTTCATTCATAATATTTATCTACATTCCAAAATTTTTTTTTGTTGCTGAATATAAAAATAAATTTATTTTATGAAAATAATTACATGCTATTATTGATAAAAATGGTTAATTGCATGCTACTTACTATTAACTTAAATTATTAATAGTTTTATTATTAGAAAGTAAGATGTAAACATATCAATACTTTTTATTTTAAGAAAATTAATCTTCTTAATTAGTTCAAATTACTTCTTTTTAGATTCAAGCTATAAATAAATAAATAATCATATTAATTTAATTTATCTTACTTACATCTAAAAATTTCATTCATAATCAATATTTACATTTCTAAATATTTTTTTTGTTGCTGAATATAAAAATAAATTAATTTTGTTAAAATAATTACATGATATTATTGATAAAAATGGTTAATTGCATACTACTTACTATTAACTTAAATTATTTATAGTTTTATTACTAGAAAGTAAGATGTAGACATATCAATACTTTTTATTTTAACAAAATTAATCTTCTTAATTAGTTCGAATTACTTCTTTTTAAATTCAAGCTATAAATAAATAATAAGATTAATTTAATTTATCTTACTTACATCTATACATTTCATTTATAATAAATATCTACATTTCAAAATACTTTTTTTGTTGCTGAATATAAAAATAAAATAATTACATGCTATTATTAACAAAAATGGTTCATTGAATACTACTTACTATTAACTTAAATTATTTATAATATTATTATCAGAAAATAAGATGTAAAAATATCAAGACTTAATATTTTAACAAAATCAATCTTCTTAATTACTTCTAATTATTTTTTTTCCTACACTGATTAATATATAGGTCATCTGAAAAAATATAAAGAGAGAAAAAGGTCGATATATTATTAATTCGTTAAAAAATTTTTTTTAATGTTATAAAATATTACCCTCCTCCACTCCTCCAAGTAAAATGATTGGAGAACGAAAAAATTTAGCATGGAAGGTCGGACTTCGAACGTATTGTCCTAAAACGCTCTGATTTTAATTTCTCTCCCACTTGATTTGAAAATATTACAATTTTTAAAAATATATCTAAAATAAATATAAAAATAGGGAATTAGATTCTTTATCAATCAAAATAAATCAATCGACTATTTTAACAAGTGTTTGGCACTTAAATAATTATAAATAATTAATAAATTAAATAATAAATAATAATTAATTAAATAAATTACTAAACCTTAAACATTAATAAATGAATAAAAAACTATTTGCTTTTATTGCAGTGTTGTGCTTCTTAGAAGTTGTTCTCTCTAATACCTGTCCTTTTTGTACATATAGCCCTACTGGCGATGATTCAGCTGGCTAATGTACCAGCTGCCCTAGTGGAACATGTACACAAAATAATGGAACAGTTGGATAAAGCTCAACTGCATGTACAATTAATGCATGTCCTATAGGAACATATAATTATTCAGGTTTTGATTATAGCATTAATGGAAATCCTTGTTTAAGTTGTAATCCAGGTACGTCAACTCCTACTAGTCATACTAGAGGAACAAGTTAGGCTTCTTGTACTGTTACTCTTAAAGCATGTCCTAAAGGTAGCTATTCTTCATCAGGATTTGATACAGATGGATCTGGATCTGGAGCTGGATGTACTACTTGTAATGCAGGTACATAAACTCCTAATACTTAAACTAAAGGAACAGATTAATCTGCTTGTACTCTTAAAGCATGTGCTAAAGGTAATTTTTCTGCTTCAGGATTTGATACAGACGGATCTGGAGCTGGATGTACTGCTTGTAATGTAGGTACATCAACCCCTAATCCCTAAACTATAGGAACAGATTAATCTGTTTGTACTGTTACTGTTAAAGCATGTGCTAAAGGTAGTTATTCTTCCTTAGGATTTGATACAGACGGATCTGGAACGGGATGTACTACTTGTAATACAGGTACATCAACTCCTAATACTTAAACAAAAGGATTAGATTAATCTGCTTGTACTCTTAAAGCATGTGCTAAAGGTAAATATTCTGCTTCAGGATTTGATACAGACGGATCTGGAGCTGGATGTTCTGCTTGTAATGCCGGTACATCAACCTCTAATACTTAAACTATAGGAGCAGGTTAGTCTGTATGTACTGTTACTCTTAAGGCCTGTCCTGCTGGAACATATAGTGTATCATCATTAGATACAGATGGTAATGGATCAGGTTGTAATAAATGTGCTGTTAATACTTACTCTGCTTAAGGTGCTACTTCTTGCACTCCTTGCACTAATAATCGTACCTCTCCAGCTGGATCTACTGCTGTAACTGCTTGTGTATGCCCATAAGGAACATCTGGTCCTACAGATGGTATCAGTTCATGTTCTATCACTACTAGTAGTGGCTCAATAAACACTCTTTTTATATCATTCATTTTTATTTTGGTGTCTTTATTCTGAATCTAAAATAAATAAACTATATTTTCTTGTTTTCTGTATGATTATTATTAATACCTATGTTGTTACTAATTTTAATTCTTAAGTTTAAATTCAAAAGAAGATATTTTAAAAACCACAAATTAAGAAAATTAATTTTAGTTAATTTTTAATTGCTGATAAGCAAGCTTAGAAGATTCTTAAATTTTTTTTAGTAAAAAGTTGTTAAATCAAATATTAATTCATCAAAAAATTAAATATTTTATCTTTTAATTGACTTTGCTAGGTTCAAAACCTATTATTAATTTATTTTTTTAACACTTTTAAAAAATTTTTAATTTACCTAAATACTTATTGACTATAACTAAATAAAATTCTTCAAATAGCAATCCTATAAAGAGATACTTATGTATGTATTAGATGTAATGCATTAGTTCGTAAATAAATTTTAATGAGGTAAACTTACGAATCATAAAGGCAAGGCAAGGTATTGCTAACTATTATTACTAAAATATTTGGCTGAATACAATTTTTTTTATTTAAAGAAATTAATTTTTTCATTTTATTTTATTTTATTACTCAAAGTATAATTTATTCAAAATTGGAACATATATTTTACAGAGTTAAGGTTTCACTAAATAAATTATATTGATAGAGGTCTATTATAATGTATGTCCGTCTACCCATACTACTATCTAAGTTTCCATTTTTAATAATTTGCATATTTTTATACTAATTATTTTTATTTTCTGAAACCCATACTTATTTTTTTAAAAGATCAACTTTAACAAATATCGCTTCCTCTCATATATAGTAAAAAGTAGATTCTATCTATTTCAAATAAAAGAAAATAAATAATTTTTTAGTAAGACTCCAAACCTCCAATTTGTATTTTTCTAGAATATTTAGAGAACATTTTATAATAAAAAATAAGTTATGCACTTTAAAATTTATAATACCTCATTAAAAAAAATTACATAAATTCTTGATATGAAATAAGCATATAAAAAGCCAAATTCAAGCATTAACGACTTTTAAATTCATTAATTTACTCTAAATATTCTGAAATAAAAAAATCAAATTTGTATTGTCTGAATGAATAAATGATAGTTTAAAAAAAAAATATTTTATGATTTTAAAAAATATAAAACGAAAAAAATGACCACTAATGTTAAAATAAAAAGTAAAACTTGATTTCTCCCTGAAGTATTATTTAAATAATGATATTTAATTAATCATGATAAATAAAAAAAGGATAGAAATATGATTGATGGATAATATTTAAGATTAAAATATAACTGGCATATAAAAGTTTGGCATTTATATAATTTAATAAAATGTAATATAACACTAAAAGTTTCAATTTATTTGATCATTTTTGGAGAAACCAAAGGGTTTGCTTATGAGGATTTAATTTATTTAAGTAAATTTAATTTTTTTATTTTTTATAAATAATTTAAATACTTACAAAAATATGAATGATATTTATAAATATAAAATCAATAATAAAATCTATCTATCTATATTTTAGGTTAAAAACACTTTTTCAAAATATTATATAATAAAATATATAATACTATTCAAGCATTTTATATTTATTCATCCTTTTTTCATCTATTTTTTATCATTAGAAATAAAAGACAACTAATCTTTTTGATTTAAGAAACTTGCTTAATACTTTGAACTTTTATGATTCATTCATTGGGCTAAAACTTTTATAATAAATTTGTGTAAATTTTAAAATAAATATCAAATTAGAATAAACTTTTAAATTTAAAATTATTCTTTAAATTAATAAATAAAATAATATTAGTGGAATAAAAAAGATAAAAAAATAAAAGCTATCAAATAAATTCAAAGATTTTTTTTGTTTTATATTCATTTTTGTAGTTTAAAATATCACAATCCAAAACAAATAAATTATTTTTACCCAAAATAAAGTGTCAAATTTGAGAGATTAATGCAATTTGCTAAAGCAGAACCTAAGCCTGATGCACCTTCATCACTAATTTAATTAGACCTTTTTAAATATTGAAGAAAAAATATATCATTAAATAGTTAATTAGAAGGAAAAAATGAAGAAAAAATATGAAATAATAAGAAATAAATAATAAAAGCAAAAGTTGAAAATAAAATGATGAGCTAAATTAACAAAGAAAGAACAAAAAAAAAGCAAGCACAATAAAAACAAAAAGAAAAAAGAGCTTTATTGTTTTTAATTAGTTTTTATAATTAAAAATATCACAATCCAAAACAAATAAACTTTTTTACTAAAGGTAAAGTGTCAAATCTGAGAGATTAATGCAATTTGCTAAAGCAGAACCTAAGCCTGATGCACCTTCATCACTAATTTAATTAGACCTTTTTAAATATTGAAGAAAAAATATATCATTAAATAGTTAATTAGAAGGAAAAAATGAAGAAAAAATATGAAATAATAAGAAATAAATAATAAAAGCAAAAGTTGAAAATAAAATGATGAGCTAAATTAACAAAGAATGAACAAAAAAAAAGCAACACAATAAAAAGAAAAAGAAAAAAAAGCTTTATTGTTTTTAATTAGTTTTTATAATTAAAAATATCACAATCCAAAACAAATAAATTGTTTTTACCAAAGGTCAAGTGTCAAATTTGAGAGATTAATGCAATTTGCTAAAGCAGAACCTAAGTCTGATGCACCAATTGCACCAATTTAATTATCACTTTTTAAATATTGAAGAAAAAATATATCATTAAATAGTTAATTAAAGGAAAAAATGAAGAAAAAATATGAAATAATAAAAGCAAAAGTTGAAAATAAAATGATGAGCTAAATTAACAAAGAAAGAACAAAAAAAAAAGCAAGCACAATAAAAAGAAAAAAGAGCTTTATTGTTTTTAATTAGTTTTTATAATTAAAAATATCACAATCCAAAACAAATAAATTATTTTTACCCAAGGTGAAGTGCCAAATTTGAGAGATTAATGCAATTTGCTAAAGCAGAACCTAAGCCTGATGCACCAATTGCACCAATTTAATTTTGACTTTTTAAATATTGAAGAAAAAATATATCATTAAATAGTTAATTAGAAGGAAAAAATGAGAAAAAATATGAAATAATAAAAGCAAAAGTTGAAAATAAAATGATGAGCTAAATTAACAAATAAAGAACAAAAAAAAAGCAAGCACAATAAAAACAAAAAGAAAAAAGAGCTTTATTGTTTTTAATTAGTTTTTATAATTAAAAATATCACAATCCAAAACAAATAAACTGTTTTTACTAAAGGTAAAGTGTCAAATCTGAGAGATTAATGCAATTTGCTAAAGCAGAACCTAAGCCTGATGCACCTTCATCACCAATTTAATTGTTACTTTTTAAATATTGAAGAAAAAATATATCATTAAATAGTTAATTAGAAGGAAAAAATGAAGAAAAAATATGAAATAATAAGAAATAAATAATAAAAGCAAAAGTTGAAAATAAAATGATGAGCTAAATTAACAAAGAAAGAACAAAAAAAAAGCAAACACAATAAAAAGAAAAAGAAAAAAGAGCTTTATTGTTTTTAATTAGTTTTTATAATTAAAAATATCACAATCAAAAACAAATAAATTGTTTTTACCTAAGGTAAAGTGTCAAATCTGAGAGATTAATGCAATTTGCTAAAGCAGAACCTAAGCTTGATGCACCTTCATCACCAATTTATTTGTTACTTTTTAAATATTGAAGAAAAAATATATCATTAAATAGTTAATTAGAAGGAAAAAATGAAGAAAAAATATATCATTAAATAGAATAAGCTACCATACAAATTTACAAAAAGCAAGTTTCATTTTATAAAATTAAAATTTTAAATATTTTTTATTCGCCTTAAAAAGGTCCAATAAAAATTTAACTCCCATTTGATTTGAAATATTACATTACAATTTTTGAAAATATTATCTAATTAAATATAAAAACAGGGAATTAGATACTTAATTAATTAAAAATTAATCGATTATTTTAACAAGTGTTTAGCACTTAATTAATTATAAAAAAATAATAAATTAAATTATAAATAATAATTAATTAAATAAATTACTAAATCTTAAATATTAATAAATGAATAAAAAACTATTTGCTTTTATAGCAGTGTTATGCTTCTTAAAAGTTGTTCTCTCTCAATCTCCTTCTCCCTGTCCTATTTGTACATATAGCCCTAGTGGCGACAACTAATTAGGTCCATGTAGCAACTGCCCTAATGGATTATGTACAAATGGTGTTGGGACATTTGGAATGTCTCAAAATGTATGTACAATTAAAGCATGCCCTAAAGGATAATATAGCTCTTCAGGTTTTAATTATAGTGGACCTGGACTTTCTTGTTAAAGTTGTAATGCAGGTACATCAACTCCTAATACTTAAACTAAAGGAACAGATTAATCTGTTTGTACTGTTATTTTTAAAGCATGTGCTAAAGGTAGTTATTCTTCCTCAGGTTTAGATACAGATGGATCTGGAGCTGGATGTAGTTCTTGTACTACAGGCACATCAACTCCTAATACTTAAACTATAGGAACAGATTCATCTGTTTGTACTATTACTCTTAAAGCTTGTGCTAAAGGTAACTATTCTGTCTCAGGATTTGATAGAGACGGATCTGGAACTGGATGTACTCTTTGTACTGCAGGTACATCAACTCCTACAACTTAAACTAAAGGAACAGATTAATCTGTTTGTACTGTTACTCTTAAGGCCTGTCCTGCTGGCTCATATAGTGTATCATCATTTGATACAGATGGTAATGGATCAGGTTGTAATAAATGTGCTGTTAATACTTACTCTGCTTAAGGTGCTACTTCTTGCACTTCTTGCACTAATAATCGTACCTCTCCAGCTGGATCTACTACTGTAACTGCTTGTGTATGCCCATAAGGAACATCTGGTCCTACAGATGGTGTAAGTTCATGTTCCATCACTACTAGTGGCTCAATAAACACTCTTTTTATATCACTCATTTTTATTTTAATGTCTTTATTCTGAATCTAAAATAAATAAATAAATAAATAAATAAATAAATAAATAAATAAATAAACTATATTTTCATGTTTTCTGTATTATTATTGTTAATCCATGTGTTTTTATTCATTTTAATACTTAAGTTTATATTTTAAAAATTTAAACTCATTTTTAATTACTGATAAGTAAGCTTAGAAGATTCTCTAAATTTTTTTAAGTAAAAAAGTTGTTAAATCAAATAATAATTCATCAAAAAATTAAATGTTTAGTTAAGCAAATTTTATCTTTTAATTAATTTTGTTAGGTTCAAAACCTATTTTTAATTCCATTTTTTTATATTTATAAAAATTTTTTAATTCAACTAAAAACTTATTTACTGATAACTAGAAAAAAATTCTTCTTCAAATGGCAATCTTGTAAAGAATGTATTGTATTAGATGTAAAGTAAAAATTATTCAAAATTTTTGTTATTCATTCATAAATGTGTTTTAATGAGGTAAACTTACGAATCAAAGTGGCAAGGTATTACAAATTATTATACTAAAATATTTGGTTGAATTCAATGTTTTTTATATAATTCAAAATTTTTGAATTTAAATTTTATGCAAATAAGTCGAAACCCAGCTTAACCAATATTATATTTACAATATTTAGTTATCATTGACATGTATTATTATATAAAATTTATGATTCCTTAGCTTTTAACATAAATGTGTATGGGTTTCGTTAAAAAAAATTTAGTAATAGTATTAAAATATTTTTTAATTTAAAATTATAATAAATGATGGATGATTCACATTTTTTTTCAAATTTTCTTTAATAAAACTATTGATTTGCTCTAAAAATGTTTCTTCTTATTTCGTCTTAAAAAATTAGATACTACTTAAAAATACTACCGTAGAGGTATTAAAATCTTCTATTAGATGTTATCCAATTTTCTTTTTATAATTATACTGAAAACCTAAATTATCTAATATTATTTTAATTTAATTTAGTTTTACAATCTAAACAACAGATTTTCCTTATTGCAACAAACTATAAATAATATTAATTCAAAAATATTCAACCCAAATTTTTAATTTTGTGGAAATATATTTTCTCAACTTATATTACATTTAATATATCAAATAACCTTTAAAAAAAATTTATAAATAGATTAATATTAATTAGACATAATAGTTAGTCGTGATAAAATTACATTTTTAGTTTTTATGATTAACTAATTTATTGATTTTAATTTATAAATTACGTTTAATATTTGCATCAAGTTATTTCTATGAGTTAAAAGAAACAAGCTAATTAATTTAATTTATCATACTTACATCATTTAATTTCATTGATAATATTTATCTACATTCCAAAAATTTTTTTTTGTTGTTGTTGAATATAAAAATAAATTAATTTTATGAAAATAAGTACAAGCTATCATTGACAAAAATGGTTAATTGAATACAACTTACTATTAACTTAAAATTATTTATAATTTTATTATTAGAAAGTTAGATGTAAAAATATCAATACTTAATATTTTAAAAAAATCAATCTTCTTAATTATTTCTAATTACTTTTTTTAATTCAAGCAACAAATAAACAAACTGATTAATTAATTTATTTTATCTTACTTACATCTATAAATTTCATTCATAATATATATCTACATTAAAAAATTTTTTTTGTTGCTGAATATAAAAATAAATTAATTTTATGAAAATAATTACTTGCTATTATTTATAAAAATGGTTAATTGAATACTACTTACTATTAACTTAAATTATTTATTTATTTTTATAATAAGAAAATAAAAAGCAAAAATATCAATACTTTATATTTTAACAAAATCTATCTCTTTAATTACTTCTAATTAATTTTTTACCTACCGCTGATTAATATATATATAGGCAAATGATATATATGAAAATTAGCAAATGAATGATTTTACTTTTTTCAAATTAATTTTTTATAATTTCTTACATTTATTTATTACCTATTTTTACAGTATCTTAATATCTTAATGCTAAATTAATGCTTATGATAATAAATGATAATTCACATTTTTTTTGAAATTTTCTTTAGTAAAATTATTGGTTTGTTCAAAAACTGTTTCTTCTATTCATATTTTTATTTCACCATAAAAAAATTAGATGCTACTTAAAAATGCTACCATAGAGGTATTAAAATCCTCTATTTAGATATTATCCAATTTTCTTATGATGATTTTATTGAAAAAGCTAAGTTTTCTAATATTATTTTAATTTAGTTTTACAATCTAAATAACAGATTTATTTTCCTTATTGCAACAAGTATTCTAACTAAATTTTTTATTTTGTCGCAAAATATTTTCTCAACTTATATTTACATTTAATATATCAAATATCCTTTTAAAAAAATTTATAAATAGATTAATATTGATTAGGCATAATAGTTAGTCAAGATAAAATTATACTATTTGTATTTATGATTGCCTAATTTATTGATTTTAATTTATTAATTTTAGTTTAATATTAGCATATCTATTTTCTATGAGTTAAAATAAACAAGCTGATTCATTTAATTTATCTTACTTACTGAATGATATCATTTAATTTCATTCGTAATATATATCTACATTCCAAAAATTTTTTTTGTTGCTGAATATAAAAATAAATTAATTTTAATAAAACAATTACATGCTATTATTGACAAAAATGGTTAACTGAATACTAATTACCAGTAACTTAAATTATTTATAATTTTATTATTAGAATATAAGATGTAAAAATATCAATACTATATATTTTAACAAAATCAATCTTCTTAATTAGTTCTAATTATTTTTTTTTAAATTCCAGCTATAAATAATCTGATTAATTTAATTTATCTTACTTTCATCTATAAATTTCATTAATAATATTTATCTACATTTCAAAAATTTTTTTTTATTGTTGAATATAAAAATAAATTAATTTTATTAAAACAATTACATGCTATTATTGACAAAAATGTTTTATTGAATACTATATACTATTAACTTAAATTATTTATAATTTAATTATTAGAGTATAAGATGTAAAAATATCATTACTTTATATTTTAACAAATCTATCTTCTTAATTTGTTCGAATTACTTTTTTTTAAATTCAAGCTATAAATAAATAATATTTATCTTACTTACATCTATATAATTCATTCATAATGTATATCTATATTTCAAAATTTTTTTTCATTGCTAAATATAAAAATAAATTAATTTTATGAAAACAATTATATTCTATTATTGGTAAAAATTATTAATTAAATACTAATTACTATTAACTTAAATTATTTATAATTTTATTATTAGAAAATAAAATATAAAAATATCAATACTCTACATTTTAACAAAATCAATCTTCTTAATTACTTCTAATTAATTTTTTATAAATTACTGATTAATATATAGGTCATCTGAAAATTCATTTACTTCTTTAAAAAAATATTGTAATAAGTTAGATAGTTCTTTTGTTAAAATTTTTTTTAAAAATATTGAAATATTACCCTCCAAGTAAAATGATTGGAGAGGGAAAAATTTAGTATGATAGGTCAGACTTCTAACATATTGGCATTAAAACCTCCGATTGAAAATTCTCTCCCACTTGAATTGAAATATTACAATTTTTGAAAATACATCTAAAATAAAAACAGGTAATTAGATACTTTTTCAATCAAAATAAATCAACTATTTTAAAAAGTGTTTGGCACTTAAATAATTATAAATAATTAATAAAAATAAAAAATAATAATTAATTAAATAAATTACTAAACTTTAAACATTAGAAAATGAATAAAAAACTATTTGTTTTTATAGCAGTGTTATGCTTCTTAGAAGTTGTTCTCTCTAATCCTCCCCCTCTCTGTCCTCCTTGTACATATAGCGCTACTGGCGATAGCTCATCTAGCCCATGTACCAACTGCCCTAGTGGATTATGTACAAAAGATGCTGCAACAGTTGGATAAGATCCAAGTGTTTGTACAATTAAGCCATGCCCTAAAGGAAAATATAGTTCATCTGGTTTTGATTACTCATAATTTGGACTTTTTTGCAATAATTGCCCTCCAGGTACAACAACTGCTAGTAGTTAAACATCAGGAAATTCTCCATAAGTTTGTAATGTTACTCTTAAAGCATGTGCTAAAGGTAGCTATTCTGCCTCAGGATATGATACAGATGGATCTGGAGCTGGATGTACTGCTTGTACTGCAGGTACATCAACTCCTAATATTTAAACTACAGGAACAGATCAATCTGTTTGTACTCTTACTCTTAAAGCATGTCCTAAAGGTAACTATTCTTCCTCAGGATTTGATACAGACGGATCTGGATCTGGAGCTGGATGTACTCCTTGTACTGCAGGTACATCAACTCCTAATACTTAAACAAAAGGAATAGATTAATCTGTTTGTACTCTTAAAGCATGTGCTAAAGGTAACTATTCTGCCTCAGGATTTGATAATGATGGATCTGGAACTGGATGTACTGGTTGTACTGCAGGTACATCAACCCCTAATACTTAAACTATAGGAGTAGATTAATCTATTTGTACTGTTACTCTTAAGACCTGTCCTGCTGGCTCATATAGTGTATCATCATTTGATACAGATGGTAATGGATCAGGTTGTAATAAATGTGCTGTTAATACTTACTCTGCTTAAGGTGCTACTTCTTGCACTTCTTGCACTAATAATCGTACCTCTCCAGCTGGATCTACTGCTGTAACTGCTTGTGTATGCCCATAAGGAACATCTGGTCCTACAGATGGTGTCAGCTCATGTTCCACCACTAGTAGTGGCTCAATAAACACTCTTTTTATATCACTCTTTTTTATTTTAATGTGTTTATTCTGAATTTAAAATAAATAAATAAATAAACCATATTTTCATGTTTTGATTATTGTTAATACGTGTGTTGTTACTCATTTTAATTCTTAAGTTTATTTTAAAAAGAAGATATTTTAAAAACAAAATATTATGAAAAGTAATTTTAATTAATTTTTAATTGCTGATAAGCAAGCTTAAAAGATTCTCAAATTTTTTTAAGTAAAAAGTTGTTAAATCATATAATAAATAATTCATCAAAATATTAAATATTTAGTTAAGAGTTTATTATCTTTTAATTGATTTTGCTAGGTTCAAAACCTATTTTTAATTTCATTTTTTTATACTTATTAAAAATTTTTAATTCAACTAAAAACTTATTGACTGATAACTAAATAAAATTCCTCCAATAGCAATCCTTGCAAATAGATACTTATGTATATATTAAATGTAGTTACTAGTTTGAAAATATGTTTTAATGATGTAAACTTACGAATCAAAGAGGTAAGATGGTATTACTAACTATTATTACTAAAATATTTGGTTGAATTAAATTTTTTTTAATTAAAGAGATTTTTTCATTTCATTTTATTTTATTATTCAAAGTAATATATTAGATTCATAGAGACCTACCTGACCCAACCACCATTTTTTGAAAGGAATTTTGTTATTTTCATTAAATCTGCAGTTTTTTTGGGTGCATCTATATTAAAACTGGTCTCTCTCTACCTTACATATAATATATTATTCATGAAAAAAAAAAATTCTCTATATCCGTGCATTTATTTTACTTACTTACTATGAAGTAGCAAGATGCTATAAAATTAAAATAACCTCTTTGAATAAATAAAACGAAAGCCAGCCAGTTAAAAAATTTTTTTAATTTTTTTTAATAGATTTATTAAAATAATTATTTTGAATTCTTTAGCAAAAAAAGTGAAAGTTTACTTTTTTAAATTTAATTTTTTAGATTTTTTTACATTAATTACCTATTACTACAGCATCTTAATGTTAAATTTTTGCTCATGATAATAAATGATGATTCGCATTCTTTTTCAAATTTTCTTTAATAAATTATTGATTTGCCCAAAAAATGTTTCATCTAAAGATATTTTTATTTCATCTTAAAAAAGTAGATAATATTTATAAATACTATCTTATAGGTATTAAAATCCTCTATTTAGATATTATCCAATTTTCTTTTTATGATTTTATTGAAAAAGCTAAGTTTTCTAATATTATTTTAATTTAGTTTTACAATCTAAACAACTGATTTTCCTTTATGCAACAAGCTATAAATAAAATTAATTCTAAATTTTCAACCTAAATTTTTTTTTTGTGCCAATATATTTTCTCAACTTATATTTACATTTAATATATCAAATATCCTTTAAAAAAATATAAATAGATTAATATTGATTAGACATAATAGTTAGTTGTGATAAAATTTCATTTTTAGTATTTATGATTGCCTAATTTATTGATTTCAATTTATTAATTTTAGTTTAATATTTGCATAGGTATTTTCTATGGGTAAAAATAAACAAACTGATTAATTTAATTTATCTTATTTACATCGTGAAATTTCATTCATAATATCTATATTCCAAAAATTTTTATTTTCTTACTGAATATAAAAATAAATTAACATTATGAAAATAATTACATGCTATTATTGACAAAAAGGGTTAACTGAATACTAGTTACTATTAACTTAAATTATTTATAAGTTTATTATTAGAAATTAAGATGTAAAAATATCAATACTTTATATTTTAACAATATCAATCTTCTTAATTATTTCTAATTACTTTTTTTTTAATTAAAGCAACGAATAAACAAACTGATTAATTTAATTTATCTTACTCCTTTAATTTCATTCATAATAGCTATATTCCAAAAATTTTTGTTTCTTACTGAATATAAAAATAAATTAATTTTATGAAAAAAATGATATGCTATTATTTTCAAAAATGGTTAATTGGATACTACTTACTATTAACTATAAATTATTTATAATTTTATATTTAGAAAAAAGGATATAAAATATCAATACTTTCATTTTAACAAAATCAATCTTCTTAGTTATTTCTAATTACTTTTTTTTTAATTCAAGCAACAAACAAACAAATTGATTATTTAATTTATGTTACTCCTTTAATTTCATTCATAATAGCTATATTCCAAAAATTTTTGTTTCTTAATGAATATAAAAATAAATTAATTTTATGAAAAAAATGATATGCTATTATTTTCAAAAATGGTTAATTGGATAATACTTACTATTAACTATAAATTTTTAATAATTTTATAATTAGAAAAAAGGATATAAAATATCAATACTTTCATTTTAACAAAATCAATCTTCTTAGTTATTTCTAATTACTTTTTTTTTAATTAAAGCAACAAATAAACGAATTGATTAATTTAATTTATCTTACTCATTTAATTTCATTCTAAATAGCTATATTCCAAAAAATTTTTGTTTCTTACTGAATATAAAAATAAATTAATTTTATGAAAAAAATGATATGCTATTATTTTCAAAAATGATTAATTGGATACTACTTACTATTAACTATAAATTATTTATAATTTTATATTTAGAAAAAAGGATATAAAATATCAATACTTTCATTTTAACAAAATCAATCTTCTTAGTTATTTCTAATTACTTTTTTTTTAATTAAAGCAACAAATAAACGAATTGATTAATTTAATTTATCTTACTCATTTAATTTCATTCTAAATAGCTATATTCCAAAAAATTTTTGTTTCTTACTGAATATAAAAATAAATTAATTTTATGAAAAAAATGATATGCTATTATTTTCAAAAATGGTTAATTGGATAATACTTACTATTAACTATAAATTTTTAATAATTTTATAATTAGAAAAAAGGATATAAAATATCAATACTTTCATTTTAACAAAATCAATCTTCTTAGTTATTTCTAATTACTTTTTTTTTTAATTCAAGCAACAAATAAACAAACTGATTAATTTAATTTATCTTACTCATTTAATTCCATTCATAATAGCTATATTCCAAAAATTTTTGTTTCTTACTGAATATAAAAATAAATTAATTTTATGAAAAAAATGATATGCTACTATTTTCAAAAATAGTTAATTGGAAACTACTTACTATTTACTATAAATTATTTATAATTTTATAATTAGAAAAAAGCATGTAAAATATCAATACTTTTCATATTAACAAAATCAATCTTCTTAATTACTACTAATTACTTTTTTTTTAATTCAAGCAAAATAATGTAATTAATTTAAATCTTTCAGGTGGGGGATCCTAACTATTGAGGTTGAGAATGATTTGGAAAAAAATTTCATTATTATAATTTCTTTAAAGATTTTTTTAAAAATGTTGCAAAATATAACCCTCCTAGAGAAATGATTGGAGAGCGAAAAAATTTAGCATGGAAGGTGAACTTCAAACATATTGGCCTTAAAAACGCTCCGATTGTAATTTCTCTCCCAATTAATTTGAAATATTACAATTTTTGAAAATAAATATATCTAAATTAAACATAAAAACAGGAAATTAGATACTTAATCAATAAAAATAAATCGATTATTTTAAAAAGTGTTTGGCACTTAAGTAATTATAAATAATTAATTAATAAATTAAATTATAAATAATAATTAATTAAATTAGTAAACCTTAAACATTAGTAAATGAATAAAAAACTATTTGCTTTTATAGTAGTATTAAGCTTCTTAGAAGTTGTTCTCTCTGATCCCTGTCCTATGTGTACATATAACCCTACTGGCGATAGTTCATCTGGCCAATGTACCAGCTGCCCTGGTGGATTATGTACACATAATAAAGGAACGGTTGGATAAGATCCAAATGTATGTACATTTAAGGCATGTCCTAAAGGATAATATAGTTATACAGGTTTTGATTTCACCACAGATGGAGTTCCTTGTTAAAATTGTGATGCAGGTACATCAACTCTTAATATTTAAACTAAAGGAACGGATTAATCTGTTTGTACTGTTACTTTAAAAGCATGTGCTAAAGGTAGTTATTCTTCCTCAGGACTTGATACAGACGGATCTGGAGATGGATGTACTGCTTGTACTGCAGGTACATCAACTCCTAATACTTAAACTATAGGAACAGATTAATCTATTTGCACTCTTACTCTTAAAGCATGTGCTAAAGGTAAATACTCTTCTTCAGGATTTGATACAGACGGATCTGGAGCAGGATGTACTTCTTGTACTGCAGGTACATCAACCCCTAATACTTAAACTATAGGAACAGGTTAATCTGTTTGTACTGTTACATTTAAAGCATGTGCTAAAGGTAGCTATTCTTCCTCAGGATTTGATACAAACGGATCTGGAGATGGATGTACTGCTTGTACTGCAGGTAAATCAACTCCTAATACTTAAACTATAGGAACAGATTAATCTGTTTGTACACTTACTCTTAAAGCATGTCCTAAAGGTAACTATTCTTCCTCAGGATTTGATACAGACGGATCTGGATCAGGAGCTGGATGTACTGCTTGTACTGTAGGAACATCAACTCCTAATAATTAAACAAAAGGAATAGATTAATCTGTTTGTACTCTTAAAGCATGTGCTAAAGGTAACTATTCTGCCTCAGGATTTGATACAGATGGATCTGGAACTGGATGTACTGCTTGTACTGCAGGTACATCAACCCCTAATACTTAAACTATAGGAGCAGGTTAATCTATTTGTACTGTTACTCTTAAGACCTGTCCTGCTGGCTCATATAGTGTATCATCATTTGATACAGATGGTAATGGATCAGGTTGTAATAAATGTGCTGTTAATACTTACTCTGCATAAGGTGCTACTTCTTGCACTTCTTGCACTAATAATCGTACCTCTCCAGCTGGATCTACTGCTGTAACTGCTTGTGTATGCCCATAAGGAACATCTGGTACTGCAGATGGTGTCAGCTCATGTTCAACCACTACTAGTGGCTCAATAAACACTCTTTTTATTTCACTTATTTTTATTTTAATATGTTTATTTTGAATTTAAAATAAATAAGCTATATTTTCATGTTTTCTGTATATGTGTTGTAACTCATTTTAATTCTTAAGTTTATTTTTAAAAAAAGATATTTTAAAAACAACAAATTATGAAAAGTAATTTTAATTAATTTTTAATTGCTGATAAGCAAGCTTAGAAGATCCTCAAATTTTTTAAGTAAAAAGTTGTTAAATCAAATAATAATTCATCAAAAAATTAAATATTTAGTTAAGCATTTTTTATCTTTTAATTGATTTTGCTAGGTTCAAAAGCTATTTTTAATTTCATTTTTTTATAATTATAAAAAATTTTTAATTCTACTAAAAACTTATTGACTGATAACTAAATAAAATTTGTCAAATAGCAATCCTGCAAAGAGATACTTATGTGTATAAAGTTATTAGTTTAAAAATATGTTTTAATGAGGTAAACTTACGAATCAAAGAGGTAAGAAGGTATTACTAACTATTATTTCTAAAATATTTGGTTGAATTAAATTTTTTTTCTAGAAATTTTTTCATTTCATTTTATTACTGAAAGTATAATTTATTTATAATTGGAACATATTATACAGAGTTAAGGTTTCACTCAATAAATTATATTGATAGAGGTCTATTATGATGTATTACCGTCTACCCATACTACTATCTTAGTTTCCATTTTTAACCATTTGCTATATTCATACTAACTATTTTGATTTTCTGAAACCCGTACATATTTTTTAAAGAGCAAATTTAATAAATATAGCTCTCATCATATATAGTAAATGGTAGATTCTAATTCACCCAAAAATGAAAAAAATATTACACCTATTTACCCTATTTTTTGATTGATTAAAAATAAAAATTATGAAATTAAATTAATGGGAAAGTATTAATTAATTCATTTACTTTCAGGAAGAAATATCATAAAAAAGTTAGAGAAAAATTAACCATTTAACATTTCTATTTAAAACATATATTAACTAAGTAACACTCTTCAACTCTTCTACTATATTTTTAAAATTAATTTATTTAGAGTTTAAAATATTTAAGAAATAATTTTTAGAATGTCTCAATTAATAAATTACTATATTCAAATGCTTTGAAAAATATGTTTTTAGTAATATTTAGTTTACTTTTAAAAAGATTATGATTATAGAGCAAATGATTTGAGTTAGGATTCTAATCTTGTTAAGAATGGTATTATGAATTTTATTAAAAATAAGTATTGTAAATATAGTTTAACACTTGATTATATTATTAAAAATATTATTTTAACTTGAAGAGTAAAGTAAATAGGAATGGTTAGGAAAGAGAGTTGAATGAAGATAAAGAGATAGATAGATTATAAATAAATAGATTAATATCTGGATATAAAAACATAAATTTTAATAGCTTTAGTAAAATAAGGTAAACAAATTGAATTTATTTATAAATATAATAATTATTAAAATTTTAAGATTTTAGATTTATATACATACAATTTATTCATCAAAAGCAAGTTTTAATACACACATACATACATAAATTAAATACATACATATATAGTAACATAAGTTAATTAATTAATTAGTTAGTTAGTTATTTAGTTGTTTGCATAGGGGTTGTTTATTCTTAATTAAGAGGATCTATGAAAATAAAGGAATTGAGTCCTCTTTAAAAGATCATCAATAAAACTAATTATGAGAGGGAAAACAATAATAAGCTTTAAAATAGGAATAGCTATGGATGCAATATAGAAGATATTTTTTAAAAACGAAATTTGACTGGCAAAAGCGCTTTGCTTGGGGGAGGAGCAGGATCAAAAGATATTACTCCTTCTTCAGCAGCAACAACAACATTTGATAATATTAGTAGCAGAAAAGTTAAAAACGAAGTTGAATTTTATGATGCTAAATAGCCTTAGTTAAAAGGAAGCTAGCAAGTTATGAAGCAAATCATTTTAACTAGTCCCAGTGATAGGAGAGATGAAGTTTGTATTTTGAAAGGGAGAAAAATCACTTAGCGAAAAATTATGGAATTAGCTCAAATTAAAACAAAATAGCTACCTGCTCATATGGCGTAATTTGAGCAGTTTGTTTAGCCAAATTCAGGATAAAATCACATCCAAACAAGCTCAAATGCAAACAAAGATTATATCAATTTTATTTAAAAGTAAGCTTCTAATCAACAAAATAATAGCAGCACTGTTAAGCAGACTAATTTGAACCAAAATGGAAATGAATCTAGCTAAAAAAACTAAGCTTAATTGTAATAGGAAGAGTAATATTAAAATTTGTAAGATAAGTCTTTTTCTGAATCAAAAAATTTTAGGGATCAAAGTCCTTTGTATTCACCTAAAAGAGTGCATCTATAGACTTAACCATCCTGCTCTCCCCCAAATACCTACGTGCAGCAATCTCTAAACCAAATTATAAGGTAGAAAAATAGATAAGAAAATACAGAGCACAATAGTATCCAATAATCGTATGAATAATCATTCAAGTCATCGCCAATTCCAACAGTATTTTATTGATTGCTTTATTAAAACTCAATAATAACATAGTTTTTAAAAATTACATACAAAAAGATCAAATATTATATTTTTATTAAGATAAAAAAAATAAAAAAAATATATTGAATAATCTATTCTTAAAAATAATGTTTATTCATTTTTATTTATTGGTGCATTAACTCAATTTAAGTGAATTTATGTCTTATTTTTAATTCTTTTTTAATTTAAAGGATAAAGACGCCCTCAACACAAGCGATATTAGCCAATAAAAGAAGAAATTTTACAAAGTTAGGATTTCCTACTTTGTTGACCCTAATTTTCCCTAATTAAATAATAAAAATAAATCCGTACAAGCAAGAGATTAATCTTATGTTTCGTTTAATAATAAGCTCAAGCTGAGATCAAACTAAGGAAATTCTCAAAAGTTTTATGGCAATTTGGAAAAGTAGTAATTTTCAAAATAGTCAACTAATAGTTAGCATGATTATTAATAAATAGAAAGTAAATCTAATCTTCCATCTCTTTTGCTTGGATCAGATACATAATTGGCTAATACTTCTTAAACCTACAAAAAAACTCCTATTGTTTTTCCCAGTTTTCCATTAAACTTAGAAGAAAACTCAGACTTAAAATGTAAAAATAAACTAATTTTTTTTTTTTTGCTTCATTTGTTATTAAAGATTTATATATTGAAACAAAGATAATAATAGTGTCAACGAAACTTAAAATACTCAGACAACAAAAAGTGCAAAAATAAATTTTATAAAGAAACCTGCTCCTTTATTACCAAGAGACTAGAATAATTTAGATAATCTAATTAACTATTAGCATTCAAATATCCAGCAAAAATCTAACTAGAATTAAAGCAAGGTAAAAAAATTTACTTCCATAATAAATTTAAGTATTATGAAATTAATATAAATTTTACAAGTCAAACTTATTATCTATCATTTTAAATCAAATAAACACATTCAAAAGCAATACGTATAAAAAAAATTCAATGAATTATACAAGATATATAATTATTATTTTACAGAAAATTTTTATATCATGGTTAAAATACTGTAGATTTTATTAATTAATCCTAAAATTATTTTAACATCAATAAAAATCATGATTTATTTTATTAAAATATCAAAATAAAAAATAATTAATGATTTATTTTCTCTTCAGAAATATTTACGGTTTTTAAAAAAATGAATTGGATATTTTTTTATTTGAAAATAAGAAAATTAATAAATTTATAAAAATTAAATAGAAGAATAATAGAAATAAAAGCAGTGATATAGATGCGTAATATTTTAATGGTAGTGAGATAAATTAATCAGTTGAAGGGTAATTAAGCATGGCTATACTTAAAAAATAATTCCAAAGAATCAGAACAAATACATTTAGTAATGCTAATACTAAATCTAATCTTCTGCCAAATAACTTAGTTAAATGCTTTACAGAATAAGATGAGGCTTTTGATTAATCTGAAGATTTACTAAATTAAAATAAATCAATGAATTATTCTACTAGCTTTTAAAAAGGCTAGCTTTGTCTGACAAACAGTGATGGTAAGGAGGAAAACCTTAGCAAATTTATTTTTGATTCCCAAATCCTAAAAGCAGGAGCTCATTTGATTTCAACTAAAAGCAACTTTTAAACTAATCAGTTAAACAATAACAATCAAACTCAAAAACTTCAAGAAAGCTATCAAATTGAAGCCTTTAAAGAAATCAACTTCTAGAGCCTCAGGTACTACTATGATTAAAAGTACTAGCAAAAACTGGTGTTATCTCCTCCAAAGCTTAATGAGCATGACAAAAGAAGGACTTAACATATTGATTTTAATCCTTAAAATAGACCTAAAGTTCTCTCTCTACATGATAGCTTTTAACCTCCTGAAATACTCGATAGTGTACCAGCTTAAATACCAAAAAAAATAATAAATCCTCATCACAGCAATAAACTAAAAAGCTTCAGCTAATACTAAAGTCCAGTTAAATAGACAGTAGTTGAAAATATCACAGACAAAAATATATTATATTCAGAAAACAAAAGCATTGTTGTCTCTCCATAAATATTGAAAGAAGATAGTATAACTATAACTTAAAAAAAGACAATAAATACTGAGAGCAGAAACAAAAATGAGCAAATTTCCTAACAGCATATAGTTACTTAGTAATACTCTTAAAATACAGATGAATAAGACCTAAATTATAAGCAGCTTGATTACGCAGAATCTACTTTTAGCACTAATCCAAAAACAATAAACAAAAAAATTACAAATTATAGCAATACTAACTAAAAATACTCTTCCAAATAAAAATCAAATGCAAATTTCAGTAATCACGTTAATGATTTTGAGAAATTAGAGCCCTGGGATAACAAAGATAAATACAGCGCCTTCGATGAAGAATATTTACATGATTTTGATAATTGATTAAATAATTTTGAAGAAAAAAAAACAAATATTTCTTCTTTAAAAATAAATTATTAAATTTTCCATAATAATAATAAAAAAAATTATTAAATAACTTGTAAAAACTAAAATCCTGAATATCTATCTAAATATTTGAAATATATTAAATATTATATCTTAAATAAATTGATTGATTCACAAAATATATCATTAATTTTTAACTTAAACAGAGCAATTCAAACTGAAATTTAAATCAAAACAAAATAAAATTAAAGTTATTGAAAATAATTTTAAAATGAAGCTATATATATATAAATATATAAATAAATAAATAAATAAATAAATAAATAAATAAAAAATTACTGTTACTTCTGGGTTCTTTTGTAAATAAATCAATATATATTTTTATATTCTTTTTTAAGATTGTTCTTATTATTAAATAAATCATAATATTCACGTTCATTTAAAACATCATAATCATTTTTAATTCAATAATTAAATTTTATTCTTTTTTTATTTTATTTATTATAACTGTTACAATTTATAGTTCTGTTTTATTATTAATATGATTAAAACTAACTTAATTTTCTTTTATAAATAAAACTTATAAATTCTAAAGTTTAAAAAATAAATACTTTAACTTCTCCATAAAATCACTTTTTTACCAATGGTGAAAAAAAATTTTTAGAATTTAAAATTTTGAAATTTTTAATTAAAGACCACCTTCTTTTTAATTTAATAGATAGAAAGTATAAAGTAAATATTAAAACTTATTCTTATAGTTAGTTATCTTACTTATTTAGTTAACAAAAATGAAACAATTAACTTTAAATTCAAAAAAAAAATAAGTTTATAAAATAATTTAAAATATAATATTAACAATGATTTCTATTTCTTGGGTTGATTTTAAACAAATAGAAATATTTATATTTCTTTTCTTTTTTTAATAATTGTAAATTCAAAGAGATGCTAAAAAATGAAAAATTAATCAATTAAAGCTTAATTTATTATCGATTAATTAGATGAAGAGATAAATGGCTTTATATTACATTTATTAGAAGTATTTAATTATGAATGACAAAAAATACAGATTGCATGATGTTAAAATATATTTAAAACTAATAAATAAATTTAATTATTAATATATTACAAATAAAATAAATTAATAGAAATTGGATTAGGTTTTTATTGAGCATATTAGTTAGTTAGTTAATTGTTTGGTTTGTTTGTTTTTTTGTTTGTTTGTTTGTTTATCATATATTTTAACAAATTTATTAATGCAGCTACTAAATTTATTTTTAAAAAGTAGATATCTTATTTTAAAAACAATTATATTAAATTACTTTCTTACTTAATTACTTATTTTATTTTTTATTTTTTATGTTAAAACTATTCCAGAATTATAGCAAAGTTTTTTAATTGTTGATAAAAAAATAATTATTATCTCAACCAAACAATTTGAATTGAGATCTTGATCCTTCTTAATTGGCATCTGGTTGGAAGGTAGCAAAAAGCATACCTAAGGAAGTGTGGTGGTTAGTAGGTTAAGCTGGTGATCTACCTAATTACTTTGGCTTTACTTGTTGTTGTTCTTTTGTATTACTAACAACAGTTTGTTTAGTATTAGATTGACTTTTTTGAGATTAAGTTTGCTATTAATTACTTTATTCAATGCTTTTTTCTGTTTCATGCTTAATGGTTGAAGTTTCATTAATAATGTTTTTCCACTTGTCTGAATCAATCTTTAGCTTTTTAAGAACTGGAGCTTTCTTTTAAACTTTTTCAACACCTTCGAGTTTTCTGTGTTCAGTGAGATTCTTATCCAAGATGCTATTGGCTTTCATTATTTTTTGTAATTTTTTGTCAATACCAGCTTCAATCTTAGCTTCAGTTGACTTCTTTTATTTCTTTTTGGATTCTTGCTCTTTGAGCTTTTATATTTTTTCATTCTCTTAGGCTTACATGACTTTCTTAACTACAAGTTGAGAGGGATCAAAACGAGGAATAACCAAATTGTAAGCTTTTTCACTTTTTTATCTTCCAAATTAATCTTCATCATTGTTGTCATCACTATTGAAATCCTTGTCAAATCCACTCTTAGCTTTTTTCTTATGTTATTGATTTTCTTCGTTTTAGTTTTCTTCATTGTCTTCTTCTTAGTTATTTTCTTCTACCTTAGATTTATTTTTGTTCTTCTTCTTACCACTCATTGTTTAAGCTTCTTCCTGAGTAAGCATTGCTGCATAGCTACTTTGTTTATTATGTATAACTTTAACATTCTTTTTCTTATTTTAAAAGAAGAGCTTCTCAGTTGGCATCAACTCTTGCAAAATCTTTAAATATGTGTGCTATTCCTCCTCCAAGGTGAATTCTTAAATGTCATCTTCATCCACCAAAGCTTCTTAATCTATATAGTCTTTTGCAATTCTATAAGCTTTTCTGAATTATTTTCCACCATCATCATCTTATTAATCTTCTTCATCAAATTATACCTTCTAAATACTATCAGAATCACTATATTCATCATTCTAATCTTTCATTTCTTCATTTAATCTTTTAACTACTTACTCTTCATCATCCTCTTCATCTTCTTCTTCTTATTCATCAGAACTAGATTCTCTTCCTCTTTTCTTGTTAGATTTTTATTTTGTTTCATCAGCACTGCCTTTTCTAAGTTTATTTTTACTACTTTTTTTCTTATCATTTTCTTCTTCTTCTTCCTCGTCATCTTATTTTACCTTGATAGTAAAAAAATCAGAGTCAGAGTCATTCTGATTGGCATCATCATCAGCACCATTTTTGCCAGCTCCAAAACCAAATAATTGTCCTTTTTATCCTTCAGCTTGCTTTTTTTCACCTTCATCTTCGCTTGCTTGTTCAGATAAAGGTACCTTTTCACCCTTTAATTAAATTTCATTGAGCTATTAAGTCTTTTTCAACTATTTTTCTTGCTTCTTTTCATTCTTCTTCTACTTAGATTATTTCTTCTTAAATTCATAATCACTACCATCAGAGAGATTTTCAAAATCAATACCAGTTGTTAGTTGTTTCAGTGTATTAGGTAATTTTTCAGCATCAATATCTTCAGCAAAACGCTTATCCAATCTGAAACGTTCATCACCTTTGTAAGACTTTTGCAATTCGAATAAAACCTGACCTTTTTTAGTATCAAAAATAGAATTGCGATCCTAATTAAATCTATCTGCTCCCTAAAGCTAATCTTTTTTTCCATCCTTTTTACCCTATCCTCCATTTTACTAGCCCTTGGCTTCCTGTGCTTCGTATTCCTCAATAATTCTCTTTGATTTCTTATAAATAGCCTTTTGCTTCAATGACAAGCGCTTATTATCATGTTTGTATTTATTAACAATTTCTAATGCCTCATTATATGCTTCTATTTTTATCTTTTCTTAATTCATCTCTTTTTAAAGCTATAAGTGTATGTATGTATATATATATATATAAATAAGTATAATAATTATTAATTTATTAATCCAGATTCTTTCTATTAATTTTAAGATATTTCAAAAATAATTATTAATTCTATCAATCAATCATCATTATCTATTGCTTCCAAGCATTTTTTTGCTTTAAGTTTCTAATGATATTTTATATTCAAATTATCTATCATCAATCAATTTAATAATCTATTGCATATTATTTTTGAAATAAAAATAGCTAATTAATTTATTTATTTTGTATGAAAGTAAATAAATATATGAATGATAATTACTAATTTATTAATCCAAATTTTTTATATTAATATAAAGATATTTCAATAATATTTATTAATTCTATCAGTTATCATTGATTCTTCAATAGCATTTTTTTGCATTATATTTCTAATGATATTTTATTTTCAAATTATATTTCATAAATAAATTTAATAATCTATTGCATCCTATTTTTTAAGTAAAAACAGTTAATTAATTTATTATGTATGAAAGTAAATAAATATATGAATGAATAATAATTACTTATTTATTATCCTTATTTTTATATTAATTTAAAGATATTTCAATAAAAATAATTAATTCTATTAATCATCAACAAATGTATTTTTTTTATTTATTAAGTTTCTAATGATATTTTATATTGAAAATATAAATTATAAATCAATTTAATAATTTACTATTTCACCATATTTTTGAAATAAAAACAGTTAATCAAATTTTTAGGTTTACTTTTATTGAATTTATTTGCATAAAATGTCTGTCAAATGGAAAAAGGTAGGTAAAATTTCCATATAATATAAATAATTGCTATTGTATTCTTTCAAAACAATATATGTAAAAATTAATTAAATCAATATTTTTTTAAGACTGCTAGATAGGTTAAATATTTTTAATTAATTAATTAATTAACTTTTTTTCAATAAAAGTGATTCATTTAAATCATAAAATTAAAATATTTGATAATACAGTTTGGTTCATGATATTTCAATACCATGAACAGCTATTTATATTTTTAAAAATATTTATTTACCCAATTGATAAGCTCATTTTTTTTATCACTGATGCTAGATAGATAGATAGATAGATAGATAGATAGATAGATAGATAGATAGATAGATAGATAGATAGATAGATAGATAGAAGTTTAAATGAAAAACAGCAAATTTTATTTTGAAATTAACAAATTATTAAATAAATTATAAAGATATTTTGTTTATTAAAGATTTTTATTTAATTAAAGAAATCTTTAATTAGCTTTTTGTATTAAAATTGATAATAATCTTATTAGAATATTGTTGAGATAGTAAATAAGTTAATAATTCTGCACTTTAATTTAAGTAAGAAATAATTTAGGTTAGGAGATAAAAAAAAAATGTAAAACTTGAATTAAAAGCAAAAAAAAGAATTAAAACTCAATGTTATTTAAGAGTTCCTGAAGAGTAAGTCATATAATCTTGAGAAAGTGTTATCTTAAGACAATGTTTGTATGTTGGTTTTAGCATTTTCTTAGAAATTAAGCATCTAAGTAGCAATAAAAATATATTAGAATGATAATTAATTTGAAATTTAAAATCAATTAAAAATGATAGAATTAGTTAAGAAAAAAAAATATATCTTACAAGCTATTGAAGTAGTTAAAGATGATCAAATAGGTATTACTGCCTTAGTTTTAGAACTTTGCGATTGTAATAAAAATCATATTTTCTTTCATTCATTGTTTATCAAAATATTTATTTATTTAACTATCTATCTATCTATTTAGGTTCTTTAAAAGAAATTTTTGAAGACAACAAGATGAATTTCTAATAAGTTTGTGCTTTAGCATGCTAATTGCTAAAAGGTTTTGCTGCATTAAAAGATAAAAGTATTATCTATGGAAACATTAAGCCTGAAAAAATATTGTATAGTAGTATTAGAAATGAGTTTCTAATAAGTAATAAAATTATTTATTAAATTGAAAATTAAAATTAATTACTAAAATAAATATTATTTAGATGATTTTTCAATTGCAAGATTGCTCAACGATATTAATTCTGGAAAAGAGGTACATATACATATATCTTCTCTTACTTTTTTAATTAAAGGTATTTTAATTTTTAGGAACTAGAAGGAAATATGATGTATGTGGCTCCAGAAGTAAATGAGAAAATAAAACCATTAACAATTAATGTAAAATATTAATTTTTTGAAAATAATTAAAATTGAATTTATGAATGAATGAATCATAAAATTAAATAGGTTGATATGTTTGGTGTTGGATAAATTTTGTTAGAAGCATTAATTTAGTAACATCCTCTAAATATGATGTAGTGGATAAGTTTGAAAGAAAGAAATTTATTTGATGTTATGCCATAGCTTTTATAATCACAATACAAACAGTTTGCTTAGAAAATTCTTTTAAATATGATTGTCGTAAATCCAAATTCAAGGTCGAATGCAGATGAGTTACTAATTAATTTAAATGAATTTAATATTGATGAAAATTCGCTTAAATAACTTAAAGTGAGAAGAGACTATAAAGAAAATCTAAATTAAAGGTAAATTTTAAAGCAAATAAACAGGTTTTATTTTTTTAGTCATAAATATTCTTTCTATCATTCTATAAAAAATAAATGTTTATTTTATTTTATAATAAAAAAATAATTTTATTAAGTCATATCTTAGTAATTAAATTACTTCATTGAAAGTTTTTTTTATTATTCTTTTAAATTAGAATGAAATAAATAAAAAGATATTAAATTTCTCTAATCAAAACAATAAATAATCAATATTAAATTTTTAAATTTATAAAAAATTTAAATAGATCAATATTAAATTTTTAAATTTATAAAAAATTTAAATAGAAAAGATAGTATTTATTTAGCTTTTTTTCATTCTTTTATTCATTTTTAAAAAATAAAATAAATAGTTTGGCTGTTTCAGAATCTTTGCCAGAAAATTTTAAATAGTAATGCTAACAACTTGAATTAAATGAAGACAAAGTTAAGGAATATATCTAAAATCTAGCAAAATTAGGCTATAAATTTGTAAATATCATAGGAAAGGGTTCTTTTGGATTAGTATTTAAAATCACTTATAATAGTTAATAAAAAGCTGTTAAAATTATTGAATCCAAAGACTAAAATTAAAATAGCATTAATTAACTAAAAAAAGAATACGATTTACTCAAAAATTTTAACAAAAGTAAGTATGTTTTACAGATTTAAAATACATAAGAAATCAATTTGGCTAAACCTACAATTTTCATATTCACAGATCTTTGCGATGGTAATAAATAAATAAACAAACAAATAATTAGTTAAATAAATACAGCTTATTTTTTAATTAAAATTCCTTTTAAATTATAATTTAAATATATAGGTGAATTAACTACTTTAATTGAGTAATAAATTAGTAAAAAACAAATAATCTCTATCATGATGTAATTATTGATGGGTTTGGAAGAGCTTAAATAAATGAAGGTTATTCATAGAGATTTGAAACCTGAAAATATTCTTTTCAACAAAAAAGGATAAAACTATCAAATTTATATTGGTAATTTTTTTGAAGCTTATAATTAATTTTTTATAGTTTTGAATTTTTTTGTTTTTTTATTACTTTTTGATAGAAATCTAGTTAAAATTTTATTAAAAAATACAATTAAATATGCTAATTAAATTCATAAAAAGAAGCAGATTTTTTATTAGTTTTTTGAATTTAATATTCTAAATAGCTGATTTTGGATAAGCAAAATAGCTCTCAGATAAAGGATACACAGACCATCTAGTAAAGATATTTTATATTTATTAAATTGGAATATTTCTCAAATAATAAATTAGAGCAAAGTTGGAACAATGAAATATACAAGCAAAGAAGTTATCGAATTTAATGAAGGTAGTGCTGATCAGCCTAAAATTTGCTATAAGGTTAATTGTTTTTATCATTTATTTATTTAATTATTTAATTGTTAATAAATTATGTTTTAAATAAAAATAATACATACATACAGTCAGATATTTACTCTTTGGGAATAGTCTTCATTGAATTACTTTGTGGAAGGAGGTTTAATTTTTAGACTGAGGTTAGACCTATTAGAAACGGAAATTAATAGATTTTGAGTGATATTAATGCAATGTACAAAACAAAAAATAGAGTCTTTGAATAAAATATAGATTCTTTTTTAATAGAGAATGTAATCAAAAACATGGTTCAGTAAAATCCTAAATCTAGATATTCATCTGATGAATTGTTGAACATTCTTTTCAAAAATTTCGATAAAAATTATAGTGAAAAGCAGATGAGTATATTTGATAAATCCTTCAATGAATTTTCTAGTCAATAATGAATCTAATTTTAATTAGATCAAAAATAAATTTTCTAATAAATAGATTTTATTTTAATTTGTTTATTTGTTTATTTATTCATTTCAAATCAGATACTATAAAAAAATTAGATATTATAAATAAATCAATAAATTAATTAATAATAAATATTTTCTCTTACATTTTTTTTTATCTTTTAATATTAAAATTGAATTGATATTTCAACCTACCTACCTACCTACATTTTAGTTAAATTTCATTTTTTCTAATTAATAAGTGAAAAATTTTTATAATTATTTTAAGAGTAAGTATAAAATTTTTTAGATTTATACAATTAATATAAAAGTAATTAAAATTTAATTTTAGGTGTAATATAGTTGAATATTTGTTTATTTATTTATTTACTTACAATTTAATGATAATTCTATTTATTTTAAACTTTTAATTTTAAAAATAGTTTTATTTATTATTTTATTTTCGTTTATTTTAAAGATAAATGTTAATTAATTTTCTTTTAATTTTACAAATTTTAAATCAAATCAAAGTTCGATTTGAGACTATTATTACTTACACTGTTTATAAAAGGGTTATTTTTTAATTTAAATATATTTTTAATCAATAAATAAATTAAGAAATACATACATACATTATAAAAGGGATTTATTTTTAATTATTTTTTTAAAATAATAAATAAATATTTAGAATTTAAAAATTATGAATGAAATTTAAATATTTTGACACTTTAAGTTTAATAAAATATTTTTAAGTAAAAATAGTGGTTTATTTTTTATTAAATATACAAAAGCATGTAAAAATTGTATTTATTTGAGGTTTGTTTGGTATAGTTGAACATTCATTTACAATTTAAGAACAATTATATTTATTTAAAACTATAAATTTTAAAAATAGTTTTATTTATTTATTATTTATTTTAGATTTAAAGCTTAGTTCACTTTTAATTTTACAAATATTAAACCAAATTAGAATTAGTTTTATAACAATATTACTTAAACTGGTTATAAAAATATATTCATACTAATTTACATTAATTATAGAAATGAATACATATTTAAAGGAAGTTAATTTCATTATGATTTTTAAAGCAAGTATGCATTTTTTAATTAAAAATAATTCATTTATTCTCAGTTAGAGATATATTTAAAAATTGTATTTTAGCTATAATAAATATACTTTAATATTTCATTTAATAATTATTTTATTTATTTAAAACTTTTAATTTTTTAAATAGTTTTATTTATTTATTTTGTTTTAGTTTTCGTTTATTTTAGTTTAAAGTTTGGTTTTCAATTTTACAAGTCTTAAACCAAATCTGAATTATATTTCATATAATAATTACTTAGACTGGTTATCAAAAAATCTTTATTATATATAATTTATGAGTATTTTTAATCAATAAAGAATAAATATAAATTAGGAAATAAATACATTAATTATTTTAGAGATTAATTTGGATCTTTGTCTTGTTAATTTAATCAGTTATGAGAATATTTACTTAAATGAACAACATATTTTAATAAGTTTAAATTAAAACATAAAAAAATAATTCATTTTTATTTGTTTTGATTTTTTATGTTTTATAGTAATTAATTACTTTTTATTATTTATTTTAATTAAAACAACTCTTTTATTAGAATAATCTCAAATAAACAAATTTCAAAAAATATTTATTGCAATAAAAGCTTTTTATATTGAAATTTTGCTTTGTATTTTAACTTAATTTATTTAATTCACTGATTATTTTTTTAAAGTAGAAATTTTATTTTTTAAATTCCAAAAAAATTAATTGACTTTGTTTGTTTGTTTTTTTGTTTGCTGTTATCAATCAACTTATTTATTTTTATTCACTTGAATTTAAAATTAAACTCCTTAAAAAATAAACAAAGGTATTTATTTATATTTTCTATTTATCTATGTATGTTTGCATTTATATGCTTAGAATTACTGCGTAAGTCAATAAAAGATATTTAATTAAATTAATAGATAAATTAGTATAGAAAAAAATTCAATCAAGAAAAGAAAAATGCTTGTTTGATAAAATAAATTTTCTAAAATTAAAAATTATTCTAAAGAGAAGAATGTAAATTTAAATAAATTATTTTAATTAAATTTTAATGAATAGAAGATTAATGAATATTAATTAAATTTTCTAAATAATTAATAAGTAGTTAGTAAGTTTAAATATCAAGTAAGCTATTAGACTCACTCACTCACTCTGTTTTTAAATAAAAATAATTTAATTTAAAGAGAGTATTCGATAAAAACAAAAAACTAAATAAATAAGCAGACTTTAATTTCAAATAGATTAGATTTTTACAAAATTATTTCAATTCTAGATTATCATCAAAATAATATTTATTCTGCTTTCTCTTGATAAATTTTCTTTCTATTTTTATTTTTAATCTTATTAACCAAAACTTTTTAATGTAAAAAATAAAATCTATCAATTATTTAATTATTTGTCTTATTATTAGCTAAAGGAAATTTTACTTATTTTATTTTTTCAATTAGTTATTTTTGTTATTAAATGAATAAGTAACTTATAAATTTTCCTTGTAAAAAAGAATTTCAAATATTTTATGGAGACCAAAGTATCATTTAAACAATAAGTTATGTATCCTTAAAGTAATGTTTGTATTACTAAATAAAAATCCTTAAATAATCCATGCAATGATTGCTACCAAATTCATAGAACTGAATTCATAAATATTTTAATAAAATTTGGTTTAATTCCAATATTTTTGTTGTCTGTCTGTTTGTTTGTTTGCTTAATTTATTGTTTGTTTATTCATTCATTCATTCATTTATTCATTCATTAACAATATACATTAATTTAATAAAATGAAAAAATATATCTATCTAGCTTTTATAAATAATTTAATAAAATGTTTTTATTTTAAAAATCTATTGAATGGAAAATTAAAATAATAAGTCAATTTTAATAAAAGTAAAATGAATTTTATACAAAATAATTAGAAGTTTGCATGAAAATATAATATTGAATAGATTAATTTTAATTGCTTTGATAAGATTTATAGTATGATAAAAAAGAAATAATCTATCTATCTCTCTGCCTGCTCCTTTTTATGATGAATATTTTCTATGCAAATAATAAATTAATAAAATAAGAAATGAATAAATAAATTAATTAATTAATATTTCAATTAAAGATTTTTCTCTGTGATTATTTTGTCATTGTTTCTTAGTTTTTAGTAAATTGAATAGTTAATTGTATTAATCTTAAATTATTTAAGCAAGAAAAAATACATTCAGATATATATTTATTTTTTTGATAGATAGATAGATTGATTAATAGCTTATAAATTTATTGATTTATTAATTCTTTAATAAAGAAATGTGGAGTTTAAGATATCAAAATCTTTTATTGTGATATAATAAATAATATATAGGAGTTTGTAAGATATTAATTAAATATAATTTATTTTTACTAATTGTCATTTCAATAGTTATTTATTATATATTTATTTAACCTATCTATCTATTTTTTCAACAAAAATTGGAATGAAACAAAGAAAGAAAGAAAATATATCTAAAGATTATTTTTGTAAAAAAAATCTACATTCAGAAAATTATTTGTTTTATAGATAGATAGATATATATATTGATTGATAGACTACAAATTTATTTATTTATTAATTAATTGTTTAATAAAAAAATTTGGGGTTTAAGATTTCAAAGGCTTTAATTATAATATATCAAGGATTTTATAAGATACGAATTAAATATCATTTATTTTTACTAATTTTCATTTGTAAAGTTATTTCTTATTTATTTATTTAATCTATACTGCCAACAAAAATAAGAAATTTATCTAAAGATTATTTAATCAAAAAATACTAAATTTATATATATATATTTATTTGATAGATAGATAGATATAGATTTACAGATTGATTTATTTACAATAAATTTATTGATTGATTAATTGTTAAACAAAGAAATGTGGAGCTTGAGATTTCAAAAGCTTAAGTTATGATATCATAACTAATATAAAGGAATTAAAAAGATATAAATAAAATATCATTTATTTTATACTATTTTCATTTGAAAAGTTATTTTATAATTTATTTACTTAAATTATTTTGTCAACAACAATGAGAAAATTTATGAAAAGATTATTTATGCAAAAAAAGCTACATCCAGATATATATTTATTTTATAGATAGATAGATATATAAATTGGTTGATTGATAGACGACAATTTAATTTATAATCATTTATTTAATCATTCATTCATTCATTCATTAATTCTTTGATATGAATTAATTTAATATAGTTGTTTATATATATTAATTCGTTTATTTATATAATGATTTATTTATTTATATTTACTAAATTTGTAATTATATTAAAGATACTTTTTTGAAAATTCATTCATTTGGTTTTTTAAGCAATTAAATGCACTCTCATTTGCTACCTTATTTGCTTAATAATTTACAAATTTAGCTACTTGCTTTATTGCTTATTTATTTACTTATTTTTGTGTTGATTATTTGCTTCAAATGTATGCTTGAGATGGGTAGAGATTAGGAGAGTAGGAAGGCAAATTTGGCGAAGGTGTTTCTTGCTGTCTAGATGAAAGTGAACTACCAGATTTTTATCCTGAATCTCTTTTTAGCAATAGACTCAACTTTGATGGTTTTTTTCTCCTTGGTCTACCTTCTATGAGGTTTTAAGAACCAGTTCCTGATGTTTCTTGCTGGCGATAAGAGGCAAGCGTTACCGCAGTTGGAGTAGTCTTTTCAGCAGCATTTGGTGTATTTTCAAAGTATGAAACTTTGCAAGCGTCTCTTTCTACTGCGTCTGCAGGTGATGCGGAAGAAGAAGGAGTAGATGGGCTTTAGAGTCGATGGGAAACGGGATTTTAGGGTCCAGGAAGATTAGGAGATTTGCAGGCACTAATTAGCTGTTAGATATGCAGGCAGTTCAAAAAACAAATCAGAGACATTAAAAATTTAAATGCAAGGATGTCAACAAAGAACGAAAATTCGACTCCACCATCGCTACCTTAGCTTGTAAGGCTATCTTGTGCTACTGCAGTCCAAGAAGCAAAGGAGAAATGAGTAAGCATGAGAGTAAAGAATACTGCTGATATCATATTGAAGATTGCATGGATGCACAAAGTCATATAGAACAATCTAAATGCTCTCAAATTTTTATCTACTTAGCATGTTAACCATCCCTTTACATTTGCCACGTTTGAATAAACCATGCAGAAAGCTTTTCCACCAACAACTACCAGACATCTCAAGAAAACATCTATTATTAGCTTCCATAGCTTTCGCCCACTCAACACTTTTTTGTGCTTCTCTCCATTCTCATTCTAAGCATTCGAATCCCCTTTGCACGCAGCAGCTTCACTTTTATCCTTCTTCATTTCTTCTCCACAAAAACTGCTACTGCTACTCAGCTTCACTTCGTAAATACAAAACAGAGGCTCACCACTTCCAGTCTCAAAAATTATAGCCTTTACCATCATTACGACGCAGATCAAGTAGCAAACTGCGTTTAGTGCGATGTAGCTCAAACAACAAATCTAGCCCATGTCTGCTTCTGAAAATTACAAGTCAAATACATTTGTTGTGCTTTTGTTAGAAAACGAGTTCTACTGTGAGAAGATAATATAAGGCACCTCTACTAAATCACCCACATTTCCCAACAAAAGGATCACTGCTATCCAGCAGAACGCTAAATACCCGTTTCCTTCACTTTCCCCACCACCAACACCACCATCGCTTTATTACTGCACACCTTCCAATTATAACTACTCGCCTCTTCTTGAGTTCAGAGGACACATATTTGCTGTGTCTACCCTCGAAGACGCTCTCATCTGTTCTTCATCGCCACCATTTCCATCTTTTTGTGTTTCTTACCTTTCATCCAAGTTTTGTGCAATCTGTGCACTCCTCGATTCACTAGGCAGTGGTGGATGCACCTTCTTTTCTCGCTTTTTCAGACAAAAGGTGACTAGCCTAGTGAGGCAAGCACCGAGTATTGAGAGGGGAATCAGCAGTGTCAAAATAAAGCCTTTCGTATAAGACTTGGTTTGAGCTAAGAAATGAGCAAAGCCTCGCTGATCGCTAGCTTGGGCCTCCTGCTGTTGTTGTTCTTGTTGTTGCTGCTGCTCCTGCTGCTACTACTACTACTACTGCTACTGCTACTTTTGTGAGGGCTGTCCTGGCTCAGGTCGATTGAGTGCTCCTGAAAAGGTTGAGTTAGAAGGCGTGCGATTGACAACATCCTTGGTGACGGAGGAAGAAGCGCTACTAGAAGGAGGAAGAGGCACGTAGCAATAGGGGAGGAGAGTGGAATTGAGGGAATAGGTGGGAGAACATGAGGTGCAAGCAGCTGGGTTTTGAGACTGGCATTGAAGACACTCTTGGTGCTGGAAGCATGGCTGGCAAGTAGCTGTTTGTTGATGAGCGACTGTTGGAGGTGGACAAGTCTGGACGCATGAGTTTTGATCTGGAAGTAAATAATAGCCTTGGGTGCAGTGAATGCAAATGGATGGAGGAGATGTGCAAGTGGCGCAGTGAGGTTAAGGACATTAGGAGGTGTTGGTAGTTAATGAAGTGTGTCCCGACAAAAGAGTTTAAGAGCTTGTAGTGCTTGTTAAATTCCAATTAATTGCTATTGATTAAGCAGCACCTCCTGTTGAATTTTAGTTATTTATTTCAGGATTATGAATTGTGATATTCTTTTTGAAATAAAATTATTATTTTAAAATAAATTAATATATTTAATAATATTTAATTGATAAATAGTTAATAAATAAATAAAATATAATTTTAATCCCAGTAATTTTTAACAAATTTTTGTATATTAATATTTGATTAAAAATTTTAAAATTAATAGGGGTTTTTATCTGATTAAACTTAATAAACAAAATTTAAATAATATTTGCAAATTACAAAGTTAGTCAAAACAGGTGGAGAACAAAAGGCATTTTAATCAATTTAACTAAGTAGGATAGTAAATCCGTCAGAAGAGACACTGCATTTTATTTGATGACTACTCTAAGAGCAAATATTATCCAAAGAACAAAATGTTTGAACATTAAAATAGACTTGTTATGAAAAGTTTATAGCTAAATTTAATCCAGAATCTAAAGTAGACATTAAGGTTTACATTAAAAATTAAATTTTAATAAAATCAAATTTAATTGTTTAGACAAAGCTAGTTATTGTTTACTGAGTGACAGAACTTATTTAATTTATTGAGTAAAATACATTTGAAGTTGTTTACTGGCTATTTAATAAATAATTAGATTAGCTTAACAAATATTGATCACTTGAGAAGTGCGTAAACTAAATTTTAGTATTATTAGATGGAAGGAGTTACTAAAACGCTAATGAATTTATTGTTATAAAGATATCTTTGCTATTCCAACCACTTATTGAATTCAAATTAGCTGTTTTAAGAGTAATTTAAATTGAGTAGTTTGAAGGGGTTTCTAATAAAATGCACTAAGATAAAGCAGAAGATTATGCGCTTGATTAAGGATAAACCAAAGAACAATTTAAATCTTTATTTTCAGTAGAATTTTAATTTGGAAGTAATTTTCCATTTAAAGTTTCTATTTTAAAAAAGTTCATTTTTGAAAAGGATATGAACAATAAGTCTCCATCACTAATATTGTAATACGTTGTCATATTTAACAAAGACTGAAGGGTTAATGTATTTTAGTCAGAGCTACCGTTAAATTTAAAATCATATTGTGAAACAAAAAAGCTAGTTTATTTAGTATTTGTAAAAACCCAACTACTTTTAACTTAATTTGAGATATCAGGATTTTCTGTTGTAAGGCATAGAGGCAAAGGCTGATTTTGCTTTTAAGAAAAGTCAATTAAATCAATAATAAGTCTATCTGTTGGTTTTTATAATTATCTTGGTAATTGATAGCCTTAGATTGTTACAGTAAAAACACTTTAAGTATTTGTGTTTCCACTTTATTAGCAAATAATAGAAATTACTTCTCTCTATTAAATTTTGTTTTAGTAATTTACAGTTTAATTTGAAATTTATGTAGAATTAGTTTGAATTTTGCAATAATTAAGAAATTCATTAGATATATCAACTGAAACATTGCTTATTCTACTATCTCTTGATAGCTGAGGAGGCATATAAATCATAAATGCTGATTATTATGGGTAGTAGCTGGATTAAAGTTGAAAGTTTATTTCAAGAGTAGTCATTGAGACATTAAAGTATTAATTTAGCTGTTGTGACTATGATTATGAATCCGGTGTTAAGTAGATTGTGTTTATTGATACAATGTTAATCTGTTTAGGCTAAATTTAGAGTGCTGCCGTTATATTGTAAATCAATAATCCTTGAGTGTTGGTTATTTGTATTCTAACTAAATTTGTAGAATTATAATTACATTCAGTATTAATTTACTAAACCTAATTAAAATTTAAAAATAAATAAAGTTAATTTAATTTATATGTATTAATTTAACTTTTATTTTACATTAGTGAATGAAAATGATATTCCTGATTATATGCTTTAAATAGATTAATTAATCTAAGACAATTGGGCTTTTTACTGAGATTATACAGAGATCTTTGAGAGATTGCTAATCCCTGAAGTATTTCCAAGTTAAGTAGTTTAAGAAAAACTAAGCAAATTAGGTAACTGAATTTAAATGAACACTATTGATAAATTTTAATATTTATTTTTAGCAATTAAAAGAATTTGTTTTGAAATTTATAAGTTTTTTATTTTTTTTATATTGTTTTTTGAAAATAATCTGCGATAAATTAAAAAATAATAAAATAATTTTTGAATTTATTTTCTTTTTAGGTAAATTAGACTCAAAGAATTTTAATATTTTAAAAGAGAAAGATAAATAAATGAATAAGTTCTAAATATTTATTTACTTGAACTATCTAGACTTAGTTTATCAAAGAGAGACATTTGTAAGGTATTATTACTGTATAGATAAGCGATTGGTGAAAATAAAGAAGGGATTGGCAAATATTGTACTGTGAGGGTAGTGACATAGCAATTAGAATAACTTAGATCTCCATAGTAAATTATCTGGAAAGAGAAAGTTGGTTATTGCACTTGCTAGACAGTTTAGAAGTATGGAAGAGTTATCAAAATTCCTTTTGTAAAATCAAAAAGTTAATAATTAGTCAAGTCGCAAAGTACTAGAGATTGATAGACCTTATTACAGAATATTACAAAAGAATTTGCTTGAGATGTATCTGAAAGTATCAACACAATATTTGATGAATCTGATTGAATAGTTAATTATATAAAATAATAATAAAGCTGAATAAATTTTACTTGTTTTGACATTAACTTATTACAGGAAATCTATCATTAATCTTGTAATTTTTTGTGTGGCAGGAGTAAAACTCACCTAGAGTCTTTTCATTTACAAGAATTGCATGGTATTGTCAATAAGATTTGCAGAAAAGCTTGTTGTTTGTTAGCACTTTCTTTAATCTTAAATAGCGAATAATGGAGATTGAGCTATCTAAGATTAGTAGTAATTAAGTAATTGCATTTGAAATTTTACTGTTGATAATTTATTTTAGATAAATGTAGTTGAATTGAGGACTATTGTTGCAGAGATATTTTATAAAGAAACATTCTAGCCAGATAAGTTAAAGCTAATACTACTTAAACCTGAAGACGAATTAGTTGCAAAAGAGCATTAATTTATACTAACCTAATTTATAAAATTAATTCTTGATTAAAATGTTAAATATATTGATTAAATAATTAAATTAACTAAGTTTTTTAATATATTTCCTATATTACTAATAAATAGGTAAAATTTTAAGCAAATTATGTGAAATAATTTGTTTTAATTTCAAATAGATTAATTGATTTATTATTATTTTTTGTATTGTTAATTAACAGCTATATTGATGCAAGTAAACAAACAAAAAAATGAGTTTTAAATAAAATTTGCAAATTACAAAATCAGTATAAAGCTGGCACCCTAAATTATTGCTGTTTTATGGCTGCGAAGCAAATGAAGTAGGATAGAGTAAGACTAGAGTGGATACATCGTTAATCTAAGATATTAAAGTACTTGAAATCATTAATTGCTAGCTCTAGGAGTTTATCTGCACAAAGACTATTGAAAATATAAAAAATGAAAAGAAAGAATTGAATAAATTAAAATTTTACTTGGAAGGGTTAGCATAGGAAAGAAAGTGATTGAACTGTAGGCTTGAAGTGCCTAAGAATCAATCGCTTGCTAAAAACTTGACGAATCGAAAACTAAAGTGATGTAAAAAGCTTGGTTTCCATAGTTTTGTTAAATCTATTGGATTGATGGAAAAGTAGTAAATTTATCTAATACTTATTTGTTGGAAGTAGTTATGAACAAATATGTAAAAAATAAACTGGGAGGATAGTTAGCCAGAAAGTCTGAATTGTTTATGCTGAAATCTAAAGCAAAATTATAATTAGGTATTTTATTGTAAAACTCTAGTCTTTAATTGAGAGGTAATTGCTAGATTTACTTCAAATTCTTATCAGCACTTATTTGATAGCAAATTGTCTGAGCTGAGTTCTTTCGAATCAGCAGAATAAGAACAAACACTAAGGTATATACTTGCATAATATTAAAGATTGAATGTCTGTTTTAAAGCAGTTTTAGGATTTTGTTTTTTATTTGTTTTTTGATTTAATATTGAATATTTATTTATATTATTTAATTTAGCAAGTTGATGTTTGAATAGGTAGATTTAATATGTGGAAATTCTATTATCATTTAAATAATTTGTTGTTGTATATTCTTAATGTATCTTTAAAGATACCAAATTATAATAATTTATTTCTGATCAATTCTTCTATGTTTATTTTAAGGATTATCCTTTTTAATTAAATTATTTGTGGAGTCGAAGAGTTTATTCTTTAAATGATAGGGAGAAGAAGTTTTTCATTTAATTAAGAAAATCAAAACTAAAAAGATCAAGCAAAAGTAGACATTCTGAATTTCCTTTGTTTTTACAATTTTTTCTAAATTTTTTTAAATTATTTGTAATTTAAAATAGATTATTTTTTTAATTTTAGAAGGAAGCTATAAAAATTGTTTTTTGAAATTGCCATTTTTACTTTAAAGTAAATAATTTTGCTGTTTATAATCTTATTTTTTGTTATTTCAGCATTTTTTCTTCAAAATTTGCCATTTTTTGTTAGCTTGTTTTTAATTTTCAGCAATTTTTATTATTTTTTAAGATTTTTATGATGAAAAACATTTTAAAATATGAAAAAATTAGATTTAGACTAAACAAAAATGTGAAAACTATTTATTTATTACAAATTTTATATATGAATCCCATTTTTGAGGTAAAAAAGCACATGAAAAAAAAATAATCTATTGAAAATAAAAATCATATAATGCAATATTGAATGGAATGAAAAGCTACTTAGTATTAGAAAAAAAATTTTAGATTATACTATTTTTTTTTCTTTTTTTTTATTAAAAAAAAAGAAAAGAAAAAGAAGTATTAGTAAAGACTCAATAGATTGATTGCATATTTTTATTTTTATAAGAAAAAATCATCTAAAAATATTCATTTATAATTAGAAATATTCAATTTCTTTTAAAACGCCTACTTCTTTTGAAATTTATATAAAATGATCTCTAAATCCTTTATTTTTAAAAATAATCGATTAAATAAGTAAACATTATTATCCATATGATTTACATAACATTAAATTAAATTATATTTGGTTTTAGCAAACATAGGAATGTGAGTTTCTTTGCAATATTGAATAACACTTTAAAATTTAGAATTTAACCATAAAAAAGATTAAAACTTTGATCTTTTTTACCATTGAATTTCTGTTAAATAAAATTATTATTAAACTGGATAAGTTTTTTTAATTTTCTTATATCTTATAAATAATACCTTTTTTGTATTACGTTTTTGTAAATATTTTTTTATTAGATAATAAAATTAATTATTTATATGAAATACCTAAGACTAAGAGAGTTTTATGCTTTATTTGACTTTAATAGAAAAATGGTTCAATCAACACTTTTCAATTATTTTTTCATATTAATGAAATTATTTATTTCCTAATTTAAAGGCTAAGCAAATTATAAAAAATGTTTTATTCGCTTCAAAAATTAGGTTAAAATTAATTAATCTCAAAAAACACTCTGTTCAGCTTTAAAATAAATTAAGTCTATCTAAAAATCTTTAGAAGAAATTTCATAACAAATATTTAAATCTAAGATTGAATAAAGTTTCTAATCTGACTTTATTATTTAATTAATTAATTATTTATATAATTCAGTATTGCTTATTCCGTCATTAATCTTTTAATTTCAATAAAAGTAGATAACATTAAAGATACCAAATAGATACCTCAGAATCTATTGCATGGGCAAACATTTTTAAAAATCACATTTTTGATTATAAATACAAAACATCTACAAAATATTTCGATTTATCAAAAGAAAAATACTAAGTAAAAAATTGAAAATAAAATGCTATTCCTATTGGTGATCTTAAATGTAGGCAATTTAATTCTACTATTTATCATTTTAGCTCCCTTTAATAAAATATTATTCATATAATTTTTAATGAAAATTGAATTCCTTCATGAATACAATTTAGTTCTACTATGTTATAAAACCCACTTATTTTTTAAATAAAGTATTATTTAATGGTGTTGAAATAATTTTTTTGTTATTTTTATATAGATTTCAATACAGTAGACTCTCTGCGATTGGAGATTTGTTTAAATTTTAGATGGATTAATTTTGTAAATTAAAAATGATTTAAGCTTAGCTCATGTTTAGATTGTTACAAATGATGAATCTGCGATAACCAACTCAACTGTAAATCAAGATTAGTTCTAAAATGTCCAGATTGTAAATTAGCTTTGGTTTTGGGCAAAGAACTAATAAAATTATCTGCTACCTTTTTCTTCAAACACCTTTAAAAGGAGAATGACCTATAACGTATATGATAAAGATAATAATTTAGTAAATTATGGATCATTCAGAAGCTTCATTAAAATATTAAATGGTTTGTTTATATTTTTTGAGATTTTCATTTTAAAAACTCATTATTAATTTTAAAGTTCAGCAAAGATTAATTGATGGGAGCTTCAGAAGCAAGTAGCTCTCAATTGTTGCAAACACTTATAAATAATTTAAAATTGTCAATGACTCAAATGAAGATTACTATTTCCAAATCCAAGTATAAATAGGTAATAATCTTATTTAACAGCCTTAAAATATGTTTAACTTGTTAGTAGATGGCCAGGTAGTTATCTATTTATTTATTTGATTTCTTCTAAAAATTTAATTATTTTATCTTATTAGCAAATAAACAGTTTTTAAAGTTGCTAAAGTAATATGCTATTTTCTATTTGTTAGTGCTTCAAGCAAACAGATTTCCCATAATAATTCAAAAATTTAGAGTTTGTCTTTTAATAGTATTTAATTTCAAGTATTTAGATCAAAATGCAGTTATACAATCAAGTGAGCTCATTCGAATCTATAGATATTAGCACTTTCAATTAGTTTTACTCTGTTTAATATCTTCTCAGTAATGACATGTAAGCATTAGTAAGACCTTCTTCGTTAGGTAAACTGTTAGCTTATGAACTTGCATTTAATCTGAATTTTACAATATTTGTAAATTGTGATTTATATTAAATCATTTTACCACCAAGTATAAGCTAACAATTTACAAAGGCAGCACCAACTTTAATGGCATAATTCTAAACCAATAGTAATTTTACTGAATAAGTTACTGATTACTACAATAATGGAACTTTAATTTTACAAAAAAGTCTTTCTTTTAAATCTAGCAATACTCTTAATAATATCTAGATTTTGATATAATAATTTGAATTTTAAGATTAAATAGACGATAATTCTTCCTCAAGTATTGTTTTTAATTGCAGTTAAAACAACTTATTTGTTAAGAACTTTACTATTTCTAAGATATAATTACCAAATGCTAATCTAACTCAGACATAAATTGTATTGAATAATACAGATATTCCAACTTTGAATATTATAATTCAAATACCTCCAATAAATATCCTAAGTATTTTATTATTTCTTAAGCAATTTATTAAAAAATTAATAAAATTTAGGTTCAGTTTTAACTTTAGAACTTCCTAATGGAGTTTAATGCTTAAATTAATCTTAGACTAATATTCTAACAAACGGATTTGTTTATTCTCAGTATTAATCGATTGATAATTCAATAAGCTTCCTGTCAACAAACTTCACATCTGCCTCTATTTCAATCACTTTTACAAAAGTATTAATAAATCATTTCATTATTTTTTAACATATTTAATATTTTTCAAAGGTAAATAAAATTGATGGAAATCAAAATCTAACAAAAATAAATGTAAAATGCATCTTTAATTCCACAGTTTTATTTTATGTTGACGCAAATACTTAATAGACAATAACTATAATTTAACCTCCTTCTCCTCCTCCGCAAACTCAAATATAAATAAACAGCTTCAACTAAACAAGTTTCTCGTCTTTGAGTATTTATGAAAATAGAACTTCTGTGCTCTCATAATTAGCTTTTTCTTTCTCTATTTTAAAATTTCTAGAGACATGTTCTTGGCTTATTGTCTCTTTACCATTAGAATTCACAACAAGCTTTTAGCAAAATTCTTCATTTAATCTTTTTGGCTGCCATGGAAATAATTATTAATACACTCAAGTAAATCCACTTTCTGCCTAGTCTGTTATTGGCTATACATAAAATAACAATTGCATCTACATTTCTTGTTTAGCTTTATAACAATTCTCACAGCTAAACAACAACAATAATAATAACTATTGCTTGAATAATACAGTTACTATTTAAAATGTAAAAAGTTATGATTTAGCCACTTAGACTTAAGGATTAAAAATTTTTGTTGCAAACAGAAATAGTTCAAATAAATAGGATCTGAATCCACCTACTTTTTTTAGTGAGAATTTAGATTTAAATAATAATAGCTTACCTTATTATTTCACGAACTCAGAAGTATCTACTTATCAAGGTATAAATTTAACAGAAGTTGATTTGAGTTATTTAGCATTCAATACAATATCAACATACTTAAGAGATATCTTCAATTTTACTATGACCTTTTCTTACCCAATATATTTATGGGAGAAGCATCATCTAAACATTTAATTACCATACTAATTTCTTGGTAGTAATAATATCACTTGCTAACCTGCTTCTTTTGTTTAATGTTCTCTATAAATGGGAACTCAACAAAACTATTCAACTTTAAATTTACTCATCCTCTAATAAGTCCTTCCAGGTAAATATAATTTTCTTTAATTTTAATATAATAAATATTATAACACAAAGATACAAAAATAACTATCGAAGTTTATTAAGTAGTAGTAGTAGCTGAGAATACTATTTAGTAGAAATAAGCAGTAATAAAGTTATTTTTAGAAAACAGACTTATAAACACTAAAAGTAAGATCATAGATGTTTTGAGTGATTTAATGCCTTAAAATTTTATTGTATTTTCAACTAGTTCTCCTCTTTAATTATCAAATTCTCTACTTGGATTAAGTGATGTGAATTACACTTTTTTTATTAAATAAATGAATTTGCCTCCCAAAATAAATGATAATTATTACCTTTCCCTAACCTTAGATTAAAGTTTTCTTCTAGTATCTAATAATTACAATTGCTCAATTCTGACTTAAGGAGAAAATTAAATCTATTTAGAATAATAATTAAAGTGTCTTTTTTATTTTCCTAACAACTTTATTTTTTCTATTTCTAGCTTCGCAATAATGTCTCAGCCATTTGTAAATTATTATTTTTTACTTAAAAAATTATTTGCTGCCAACAAAAATATCGATATATTTCACAAAGCTCTACAAATATTTTTTTTATAATATAAATATAGTTAGTTAGTTAAAAAGTATTTTTTTAAAACCCCCATCTTGCTAAATAATAGCTTATTATAAAATTATTCTAATAAATTTTTTTAATTTTTTTAGTAGGGTTTTTAGTTAATATTATTTTTATAATTTTAAATAATTTTTATTTATTATTATTTGATAATCAAAAATTAGTAACTTAGAATAAGTGGTTTGAGAAATCCCTCTGGTATTGTTGAATAAAATGAATAAAATGTAGCCTAGACATATAATTTTTAATTGATATGGAGTACACAATAAGGAAATAGTTTCAAAAATGTTTGGCTTATATAATCAGTTAGTCTCCCAATCACTTCCAAATATACTTGCTCACCCAATTGCTAAGCTTGCGCATCAAATTACGCTGCTTGTACAGCTTGTGCTCCTGGATATCTCAAGTCGCAGTACAATCATCACGCCGTCCTTGCTTGTCTTCCTACATGCAGCCCTTAATATGTAGCCTATAATGGTACTTGTTTAGCTTGCTAGCTAAAAGACCCTTAATGCTTGTCATGTTCGCCTTCAAATCTCACTTAATGCTCAAGCTGCAATCAAGGATATACGCTGGTGCCTGAGTTCAACGGGTGCGTCGATAGTCACTTGCTTCAGACAGCAAGATCAAGATTATTAGATTACTCTTTATCTACAAATCTTGCAGATAATATAGACACTACTCATCCAGATGATGCACAAAAATCAGACAAAGCGCAATCCTTGACTAGAATGACTGAAGAAAGTTCAAGTGCTAAGGCCGATTAAAGGGAAGGCGGCGAAAGCAGCAGCAATACTGGCAGTAAGGTTATGGGCCAGTTGCAAGATACTGTAGGCGCTTTAAAAGGAGGAGGAGCAATCTTTATATGGATAGTGTTGGCAGCATTGGCAGTGAGTGTGAGTTAGAGCGTTCTCAGATACACCTACAATAAATTGAAAGGGAAGAGTCATTCGAATGGGAGCAGCAGCGGCATGAGGAGGAGCAGCAGCGGCAGTAGAAGCAGCAGCAGTGGTAGCAGTAGCGCTGGAAGGAATGCGAGTGGGAAAGAGCATAAAGGAGTGAGAGAAAGAGAAAAGGAATTGCGTGGTTAGCGAATAGATTGTCTTATGCTTTTTTTGTTAAGTGTTGCTGAGGCTATTCAAATGCCTTACACTCTTTTGTGGGGTTTTTCAGTATCAGGAGGGGATTTTGAGAGTCCTGTTTTGTAAACCTTGCTCGGAGCTTGTGCATTGAGCACTCTATTGTGGATTTTTGATGCATATTTGTTAGGTTCTATCCTTGCAAACTCGGAGAACACGCCAAAGACTAGCTGTCTTTTGAATCCTCTGCCCTCTTCAAAGAGGGAAGGCTGTCTTTCTTTTCTAATAGTACCTGCAAGATTAGCTTTCTGCCTCATACCTAAGTCTGTGAGCTTGACACTAACTAATATCTTTTCAGTTGAAGGGTGGTTTAGATATCCATATGGAGAAGACGTCGAAAGAGCTACCATTGTGCTGACAAACTTTAGAAAAGTGCTTTCGTCTTAAATCAAGAGCAACGTTTCAGGTTTATGCTCACTTGTGTCCTTTCTGATCCTGCAGTATCCTGAAGTACTCTCCAGCTACGTGCAAATTTACGATCTTATTATTTTTGATATTGTAATGACAATCCTCTGTCTCACTAACATCAGAAATGTAGACAAGCTAATCTCCACCTTAAATCAAATCTAAGAAAGCGAGGGAGAGCTTTGAATAAATTAAAAACCAAAAAATTAATCAATCAATCAATTAGTTAATTCATTCATTCATTAATGAAGATGCTTGCTTTCAACTAGAGTCAGCTAAATGAATAAAAGTAAAAGACTCTATATAAATATATATAAATAAATAAATATAAAGAGATAAAAAAATAGATAGATAAATAAATAAATAAAATTATAGTAAATTTTTTTATTTATCTTGTTTGTTGTTCAATCTATATTTTTATGTATGTATGTCTGTTTCTCTATTTTAGTTAGTTAATTAATTAGTTTGTTAGTTAGTTAGTTAATTATTTAGTTATATAGTTTTTAGTTCATAATTTGCATAAAAACTGTAAATATTTTTCTTCTATTTTTAACTGTAAAATGTATTAAAAGAATAAAGCTAAATAAATGATGAAATAAAACAATATAATTTATATTGAGACTATAATAAAAACCAATCATTTTGTTTATTTACTTTATGAAAAGGTCTTTTTAATTGTTTGAACTAATTATTTTTCAATTACTTTTTTCAATTAATATCAAAAACTTATTAAAGACAGCAAAATTAATTATGTCTTAATTTTAAAAACTTATTGTAGACAAGAAAATAAATTAATTAATTATGGAAATTTAATACTAAAAAATAATCTTAAAATTAAAAGGAATTATGTTTCTTTAAATTAGCAAAATTAATTTCAACAATTGAAGAATTACATTTATTTACTTACTTACTTAAAAATTCAACATGCTAAATAAATAATAAAAAGAAATTATTTTAAATTATTTTTATGCTAATAAGCTATTTAATTTCTTAACCATTAAAAATTTAGTAAATTTATGAGCAAAAACAAATAAAATAGGTATATTGAATGTAATGCAGAGTTATTTATAATTTGAATTGTAATCTATTTCTTAGTTAATATTCGTCTTATGATGCTAAATTATTTTTCTTATACTTTTTTGATAATAAAAGCTGATTTATTTATTAATTAAGTGATTGATTAAGTGAACGAATGAATGAAAATACACAAATTTTGATTTTATGGTAGTTAGCTCTGTTACAAAATTTAAAATATATAAGAAAATAAATATTATTTTAGAATTAATTGGATTTGATATCAAAATTATTATAAATATGAAATTAATTAATTGGATATTATCAAATAATTTTTGGCATTTATTTTAAATATTTTTATGTTTTGATTTTGACATTTATTTTCATTTAGAAAAATCCATACAAATAAATATAGATGAATAAATAAATTTTATACCAATCAATTAAATAATCAAAGATATTTTATATATTTATATATATATTACAAGTTTTTACTTACAAATAATTTTTTTAATTAAGTATATTTAGAAAGAATTTTAGAATAGTTGATAGATAATCTATCTGTATTTTTGTTGGAGAAAAGCTTGTATGTATATATATGAATATTTATTAATTATTTTAATAAAGTTAGTAGTTTTTTTGATAAAGACCTAATAAAATGTTTAAAAATTTGTTTTAGGAGTGAAATATGCGGATGAATAAATAAGTTTGCACTCAATGAATAATGTTATTATTAAGTTATTTTCTTTTCATATCTAGTCAAGTTAAGCTAGCAAGTCTTCAAATTCGTCTTTCTTTTTTTTTTCATCATTACTTGATAATCCCTATGCAGCAAGTCCAATTCCAGCTAGTGCTACAGCTAATCCTAGTCCACCTTTGAGAGCTGTAGTTTACATGTTATCATCGCTGTAGTTAGATACGATTATAATGAGATGGTCCTCTATATGCAGCTTTTTTAGCATCTCAACACAGTAGAACTAGCAATTCTTTGAAAGGATTTTATAAGTGGGATGATCTTCCTAATATTATTTTGCATATGATATCATATCTTGCAAAGTGGCAGGAGAACTTTTTAGGCGTACTTCTAAGACAGTAGTATGTTTTTCATCAACTTCAGATTCAGGGAGTTTTTCAAATACTACCTTTGCTCCTTTTCCGCCATCACCATCAGATATATGATTGATTATTAGAACTCCATTTTCTAGCTCCAAAACTAGAAACATATGCTCAGCTCCTAAATACTTAACAACAGGTATATCAACTGGGCGAGCCATAACTTTAATCTCTTTTACCTTTAAATGAGTACAATCTCGTACTGTCCTGACTTACATACCTTCTAGGTTCATACTAAAAACTGTACTATTACCCATATTCTTATCTAATTCAATTAGATTCTTTATTAGTTAATTTGTTATATCCCTACTTTTAAAGCAAATATCTTTCTACTATATAATTTAATATCTATTTTTAATAATAATAATAATAATAATAATAAATATTAATAAATAACAATTTTGCCTTATTATGTATGTTAGGAAATTTAAAATACTTTTATTAAAATACTTTTCTTTTTTCTATTCAAAATTTAATTTTTTAAAACAGACACAATTTAGTTTATAATATAGACAGATTTTAAAATAATTAAATCTGCATTATTAAATAATTAATAAAGAAAAGTATTTACTTGAAAGTAAATAAATAAATAATTAAGCATTTCTATTTAATTACAATTAATCTATCAAGTGTTTCATCTTATTTGTAATATATAAACTTATTCACGTTTATTTATATTAATAAACTCTTTTTGTTTTCTTAATAGCTAATTATTAATAACTATTGCAATCTTTATATTTATTTATTAACTATCTCAATTTAAAATACAGGGGTTTAATTTTGGAATATAACCAAAGTTTAAAAATAAATTCTTTGAATCAAATATAAAATCACTTATGTTAAGTTTATGGAATTCGCATTTTATTCACCCTCATTTCACTACTAAAATTAAAAAAAATATTTTTGTATGCCAAGTGAGTCATTTATATATTTATTTAACAGCACTAATTATTAGTATGAATTTAATTTATTGGATTTTATCAAAATAATTATTAGCATTTACTTTTGATATTTTGTTTACACTTTGTAAAATCCATACTAACATTTATAAATGAATTTAGGATATATGAATGAGTTAGCAAACTTAATAAGAGAAATAATATGTTTTTTTATGTTCTAACTGAGTATTTATTTGCTTACTTACTTACTTAGAAACAAATTTTTAAATTAATATATCTTAAAGAATTTAGAATTGTTGAAATAATCTTAATTTTTGAAGAAAAACATAAACATGGATGATTATTTTTTATTTATTTATTATTTTAATTTAGTTAGTAGCCTTTTTTCTAATTAATTAATTTGATGAACATCAAAGAAATGTTTTAAAAATTTTTGTTTTAAGAGTGAAATCTATTCATTCTTAAATAAATAAGTTTGCACAAATGAATAATTTTATTATATATTTTTTTTCATTCGGAGCAGGTTTAAGGCTGCTTCACTTCCTCATCAGATTTCTTCTCTCCTTCATTAGCTCCCTTTCTTTTGCAGGATAAATAGATTCCGATTCCGATTCCACTTAAAATAGCTGCTGCAATTCCACCATTTCTTTTTGTATTTTTCATATTTTCGTGGCTATAATTCGCTACTATATAAATGTGAACTTGTTCTACATGCAGCTTTTCTAGTATTTTAATGCAGTAGAACTAGCAATTCTTTGAGTGAATTTGATAATTTGGATTTTCTATCTAATATTATTTTGCATATGAAATAACATTTTGCAAAGTGACATTACGCCTTATGCACGCAGTTATGAGAACCTCCTGTCCTTCATTAATTTCGCATTAAGGGAGTTTTTTAAATACTACCTTTGCTCCTTTTCCACCATCGCCATCAGATACATCATTGATTATTAGAATGTCACCTTCTAGCCTCAAAACTAGAAACATATGCTTAGCTCCTAATTACTTAACAACAGTTATATCAACTGAGCGAGCCACAACTGAAATCTCTTTTACCCTTAAATGAGTACAATCTTGTACAGTGCTGACTTACATTTCTTCTAACTTCATCTTAAAAATTGTATTATTACCCATGTGTTTACCCTATACGATTAGTTTCTTTATTAGCTAATTTATTATATCCCTACTTTTAAAGCAAATTTTTTTCTACTAAATTATATAATAGCTATATTTAATAAAAAAATATATAAATTAATTAATAAGTTTTGCTCAATTCATAAAAAACACATAAAAAATAAAATACTTTCATTAAAATATATGTTTTTTTTACTTCTCAAAGTTTAATTTTTTAAAAACACATAAATAATTTAGTTTATTATATAAATAGACTGATAGATAGAAAGATAAATTTTAAAAACTAAATCTGTTTTAAATAGTTAATAAAGAAAATATTTTCTTGAAAGTGGATATAAATACTTAATTAAGCTTTTCTATTTAGTTACAATAAATCTATAAAGTGTTTCATGGTATTTGTATTAAAATGAACCTACCTATTAATTTTTATTTATATTAATAGACTGTCTCTGTTTTCTTAATAGCTAATCACAATAATTATTGTAAGCTTTATATTTATTTGTTGACTATCACAATTGAAAGTATATTTGATTTCTCGCTTGTTTAATATAGAAAGTTTTTTAATTTTTATATCTTACTTGGAAGCAGAATATTAGTTTTGCTTAAATATTCTATGATCGATTTCTTTAATTAAATGAAATCTCAATCTATTTTATAATAAATATACTTTCAAGCTTCTTTTCTGATCAATGTTAAAATGAATTAGGCTGTGAATTTACTCTTCCCTTCAAATAGAAAATAATTAAATTACTATTCATTAAACAGCTATTACTTTACAATAATTTTTCTTTAATATTAATAAATATGCAATCTGATTATTCTTCTTTATGTTTTTCAAATCAATATTTTCATAGTTTTTTGCTTAAATTAAAAAAAAAACATTTTTATTTATCTTTAAATTTTATTTTAATTTCTTCTTTATATTAATTAAAATAACTATTTCTGTGCCTAATTTTATTTTTAAAATCTCTATTTAAAAGTGTCATTGATTGTTTGATTTAATATTATTTTAAATCAAATCTAAATAAAATTTTTAATCTAAAATTGTTTAGTAAAATATTTTATAATTAATTATTTTTTAAAGTTTGAAATTTGTGTATCATTTTTCCATAAAATTTTAAAAACATAAATAAATTTGATATAAATTATTAATTAAAAATAATTTTAATTTTATAAATTTTATGTTATAAAATTATTTATTTTTCAAATTTATTTCATTTATCTTAATAAAAAATATTATAAAAAAATAATTGAAATTTTAAGTTTTTGAATTCTTTTGAACATATTAATTTACATCAAACATTTTTTCAATTTAAAAATAATTACTGAATATTAACATGTATTTGCATCATTTATATAAATAAATAACTAATTTACTTAAAAAGTAATTAATTTAATATACTATCTTTGAATTGATTTTTTTATGAGAATAAATAAATCCATTTTTATTCTTCTTTATTTCTACTTTGTTAATAAAAAGAAAATAAATTAATAAAGATAAATATTAGAATAAATGTTTAACCATCTTTATTTCTATATCAAATAGCAGTTTATTTTTATCTATGTTAGTATAGATTTTATCATAATAAACAAAATATTTTCTCACATTAAATATGACTAAGTTAATTATTGAAATTAAGATTACCTAAATAAAAGACATTTAATGCAAATGAGATACTTTTGAAAAGATTCTAAATAAATTTTAGGTTGTTTATTATAAAATTTTCAATAAAAATATAAATTTTCTTCTTTTTAAATTAAAATTTATATCATAAAATTGTTTTATCTCATAAAATTATTGAATAGATAGGTGAGAGAAAGAAACAAAATATCTAAATGCGAAATTTTATTTCTAAATATAAAATAAATAAAAGCTTTCTACCAATCAAACGAATGCACTTGAAAAGATCAGCATTAAATGTACTGCTTACCTCTTTCTGATTAGAATAAATTTTCTTTATTGTTTTATCTATTGACCTTTAATAGTAAGTATCCTTTAGAAATATTAATAAAAAAAATTAATAATTTAATAAATATTAACAAATCAATTTGAAAGCTAATAAATAAATAAACAAATTAAATACATATTATTCAAAAAAAAGAAAAGATAGATGGTCCAATTATCAATAGAAAAAGCCAAATCAGCAAGATCTTCTTGCAAATAATGCAAATAGAAGATCGCAAAAGATGAAGTGCGTGTAGGAATAAGTATTTCTAAAGGAGACTATGATGAAACTTCTTGGTATCATGTTTCATGCTTTTCTAAGACTAAATTTGCAGGATCTAAAGACATCGAAGATTTAGATGGCTACAGTGCCTTATCAGGAACAGAACAAGCAGAAGCCAAAAAGAATTTTGATAAGGGAGCCAAAGCTGCTAAAGGTAAAGCAAAGGGTAAAAAAGGATCAAAAAGTGAATCAGATGAGCCTGAAAGCGGAGACGAAAGTGATGAAGACTCTGGAAAAGGTAAAAATGGTGCAAAAAAAGGAGCTGCCAAAAAGGGAAGCTCTGGAGGTGCCTTAGCAGGCTATACAGCAGCTGAAAAAGCAAAATATGAAAAGTATTATGAAGAAGCTTTAAAATTATCTGTTGCTGCTATCAAATAAGCTCTCAAAAAGAATGGTATGACTCAAAATGGAAATAAACAAGAAATCGCTTCAAGAATGGCTGATTGCTAAACTATGGGAACTCTCCCAAATTGCTCAAAATGTGGAGGAGGTAGACTTAGATTTAACTAACAGGATGGTACTTACTTCTGCAAGGGCTACATGGATGATGCAGATTTTGTCAACTGCTCAGCAAAATATCCCAAAAGTGAAATCACTCGTGGCACTTGGACTGATTGAGTCTGAAACATCAAAAAAATATAAAATAAATTATTTTAGTTGAAAACTTGAGAGAATTATGAATGAATCAATCAATCCAACAATTATTGGCATCTACGAAACTTAATTACAAAATATTTTGAATTAGTAAGTGAAAATAATTAAAATTATAAGCAAACTTATTAAAAATGAACCATTTTAAGTTTGCTTTATATACTTTAATAGTTGATAAGAACTTGTGTTTATATGTCTATAGTAAATTAATTAAAAACGATTGATTGATTCTCTATCTATCTTTCTAATATTAATATCATATTATTTATTATTCATCAGCAAATAAAATATCTATCTACTTTGATCATATCTATTATTTCTTTCTTTCTTTCTTTCTTTCTTTCTTTCTTTCTTTCTTTCTTTCTTTCTTTCTTTCTTTCATACTCATCTTACATGTTCTCTTTACTTTTATTCAGTAAAATAAAAATTCATCATGACAAAATTTTCTAAAATAAATGTCTTCGTCTATCAACTGAGTAGAATTTCACTAAAAAAATTAAAAAGTGTTTATTTTTTTATCTCAAAAAAGCGAAGTAATGACAATTTAGACTTATAAATTATTTGTTCTAAATAATTTGTTTGAATTAATCCAATTGAATATAAATAATAATTAAATTTTGCGCTTAAATCTTTAATTCAATTTGATCAAAATTTAACGGTATTAATTAACAATTAATTATTAAAGATACAAATAAAACAAAAGTCTTTGCAAAAGCTTCTATTTGTCTAAAACCCAAAGTAGATTCAATCCTATAAATAAATTATTCATTCATTCTTTATTTTTTCACTCTTGATATTATTTTAATCTGAATTTAATTATTTATTCGAATTTAAAAACAAACATATTTTTCTTATTTATGCAAAATTTCTGCCAGTTTTACAATTAAAAAAATAAGGTCGTACTGGGATTCGAACCCAGGTCAGAGGATTCAAAGTCCTCGGTGCTAACCGCTACACCATACAACCTTACTGATATTTTATTGAAAATAACAATTTTTAGTATATTCTAGCTCAATTTCAAGTAATAAATATTAAATTTTCTATTGCAATTAGATCAAAAAGTTTATTAGAAATAATATCTTTCAACTAATTTCAGAGATTTGAATAAATAAATAAATTAAAAAATAGAGTAACTTCGAGAATGAATAATCATTTCATTACTTTCTCAATCAAAAGCCATTAAATTAAAAGTTCATTATGTAAATAATTAATAAAATGCAATAAAAATTTAATTGAGCTATTGAGATCTTACCAAAAGATAAAAATTTATTTTTCATTTTGTTTTAGCAAAGCTTTAAATATAAAATATATTACCTGAAGCGCCAAAAAATATTTAAAAGCAATAAAATCAATAAAGAGATAATATATTCCACAAATATATTGATTGATAAACTCAACAAATTCTGAAATATTAAAATTAATTTACAGCAATTTAATTATAATAACAGTGCAATATTTTTTTTTAACTTTTAAAACTTTCAATCTGAATACTTTTTTGAAGATAGAAATGGCAATAAATATAATAAAAATATTCTCAGATTTTTGGAAAAGTATAAAAAAATTAGTTTATTTATTTTTAGTATTAGATTAATTTATTTATTTATTTTAATAAAATTTGAAATTAAAAATAGAAAATAGAAAATTGAAATATTAACAATCAAATAATTGGAAAGTTCACTTAGCAATTAATCATTTTTTAATACTTAAAAAGCATAAAATTTCATCAGAATATATAAAAGTATTTTGAAATTATTAATTTGTAACATTTCAATGTTTTAATTTTAGTTGAGAAATATATTCTTAAATTTTATAGTAAATTAAAAGAAGCTTTTAAAATTATCAAAGCAGTATTTGTTTATAAAATGAATTAAATTGTGTTTGCACATAATTAAATATTAAAATAGTAACTTATATTGTTATAAATCAAGATAAATTTTAATTTTTTTTAGCTTAAGCTTGCTAATAAGTTTGCATAAAGGTTTTAAGTAAAAAAAAATGTAAATTAAAGTAAGAAGTAATACTTACAAATTGTTACAGAGTTTAATTATGAAGTTATTTTTATTAATTCTAGCTTAATTTAATTATTTAATACTTTTGCTAATACTTCAATATAATTAACTTAATTAGCAAAGTTTGTCAGATAGTTTTCCTATTTAGTGGATTTTACAAAAATTTAATAGTTTTTTTCAGCTGATATATAACTTTAAAAAAAGGATGGAGATTCCTATGAATTACTCTGTAAATAAACTTATAGTAAAACAAATTAATTATAAAAAGAAAATATTCTTAATTTTAAGATTTTGTGGTTTGATTAATTAATACTTCACTTATTATGTTAAATATCATTATTATTTTGTTGTTGTTAAGCAAATAAAAATTATTGAATTTTTCTTATGTTTAAAAAATATGGTTAAAGTTATTTACATAATAAAGTGATTGAATTATATATAGAATATTTATCATAATCAATACTTCACTTAGTATATTAAATATCATTGTTATTTTGTTTTTAAAAATAAAATGATTGATTGGAATAAAGAATAATTATTATTAATCAATACTTCACTTAGTATGTTAAATATCATTATTTTTTTGTTGCTAAGTAAATATAAAAATATTTTTTAGGTTAGTTTAAGTTTAAAAATATATTTAAAGATTTCTATTTTGTTATTTTTAAGCAAGTAAAATATAGATAAAGTTATTTAAATAATAAATTGATTAATTGGAATATAGATAGAATAATTGTGATTAATCAATACTTTACTTAGTATTTAAAATATCTGTTATTTTGTTGCTTTTAGGTATAAAAATATTTTTTAGGTTAGTCTTAAGTTTAAAAATATGAATGAAGTTATTTTTATAATAAATTGATTGATTGGAATATAATATAATTATGATTAATCAATACATCTCTTAATATGTTAAATATATCAAAGCTACTTAATAAATTAATTAATTGGAAAAGAGAGTAATAATAATTAATCAATATTTTTTACTTTGTTAGTATACTAATTATCATTGTTATTATGCTGTTATTAAGCAAATATAAAATATTTTTTAGGTTATTCTTAAAAATATGGATAAAGTTATTGAAATATTAAATTGATTGATTGAAATATGCAATAATTATGATTAATCAATGCTTTTTGCTTATTCTTTTAAATATCATTGTTATCATGCTGTTTTTAAGCAAATATATAAATATTTTTTAGGTTAGTTATGCTTAAAAATATGGCTAAAGTTATTTACATATTAATTTATTTGATTGGAATATGCAATAATTATGATTAATCAATGTTTTTTACTTATTCTTTTAAAAATCATGGTTATTTTATTGTTGTTAAGTAAATAAAAAAATAATTTTTTAACTTTGAGTTTAAAAAAATGGATAAAGTTATTTACATAATAAATTGATTGGAATATAGAATAGTAATTTTAGAATTTTTAATAATAAATAAATAAAGAAATAGCGAATAAAGATTTATTTGTTGATTGATTTTTTGCTTAGTTTAAATTTCTGGGTAAAAATCAAGCTTTGATTTAAAAAAATCAGAAATCATCTAAATCAAATTCATCACTATCATATTTATAGGCATCGTCTTCGTCGCCTTTGTTATCTGGCTATTTAGCTTATTTGTTTTGATAATTTTGTTATACATTAATTTTATTATTTTAATTTAAGTTGCTTTCGTTTTTGAGGTAAGTTTACTACTTTTTAACGTTTGAAAAGTTGCCATCAATTTCATCTTCATCCAACAAATCTTCAAAAAGCTCATCACCATATTAATCACTTAGCGGACTTTTTTCATGGGAATTTTAATTCTTTAGTTTTTATTATTAGCTTTATCTTGAAGCGGGCTGAGTGTTAATATTATGGAAGCCTTGCGAATTCCTTTAGTTACCTTGCTTGCTTTAATTGATATCATCTAAATCATCTAGATCTACTTCTTCATCATCTTCAAATATATTTTTAGCTTGGTTTTATTGTTGTTGCTAAATAATGCTGGGATTTCTGCTTGCATTCCCAATTTTAACTTTGGATTAATCAAAGGCTATGCTGTCTCTGTTGTTTCCAAAAAATACAGATGCCTTTGAAATTTCATCATCTAAAGTGTAAGCCAACGAGTTACCATCATCAAGAAACTCGTTTTTCATAGCACTTTGTTGAAGACCATCTGCGTTAGAAGTATCCTCAAAAAGCTAATCATATTTTCTATTAACTGTTTGCTTATTAATATCATTTTTACTTACATTATTAATGTTATTGCTGTTATTATTACTAAGATTATTACTATTATTATTTTAATTCTAATTGCCTAGAGTTTCTTTAGATTTATTTTTCTTCAAGGTTTGGTTTGATGTCCCGTAATCTACACTTTTTCTTTCTTCGATAATAAAAACTTCTTCATCTTTAATAGTTTTATTCATATTCTCATAGCTAACATTATTTTGACTGTTGCTCTATTTATTATTAATTGTATTAGCATTATTAGCTTGATTTGTATTTGATCTGCTTGAATCTGGCTTACTTTAGTTCCTATTGGAATATGGCTAGTCCCTTTTATTTGATAATTCATCGCCACTGTATTCTTTTACTTTTTATATTTAGTTTATGTTTATCTAAGTGTTGTTACTTTTACTTTATTAACTTTAAGATTTTTCTTTTAACTGAATTTCTGCTGTTATAGGCTTTTGAAAATCATCTTATTTATTAGATACTCTAAAAGGCTCAGAATCGCCAGCAGCTGAATAAGATCTTTCAGCTTTCTAATAAGATTTTTATTGCTTCTTTTCTGAAGGAGATTAAACATGAGGAAACTTTGCTCCTCTCACTATTTCTTAGTCATTCATTTGCTATAAAATTTATTCATGTTTCTTTTTAATTAAATATCTCTGCTTTTTTAATTAATGGTTAACGTTAGAGTTTACGCTCTTAACTATGTTCTTTTGAATTCCTTCTATTATCCCTAATAAATTATTCTAAATGCTAATTACAACTTTAGCTGCTTCTGCTTGAAACTGCTAATTTGGATCTCTTCTACTTCTGCCTGTCTCATTATTTGTATTGTTGTTATTATTATTTGAAAAATTGCTGCGAGAAGTATTCATATAAGGCGACTTTACATTTTCTTATTCTTGATTGAATATTTGTTGAAATTACTCCTTGTAAATGCTAGTCTTTTAAGCATTATTTCCTTTATTTATTTGTTATTGGCTATTATTGAGCTGTCTATTCAAGGGAGATGGCTAAGATTAAAAGGAATTTCTTTATTTTATGAGCTGAGGATTCATTTAATACTGTATTGGCATTTATGGATAATATCTATTCATATTTTACATAACTGCATATTGCTGTTGTTAAGCTATTGCAAATTAGCCTGTTTAAAATACAGGCTCGATCCCATCCTTCCAAGGAGAGTTATTAGAGAATAAGCTTGATTGGCTTGGCTTCATTATTTGAGAATTTGCTAAATCTCTTGGTCCTCTATATGTAATTCGCTTTATAATGTAAATTTAAATTAAGTTTTTATGCAATCTCTATTTGAAGTCAGTACAATTATTTAATCAATTAAATTATTCACTATTTATTTAAAATCAAATTTTTTAAAGAAATGAATGCTATATTTATTTATAGATCTTTTTAATTTTATTATATTTTATTTATCATTCTTAATGTACTCTATATACATTCTCTTCATATCTTAAATTTGAAAGTATTCAAAAATTTAATATATATATTGTATTTTCAAATGATTTCTTCTTTATAAGTAGTAATCCTTCAGCTTTAACTTTGGAAAATAATTACTTACATATAATTTTCCTAAAATAATTTATTGATTTTTCATTTATTTGTTTATTCATTTAACTATTTTATGGTATTGTGCTCTCAGTTATTTTATTTTTTCATAAAACAAATGAAATAAAAAGCATCTAAATCTATAAAGCATCTTTGATAATCTCAATTAAAATGAATCCTTTACTTTTTTATAGAGGTAATAATAAGTATTTTATCTCTTTGACAAAAGAAAACTCTTAAAAAGGCAAATAAATAAATAAACAAAGCTAGCAATTACTTTGATTTATCTAAAAATGTTATTTTCATTTAAATTTATTTACAAAGTATGAAATTTTAAATTTGTAAAACAAATGCTATTACATATTTGTAAACAAAAAGAAAATTTATTAATAATAATAAATTTAAAAATCAATTAAAATATCATTTTATTCTACTTTTGAATAGCAAAATAAGATGCAAGTAAAAAATTTATAACTTTAATTAATGAAAAAATAGTTTAAAAATATTTTTTTTTAAATAAGTAAAATTAATTTAAAATTTTTAAATTTAAAGATTAAAATTTAAGGATACAATTTAATTTTTATTTTTTTTATTGATAAAAACTTATAATTAATTATAGTCTAAAATAAACTTTTTCTTCAATAATTATTAGTACTTATACTTTTTATTTATTTCCTTTTTATTTCTGATTTATTTGTTTTTGCTAAAATGAATTTTTTTAAAATTTAACTCAATACATATTTAAATGTAAGAAATTAGTTTATTTATTTTATTAATCCTTTTTTTCTAAAAAATATTTTTTGTTTCCAATATCAAAGTATTTATTCTTCTTTTTCATTATTAAAAATATAATGAAAATCCTTATTACTGCATTTACATTAGATAAATCATATATAGTTATAAATAGAGTTTAAGAAAAATAGTCAATTAATTACTTTAAAATAGATGGCATTATAAAAAATATAGTAACAAAAAGCATTTATTTGATTAATCAAATAGGACTAATGGATAAATTATAGTTCATCAATCATTTCAGGTACTACTTAGTGTCAATTTAGAAAATGGGCACATACGGTTCATTAAGGGAAACCAAGTTTAAATGAATGATTATTGTTCTTTTGCAATAAATATGGTCTAATAGTAACTTTAAAAATCATTTTTGGAGTTATTGTTTTTGTCCTTCTATAGATAAGTAAGTAAATGACAAATAATGCTAAATTTTTTTAAAGCATTTAGCATAATTTAGAAAGCGAATCAAGTAATAACCTAACAAAATTACAAAATTCTTGCTTTTTTTGTCTAACATAGTACATTTTAATTTAGAAAAATGATGTTTCCTACCTCTTGCACAAAAGGATAAAATGATTAACAATCTCATGATTTGAATTTAAGGTAAATACTATTTATGGTTTTATATTATGGCTAATTCTTAATTAATAAAAAAATAGGCTTAAGCAAGTTTAAAATATCTATTATTTCCTAAACAAGCCATTTTTATCACTGAGAGAGAGATGTAATGACGAAAATATACATATACCATTATTATAGAAAAAAAAGTAAGCAAAGATAAATTATTTTAATTGGCTTTACAAAATAAAGCTTAATCATATAAAATATTTAAAATCTTTTCATAAAATAACTCTAAAAATATTCTTTCTAGCCTCATTTTAGCATGCTTATATACTTAAAAAAGTTTTCCTCAGAATTATACTTAAAATCCTAGGTAGTAAAAGTTGAAAAAGGTGTTGATTGAGACATCAACAAAAAACAATATCCATAAAAAATAATATTAATAATATAAAACTAAGTAATTAATGCATATATATATATGTTAATGATTTTATTCATTATTTAGAAGTTTTTATTAATCATATTTACTACTTTTAAAAATAAAATAAAGCTTTATTCATTCATATGATTCTTTTTAATTTACTTAGAGATATTTAATATTCTTTTTATTTTTCTCCCCTCATTTACTTACTATTATTTATTTAAAAAGTTAGTATCTATTTATTTTTCATTCATATTCATTTTTAAAAGTCATTCATGGCATTAGAATATTTGATTCTTTAATTGCATTAGGTAATTATTATAAACATATTTGCATTACATGTTAATTATATAAATTAACTCTCCACTTTTAACAATCCTTACCATAGCATCTCCATACTGATATCACTAAATAACTTTGAAGCTTACCTAAAGTCATTCTAGTTTATTCATTTTTAATATTCCTATTTTTTTTAAAAAAATATTTTTAGTACCCAATCTCAAAGTATATATTTTTCTTTGCTTAAAAAATATAATGAAAATCCTTATTACTGCATTTAGATTAGATAATTCATAGTTATAAATAGAGTTTAAGAAAAATATTCAATTTCTTTAAAATAGATAGATGGTTTGTAAAAAATATAGCAGCAAAATGCTCTAATTTGATTAATCAAAAAGATTATTGGATAAATTTTAACACATCAATCATCTCAGGTACAACTTAGTGTGAATTTAGAAGTTAGCCAAATATGCGTCATTAATGGAAATCAAGTTTAAATGAATGATTATTGTGCTTTTGCAATAAATATGGTCTAATAGTAACTTTAAAATACATTTTTGGAGTTATTATTTTTGTCCTTCCATAAATAAGTAAGTAAATGACAAATAATGCTAATTTTTTTAAAGATTTAGCATAATTTAGAATGAGAATCAAGTAATAACCTAGTAAAATTACAAAATTCTTACTTTTTTTGTCTAACATAGTATGTTTTAATTTAGAAAAACTATGTTTCCTATCTCTTGCACTAAAGGAAAAAAGGATTAACAATCTCAAGATTTGAGTTTAAGGTAAATCCTGTTTATGGTTTTATTTTATGGCTAATTCTAAATTAATAAAAAAATAGGTTTAAGAAAGTTTAAAATATCTATAATTTAGGCCATTTTTATCACTGAGAAAGAGATGTAATGATGAAAATATATATCTACCATTATTATAGAAAAAAAGCAAGCAAAGATAAATTATTTTATTTATTTTAATTGGCTTCACTAAATAAATGCTAAATCATATAAAATATTTAAAATATATTCATAAAATATATCTAAAATGCTCTTTCTAGCCTCATTTTAGCATGCTTAGATACTTAAAAAAGCTTTCCTCAGAATTATAATTAAAATCCAAGGTAGAAAAAGTTAAAAAAGGTGTTGAAACAACAGCGAAATATAATTTTCATAAAAAATAATATTAATAATATATTTCTAAGTAATTAATTCATATATATGTTAATGCTTTTAAACATTATTTAGAAGTTTTTATTAATCATATTTCCTACTTTAAAAAAAAACAGAATCTTCATTCTTATGATTCTTTTTAATTTACTTTGAGATATTTTAATATTCTTTTATTTATTTTTTCCCTCATTTACTATTAATAAAATAAATTGTTAATATCTATTTATTTTTCATTCATATTTATTTTCAAATGTCATTAATGACATTAGAATATTTGATTGACATTAGATAATTATTATAAACATATTTGCATTACTTCTTTCCCTTATTGAAATCTATGTTTATCTAATAATTAGATAGGTATTTTACCTTAATAAAGGAGGAAAATTTGATTTGATAAATATTCTAATAGCTCTCTATTATTTTTGATATTATTGAAAGAAAGCCATTTCTAACAATAAAAATTATAATCATTTGATAATTTGATAGAATGTTTCATAGCTAGATTATAATAAAATAACTGTATATATAATTATATTAAACTTTTTATGATATAAATAAGTGAGAATTTCTTATACAGTAAATAAGCTAATCAGAAAAATATTTAAACCAGTAAAAAGATAATAGTTGTAGATTTTTCAGTCAAATAGACAAAATATTTAAATAAAATTTCATACATAGAGTTAAAATAATATTGCAATTAATACTTGTTAATTCTATTATCTATATTATAAGTTTTAGTTTATCTTGTTGATTGATACTTTATATTTAAAAGCAAGTATACATACTAATTGACCATATTTTAATTTTGAAATTATTTAGAATAACAAATTGTTTTTGTTTAGAAATTTACAAAATGCTAAAATCTGTTTATAGTCATAAATTTTTTCTTCTTTTAAAATATAACTTGTGAGAAATTTGATAACTAAGTTTCATTAATTAGATGAACTATGTTATATATAAATTATACTTTTACTTTGCTATAATATTTTATAATCCAAAATTTGATTCCTAATGCCATTTACTGGTATTTTATTATTGTGAAGATAAATGAATGGTAAATTTTATTCAGGATATAAAAAGCTTAAGTTTTAAATGTGAAATATGTATGTATGTTAATATTTACTTAAAGCTAGAAATTTTGTCCTTTTTTACAGTTTAAATGGTGAAATTTTTGAGGCCTAATATTCATCGTTTGGCTATCATTTTATAAATTTCTATTTGCTCTATATTCGCTTATCTTATAGATGATGTCATCTTATATTTTATGATGATTCGAAAGATGATTGAAAGTAGGGCTAATATAAATTTTATTGATATTATTATCTAAGATTTGATACGTAATATTTATAATTTCTGTAAAAGAAAATTTTTGTCTATTAAATATTCTAATTGCTAATTAATTAATTTACACCAGTTTTTAACAAAAAATTAACATTTAAAAGTGAAGAAATATTGTTTATTGGAAGATAATTAATTTATTCAAATTAATTTGTTAGAAAAAAAAAATTGTAATATTAAAAAATCGATATTATCAGCTAAAATCTCATGGCATCTTAAGAGGTTAAACAACAATTGATATGGCATGTCCAAAACAGGAAGAGAGTGAAATAAATGTATAAAAGGAAGGGTATCCAAATGCTTGATAAGCCTGAACTAATGTGTAAATAAGATTTAAATAAAATAATATTTAATGACTTCAATAAATAAATATATCTGTTAAAGCATTAATTACTATTTGCTACATTTAAAATTAAAAACATTTTAATTATTATAACAATCAATTAATCAATAAATTAACTAATTAATTAATTTATGCCAAATTTAATAAATTTTTAACTTGGTAAACCAAAAGTTTCTGACATCAAAGAACCAAAGTTGAACCCTTAACAAGCTTCAATGTATTAAGCTATGAAAATTGAATTAACTGAAAAAGGCTACTCTGATTTCAGGTTTTTAGGGTAGGGAGCACAAGGATTAGTCTTGTTAGCAAAAGATTTTAAAAATTAAATGAGATATGCCATCAAGGGCGTTTAAGTGAGAGATCTTTAGGGAAATCTTTATGATGAAGTTTATAATAAAGTGAAATAAGAAATAGATATACTCAAATAATGCAGAGGCTCTCCTTACGTAGTCAGTCTTTTAGACTCATTTGAAGGAAAGTAGTTCATGTACTTAGTTCTAAACGAGTGTTAGGGTACATAATATTTTAATTTCTATTTATTTATCTATTTTACCTTATTATTAAATAAATATAAATACAAATTAACTATTTAACCAATTTTATAAAATTTTTTAATGTAATGTTATAAAAAGGAACTCTCACTGAAATCATAGAAAGTAAATTAAACAAAAGACTGAATGAAATATCAGCAATTAAATATGCTAAGGATATTACTGAAGGCCTTTACTACATTCACTCTAAGAACTGTCTTGTTAATGATCTGAAAATGGACAATATCTTAATTGACTATAATGGAAATGCCGTTGTTTGTAAATTATTAACAAATCTAAACAAGACTTCATATTCTAAATAATATAAAGCCGATTTTGGATTAGCAGATAAACTGACAGTTAAATCTGGTTATTCACACAATTAATATGTATAAATTAATCTTTTACTCAACACTAACAAGAAATTTATTTAATTCAATTCAAAAAATTTTAAGATGGGAAACTTTATTTATCAAGCTCCAGAATGCTATGACCCAACTGACAAAATAATAGGTAAGGTTTATTATGATGAATATTAAAAACTAGGGATTTAAGTCAAACAAGAACCAAGTAACAGAGTAAATATTTAAATTATTCTAATTAAATGTTAATTATCTTGTTTTTGTAAATTTATTAGAGCGAAGCATGTTCTTTAGGTATTAAATAAAATAAAAAATATACTGGTTTCATTTCTCTAATTTAAAATAAAATCTAATATAAATAGGTTATATAATTTATTCTCTTATCTAGGGAATAGATTTCAACTTAGTATTTAATAAACATAAGCCATTGAATTATGATGGTGAGTTTTAAAATTTTGTTTATAAGAAAAATCTTTAAGAACTTATTGATGGATTAACTTAATTTGTCCCAAGGAAAAGATTGCCCATTAAAGAGGCATTAATTGTTTTAAAAGGAATTATTAGTTTAGAATTTTAGTTAGATGAATTGCTTATTTAGATGATAGATGGAGATACTCAAAAGCTCGCTAGTTCACTTAAAAATGAAATTGAGTTCATATAGGATTTGTCAAATTAGTTTTATCCTATAATGTAAGAATATTTTTTAAATCTATTACTTTTTCTAACTTTTTTTGAAGTAAAAACTAGCAGAACTTAATCTAAGAGTTGAAAGAAGACCCTGAAAAAATACTTTTAGTTATTAATCAAAATTTTGCTCAATATATCCCCAATTTATTCAAATTAATTCATAAAAAAGGAGGCAAAATTAGCAGAATTAGAGTAAGCAAATTTCATGCTTAAAGAGACTATTAGCCAGTCAGAAGAAAAAACTAAAGCTTTAATAGACAAATTGCAAAAGTAGGAGGAAATACTAAAAAATTAACTGTAATTACAATAAAAAATATTTTTACAAAAAAAAGCTGAATAAAAATATTATTTAAATAGAGAGTATTCACTTTTAATTATTTAAACACAACAAAGTTCTTTAATTTTAATATTTAATAGCATGCAAATTATTTTTAAGCTTTCTTTATTAAGAAAAAAACTAATTTTAACTAAAATTAACATAATAGCCAGTAATTTCTTTTAATTAGCTTCCCCTAAATATGATTTCTTTCATTTAAATTAATTAGAAAGTAATCTTTGATTTGTTTTATTTTTAAATTATTTATTTTTTCTAATCCTTAAATAGCAAGTACCTACCTTATTTTAATCATAAATCTCCTTTTTAAATTATACAAATTTATTTAGTACACAAAAAAAGATGTAATTTTTTGCAATTAATTTATATGTTTTATACCTTAAAATTTATCTTTATAATCAACAGGAAGTAAGTAAATTCGAAAGTCGGTTGTAAATAAATTTTTATATATATTCTTTTAGAGGGTCACATTTTTTATCTTCAATAACTACTTCTCAATTTAAATCTTTCACCTAAATAGATTGTAATCTATCATACAATCATTAAAATAACATACTAAAATCTACTTAAATTTTAAAAATAGCATGTATAATCTTATTGAATTCAAATTCATCAATTTATTTTCAAAATAAAAACAGGTAATTTATTTTTTAAAGTCGTTTTGATGTTATTATAAATATTAAATTATCTTTTGTATTCAAAATAGGAAGTAATTAATATTTTAGAATGATTTTTGATGAGAAAATAAATGCTGAATTAACTTTCATATTCAAAATAGATAGTAATTAATATTTTAGAATGATTTTTGATGAGAAAATAAATGCTGAATTAACTTTCATATTCAAAATAGAGTGTAATTAATATTTTAGAATGATTTTTAATGAGAAAATAAATGCTGAATTAACTTTCATTTTCAAAATAGGAGGTAATTAATATTTTAGAATGATTTTTGATGAGAAAATAAATGCTGAATTAACTTTCATATTCAAAATAGAGTGTAATTAATATTTTAGAATGATTTTTGATGAGAAAATAAATGCTGAATTAACTTTCATATTCAAAATAGCAAGTAATTAATATTTTAGAATGATTTTTGATGAGAAAATAAATGCTGAATTAACTTTCATATTCAAAATAGCGTGTAATTAATATTTTAGAATGATTTTTGATGAGAAAATAAATGCTGAATTAACTTTCATATTCATTCAAAATAGACTGTAATTAATATTTTAAAATGATTTTTGATGAGAAAATAAATGCTGAATTAACTTTCATATTCAAAATAGGGAGTAATTAATATTTTAGAATGATTTTTGATGAGAAAATAAATTCTGAATTAACTATCATATTCAAAAAAGAGTGTAAAAATTTTGACATGTAGTAGGTGAATAAAACAAATTATTTGATAAACCAGTTAGTAAAGAATATTTTAAGGATT